GTGTGGACTACCGACAGTTGAACAACGAGACGGTGAAGAACCGATACCCGCTGCCACTGATTTCGAGGCTTCGAGATCAGCTGTCAGGAGCACAACACTTCACGCGACTCGACCTTCCAACAGCGTACGCCCACATCCGCATCAAGGAAGGAGACGAATGGAAGACGGCTTTTCGGACACCCTACGGACACTACGAGTACCTCGTTATGCCATTTGGGTTGACCAACGCACCAGCGACGTTTCAAGCCGCTATCGACCACGCAATTCGACATTGCCTCGATAAATTTGCAGTCTGTTACTTGGATGACATTCTCATCTACTCCAAGACACTCGAAGAACACAAGAAACACGTACGGCAGGTGCTGGACGCACTGCACGAGCACAAATTGTCAGTCAACAAGGACAAGAGCGAGTTTCATGTCAAGAAGACAGTATTTCTGGGTTACGAAATCTCCCCGGGATGGGTCAAGATCGAACCCGAGAAACTGGAAGCTGTCAAGACGTGGCCGACACCGACGAGCGCCACGGAGGTCAGAGGATTTATCGGATTCGCCAACTTCGTCAGAATGTTCATCAAGAATTTTGGCGACTTCGCGAGACCTCTGCACGAACTTACCAAAAAGGATGCCACATTCCAGTGGAAGCAGGAGCACGAGCAGGCTTTCCAGCGGATCCGCGATGCGATCATCGCCGACCCGGTGCTCATGCTGCCTGATCCAAGCACACCTTTCGAAGTCGAGGCTGATGCTTCGGACTTCGCGATCGGAGGACAACTTGGTCAGAGAGACAAGGACGGCAAGCTTCATCCAGTTGCGTTCTTCTCCAAGAAACTCGAAGGACCAAGGCTCAACTACCCGATCCACGACAAGGAGCTTCTCGCAATCATCGAAGCATTTCAGGAATGGAGACCATACCTCAGCGGCACGACACACGAAGTTCAGGTGTACACAGACCACAAGAACTTACGATACTTCACCACCACCAAGGTGCTGAACGGACGACAGACTCGATGGGCAGAATTTCTGTCCGAATTCAACTTCACGATCCACTACAAGAAAGGCTCAGAGAACGCACGAGCAGATGCCTTGAGTAGGAGAGCGGATCACCACGACAACACGTCTGAAGTCTCACCACCATTGCTACATCAACAGACAGACGGATCGCTACGGCACGCTTCCCAACCGACTGAAGACTACGAGATCGCAGCACTTCAGCAACAGTCGGAAGATCCCGAAGCCAGGCCTCTGCAACCGTTTGTAGAATGCTGTGCGGCCTTCAGAGAACAACGACTGGAACGAGACTTCCAAGGAATCATCGCGGACGACGAACGCGATGCATGGCAAGAAGAGCCAGAATCCAAGATCGCGGGATTGCGACTTGAAGGAACGAGACTCTGGTACCACGACAAGGCCTATGTCAGGCTGGGTGACCAAAAGGAGCTCATTCGAAAGATCCACGAGTCGAGACTCGGAGGACACATGGGAATCAGCAAGACAATTGCGAAAGTCAAGCAGAACTACGACTTCCCAGGAATCAAGCAGACGGCAGAAGAGGTCCGGGCGGAATGCGACCTCTGCAAGCGGAGCAAGCCAGGACGACACAAGCCGTACGGGCTACTACAGCCATTGCCAGTTGCAGAACGACCATGGAGTTCGGTGACGATGGACTTCATCACCAAACTACCAGCCTCCAAGGACTCAGTAACGGGAGTAGAATACGACAGCATCCTCACGATGGTGGACAGACTCACCAAGTGGAGTTACTTCCTCCCTTACAAGGAGACATGGTCAGCAGAACAACTCGCAGATGTGATCTACCGCAACATCACCTCGGTCCACGGCTGGCCGGAGGAATGGATCACGGACAGAGACACCAAGTTCGCATCAAAGTTTTGGCAGGCTCTGATGACGAGACTGGGTACGAAAAGTAAGCTCTCAACCGCTTACCACCCACAGACGGACGGACAGACGGAACGACTCAACCAGGTCGTCGAACAATACCTACGGTTGTACGTCAATTTCCAGCAGGATGACTGGGTCGAGCTGCTGCCGACAGCGCAACTCGCCTACAACACCACCGTCACGGAGACCACCAGGGTCACACCATTCTTCGCGAATTTCGGCTACGAAGCAGATTTGCGACAAGGGCCCGAAGTTTCGGTGCCCAGAGCGGCAGTCAAAGCCGACAAGATGAACTCGCTGCACGCGATGCTCAAGGAAGAACTCGAATTCGTACGAACACGGATGAAGAAGTTCTACGACAGAAACAGGCTCGAGGGACCTCGCCTAGAAGAGGGGGGCAAAGTTTACCTCATTTCTCGAAATCTTCGCACAAAACGACCAAGCAGGAAGCTCGACTTTCGCAAAGTCGGACCGTTCAAGGTCGACAAGAAAATTTCGGAGAACAACTACGCACTCGCGTTACCCTTGACAATGCGACTACGGACCAACGTCTTCCACATCTCGCTTCTAGAACCAGCGCCCAAGAACGCACGACTCGACAAGGACGCCGAGGCAGAAGACGAAGAGGAGGAATGGGACGTTGAGGAAGTCCTAGACTCACGCATCACGAAAGGACAGTTAGAGTATTTGGTCAAGTGGCTGGATTTTGGCCCAGAAGACAATTCATGGCAACCAGCTACAAATCTCAACTGCCCCGAGAAACTTCAGGAGTTCCACCAGAGGAACCCGGATCGACCAAGGGAGGTATCGAAGACCAGTCGAACCCAGCGGGGAAATCGACGAAGGAAGAACTAGGTAATACGTCAGGAATCGGTGAGGGAAGAAGGGACGGATTACGAACCTCTGGATCCAGGAAGGGTCGAGGAGTGGCTCGTCGGGGACTGGGTCCGTTGTCGGCGGGACGGCAGCCTGGGCCGCAGTCCCCTCCGCCTCTTGTCTCCTCGCCTCCTCCGCCTCCTGACGTTCCAACTCTTCTAGCTCTTCGACCGAGGTGACCCCACGAGAGACAGCACGAATCATCTTCTCCGACCACTTCCGCTTCTGCTGACGCAGGCGCTTGACCTTCGCGGCCACCACGGCCAACTCATCCTCCGCTTCTTCCATTTCGGTTTCCAGCCGACGGAAGTTGGACGCAATCTTGCGCAGATGTTGCACACTCACACCCTGCGCGTCGCATAACGATTGATTATGGGCGACGCATTCAAGGCATCGGCTTGAGTCAGAAGGGGAGGCTTCACAGGGGAGTTTATGGTCCTCGCAGTAAGAGCAAGGATGCTTTACTGGGACGGAAGAGTCGAACATTGCCGCCAGGAGCTGATCGCGATCGACAGTTTTAGGGTGGGGAGCGATGGATTTCGGTGTTGTTTTTCTTACACGAGACGACATGATGTCAGCCGACGCATACGACGGAAAGGGGGAAAGGGCCGCGCACCTAAGGATGGGCTGTTGGCGCTACTTAAGAACAGGAAGGTTGGCGAGTCTTCCGGGACGGAAGACGTGGAGGAGGGGCATCGTGTCACGGATATGGTCGCATGCAGACGGCCCGGCGGGGCACGCTGGCAGTGCCCCGAGCCAATCAGCAAGGAATGGCCTTCTCCAATGAGAGCTGGATCGTGAGCTCTGGCCGCGATCCAGGAGTGACCAATCAGGAGTGGATCATTGGATCGAGAAGCGATCTAATGATCCAGGACGGATCGCAGGATCATGAGAATATTCTTCGATCCAGGTACAGAGGTACCTGAGGATGTAGATAGTATATAGTCACTCGTTCTGGAGAGCTCTGGGAGTTCTCCAGTTAGCAATCACAACTACAGTTCGCTACAAGCTCGAGAGCCTACTGTTGAGACAAGTCTTTGTTGTGCACCCTTTGGCTGCACCGAACCTAAGCACCCTTGAGAGAATACCTTCGACCGATACTGAACCCTAACAGGACGGGTCCAGAGACAGGTTCGTCACACAACCGCTCAAAATTCTGCACCCGGAGTGTGGTACATACATGATTACCTACCTCTACTGACCTCACCGTCATAGGATTGGCATCCATGACAGCGACTCGGACGATTACCGGCATGTGACTATCGCCGCGGCTACCACGACGATGAAGGAGATGGGCCAACACATCGTGGTTCACTCCCGTGTGAGCACGAATGAGACCGAGTTCATTGGGAGCGAGGCATACGAGGAGTATGTCCGTTTCGACAATGATCTGTTGCGCGCATCATACGAAGATCCCGTTCCCGCCAGAACGCCGTTCACGCCCTACCATGACGGGACCGTTCTAACTGGCCACATCCCCTGTGCAGTTGTCCTGAGCGACGGGCAACCGCCAGCCCCCTCGCCTCACCCCCGACCTTCAAATCCCGAGGGCGCTATGAGTGAAGTGGGCCTCCATACCTCTACTGAACAACCGACTGTGGAATGGGTTAGTCCCGAACTCAAGCTTGACAAGAATAGAGCAGAGCCAGTCGCCTTCTCCACAAAAGCCGGTCTCAAAATCCGGACTGGCTGGGAACAATGGAAAGCTGGCGGCGATGCCACTGAGCGGTCATTTGTGTGTGTGGCGGTGAATGCTGGGAACGAATATTGGGCAAGGCATCTGCCTGGTGAGTGGGTGCAACCGACGTGGGACAAGTCAAGCGAAGAACCTCGGATCCAGTTCTGCAGCAGCGCTGGAGAGCTCATCCAGACAACCCGAACGAAGTGGTTCCCTGGCCAGGGCAACAGCTTCTTTGCATACCTGCGCCAGGGAACCGCATACCTGACGACAACACGCCTGCCCGACGAATGAGATGGGTAGCCTAGAATTTAGGTGTGAGTTATTGGGGGGGGGAAGGGGGGTGCTTCCTTTCGCTGGCCACTCTCCACATCTACAAATGCTGCGGAAATGCTCTTAGATGAATCGGCCAGCTCGTTGCTACTAGACTGGTAGGAAAAGATCAAGTTCGTCTTCTTAATCTAGCTCTGAAGGATATCAAACTAGGAATTTCGGTTGCATAACTGACACAACGAGTAGCTGAAGAGGCCTTGAGGACCACCACCTCAACACCCTCCGCCTCCGCCTCCGCCTCCGCCTCCGCAACCACCACCACCTCCTCCTCCTCCACAGCCGCCGCCACCACCACCACCTACAGTATGGGTTAGCAATCATACCTCATACCGGATAGTAGAAAATGAGTACTTACCACCGCCACTACCCCCATCCACTCCTCCCCCAGCTCCCGAACTAGCACATCCCCCCGATGCAACCGTCCCTCCACATGTCCCGCCCGCACAAGCCCCGCTCGCCCCCGCTCCACAAGCAGACATCTCACCGGGGCAGCCTCCTCCGACATAGATCCCCGGCGTGTACCAGACAGGAGAGACATAGGGGCCGTAGCACGCATACGGATATCCCCAGTGGGTGTAATACTCACCCTTGGGCGGTATCGTCCTCCCCTTGGACGCTGCGCGCTTCTGCGCCTTCTCGTAGGCATCATCGATCCGCCTGTGATGGCGCGTGGCTAGCCTACGGTCCACGAGCTCCCTGCGTGGTTTGGCAACGGTCGGGTCCGGGATTATCTTGACCGCATTGTGTGACGAGATGTGGGCCGAGTTATCAGGGGGGTGCAATCGGGCTTGTCCGGAGGCATGGAAAGTCTCTGCAACTAGGTAATCACCGGCGGTGTCAGTTCGGGTTTCAGGTGGGAGGGGGAAAAGGGGGGAAGTGCCGAAGTATTTACCTTGGTCCTGCGTCGACATACCCAGCAGCCTGCCTATCGGATTAACCACCGCCGTCCGCACCGCCTCGCAATACCAGCATGTGCACTCGCTGTACACCTTGCCGTACATGTCCTGATATGCCCTACTCGTCCACTCAAAGTGCCCGCTCAGCGCATCCTCGTCGATCTTATCGTCATGGTCAATAAACTTCTGCGTCCTGGCCACCGAAAACTGGTAATATGCCAGCGGGCTGAGCTGGTTCGTATGCCACGCCAGATCCACATCCAGCGTCGGCACCGCAACATTAAGGGGGAATTTCGCCATGATACTAAAGAAGCGATCGTATTTCTTCACCAGCCGCTCCATGGTCGCCCTCGCGGCCGGGCTATGCAGCCAGTCGATCTTGTGCATCTTCTCGGCAAAGACCCCCTGCCGCATCACGGCCGAGCATAGGTCCAGCGCGAACGGGCTGTGGTTGTCCCAGTACCGCGCCATCATCTTGCGGATGTAGACCCCCGAGCCGGCCCCCGAGCCGCTCCGTCGGACCATCTTCTCGATCCTGGCCCGCACGTCGTGCATGGTAGGCTGCGCATCGCTCCATAGCAGTCCGGTGACTTGCATCTTGGGGTTGTCGTTGCGTTTCTTGAGGAGCCGGTTGGGAAACGCGGCTTCTTGTTTGGCGAACCATGATGACATGGGGGATGGCACGGGCTTTCCATCGCGGAAGCTGAGGAGTGTTCCTGGGAGGGGACGGTTGGTTGCGGGATTGATAAGGCTGTTGACGTCGTTGGTGAATTTAGACACGCATAGGAGAGGTTTGTTAACAGTGATTTGACAAGATGAACATTGGTGTTCCAGGTTTCCGTCACCGTAGCCGGTTCCGACGAGGTCGGGAATGCCGTCGAAGGGGTGGGTGGATGGGCGGGAACAGGTCGTCCAGGGGATCTGGAGGTTGGTTGTGCATCGGGGACAGGGGAGGGTAATGGTCAGGGGGTCGTCGGCGTTTGACCACTCCAGATGGGTAAGGGCAGTCCAAGACGCCTTGCAGGCGGCGGTAACGTTGTAGGTAAAGGAGTTGGTGATGGCGGTATTGATGAGGCGCCATGGCATGCCGGTTGACCAGAATCCGCGTTTGCCGGACAGCATGCAGTCCTCGAGAAAAGCACGGGGATTGAGCATGTGTGTGTGCCAGACCATCAAGACATCTATACAACCTTGAAGTCAGTGAAACGCTTTCTCATCCTGGTATGGATCGGGGCCGGTACTAACCAAGTGGCGGCAGCATTTCCTCTTTCCATTCTACTGTCTCATACCCAACGACGCCTGGGAACTCAACGTAGGCGGGCGAATTATTTGCCATCATGTCCTCCTCACGAAGTTGCCTTCCGCCAAACAGTCTCCACCACGCCTTATATCTCTCGACCGCTCTTGCGACAAATAAAGCCCATCGCTTCTCACGAAGCTGGCTGAGGATCCGGAGCTGGTCGTCCTGCATTTTCTCCGCCACGCTCTGCACTGACTGCTCGAGGGGCCCGGCACGGCTATCCCACAGACCCCAGAGGCCATCCGTGTATCCCACATCTTCTTTCATCGCCTGGATTGCGAAGAGCAGCTTGAGGTGGACGAGGCATGTTTCGGGTGATGTATCCGAAGGACTATTGGTTAAATAGAGATTCTCAAACACAGAGGAGAGGTTGGCATCGCTGCCAGGCTCGACATATGCCGGCGGAGTGGTAAGGGACGCACTACCAGGGGTCGACATAATGTATTGCAAGATGACTATGAGTCCATGGTGTTTGCATGGAGTCTTTCAGGGGCAGTGGGAATGCTCAATAAATGGCCTGCTCGTCAATTGTACGAAATTGAAGGGGGTGAGGTGGGGTCAGACTGTCGGTTGGCCTTGTCGGCGGTGCTGTGGCGTAGGATTCGGACATTCCCAGTTTGACGAATCACTCGGAGCGGTTGTGGGATGCGAGTGGTCACAATGGTGGCGGCTGGATTCGTCGATCCGAGTGTATAGCCACTCTCCGTATCCGTCAGCGGCGCGACAAAGGAAGATACGAGGCTTTGTACACGTCCTTCTCTCAATCAAACACCGACATGTCTGACATCATGCATGTGGCAATGTCCATCCTCGCGCCAACTTTACACTTCTGTACTACCTATCTTGCTAGGAGTCTTGCGATTTAACCTAAAGTACTTTAACAATTCAAACACGGGCTAATATTGTCTCCGAGATTCAAGATCTCCTTTTTCCCTTTGTTATGACCAGTGATTCTAACGAGGACGCCCGTCGGGACTAAAATTCTTGAGTGCCGTCTAAGGGATCGCCCCCTTAGAGCACCCGTCACCCAAACGCGAAGCATGGCCACTCGACCAAGGCATGATGCGATTGATGGGTATAAATTAGTCCCGCATGAGGCATTCCATTAGCGCCCTAGCTTGCCCGGTGCCAACCATTCTTTGTGTGAAGTGATCTTAACTTCTTAAGGGGCGTGTCACCCGAGTAGCCTCATTGTGACACCAACCCTCTGATTACGTGGTAGTTTACCTTAATTTCCGTAGAGGTCCCAACCCAGTGCCTGTACTGGAATGTATATAAGCCTACTGAAATTGCAGCCTGCCGAGTGAGCTTCTGCATGGCGTATGAAATGTAACCGCTCGTACTTGATTCAAGGCTTTGAACGCAATTGATACCGATAACATAAGCGGAAAGCACACGACAATGCCACGCGACCGGAGTGACTGGTCCAAGCGATCTCGCCGCTCCCGTCGAAGCGAGGAACCCGAGACCCGAAGTTCGGGGTACTATTATCGAGATTCTCGCGACCCAGAACAGGAAAGTCGTACGCGAACCAGAACCAACCAGAGTGATTACCATCCCGGAAACGACCCTTATGACCGTGGCTCAAACGACCGAGACGACTATGGAGGGGACGCGTCGAGATACGACGGCGATGACGAGATCTCCACTTCAAGCTACACGTCAGCCTCTTCGCATGGGTAGGTCCATCTGCCTTAACCGCCGCGAAGAACGAACACAGTTTTATGATTCGATTAGTTGCTCAGACTACCCTTGAAGCATGTTGTCACTAACACGGCACGTCTTCTTCAAGACCTAGAGAAAGCAGTAAAGCGATGGTTCCCTATCAAGACTCGAGCATCAGGAGAAGCCGAAGTGCTTCGTCAGACTCGACCCTTGTGATTGAAGCACCGGCCCCCGATACCAACCCGCCACCTAGTCGTCGGCACCGTCATCGAAGCCGACATCGAAGCCGTCATCGATCCCGTTCCAGGGATCGCTATTACGACGACGATGATTCGGCATATGGTGTATCTGGCCCATCCGATCCGTTCCCCGCGGAGCGGAGCGATACTCATCTCTCAGAGCGGCGCTCGTACACAACCAACAATAGTGGTCGTAAAAGATACGAAGACTACTCGTACACGGCTGACCGTCGCAGTTATCGAAGGGAAGAGTGCTCGCAAGAGCACTATCACGGTAGCCGCCACGAGGACCAGGATTACTCGTATTATTCTGATGAGAATCCCCAAACAAGTTTTAGTCGCACTGTCCAGGTCAACGTTTGGTCCAGCTCCCGACTGGAATCGGTCAAGCACGAGAGTCCTAGTAGTCACCACCCTGGGGGGCGCATTACCTACAACCTGAGGCCAGTTACGTTGAGATGATGGGAGAGACCCTTTGGCGTCACGCCTGTTCAAGCGTCTTCTCTATCTCGGTTTGGGGGATTTTATCGTTAGATATCGGTGTTAGTCATGCTGGTCCATACTAGCACTGGATAACGTATCAAAAGTCCTTCAGTCATTATCGAGGTTTGGGTTCCAGGTTGAGGCACCCCAGTGCTCCCAGTGGGATTTCGCAAGTGATCGTGTAGCCGAGGCTTGGATCGAAAGCCAGGGACAGATGAGGCGTGATAAAGGTTGTATTACTCCAAAACAGAAACAACAGGAACACCGCATCGTACAAAGAGGGAATTACCCTAATCTCGGTACATGGATACAAAGACCAGCATGGAACAAACTACTGTTTTCCGTAATACCTCCTCTTCCCTACGAACAACCGACGCATTCTCGTATGTATATATAAACTTCAAGCCCCCTCCCATTTCCCACAACTAACAAACCAAAACCCTCAACAACCAGTAACATCCACAACAACAACAACAAAAACAACAATAACAACAACAACAACACATTCTGACAATATGGACAAGGGAAAGAGTGTCTCCGATCCCAGCAAGGGAAAGAGTGGCTCCGATCAGGCGGCATCAACCGTTCGTCGTGGTGCCGTGTCGGTCAAGGACGCGGACGCGTACAACAAGTTGTGGCCGCACACAAACAAGAAGGACAACATCATTCAGTACAAGTAGCACAAGAAATCTAAGAAGTAGGCTCTGAATTTGCGGCTCACTCGTACCCACTTTCAGGGATAAGAGCTATGGGGACGAGAAGGGTGGTCTCGGGCTAACACGGTCTTGGAATCAAATCCCATTACATACCTACCTTCCTTAGGTACCCAGGATTAACACTCACTCCATGCCTAGGACGCAAAGAAGAGGACCAAACGAAGACGTGTGGTTTAACACGCAGAGATGAGATATTGTCTTTAAACCGTGGCTTAGAATTAATTTAATCTGATCAAATCGACCCCTCGGAACCCGCAGCACTATTTTGACCCCCTTCCCAGAGTAACTCCCGTCCCAATGCAGCCCAAATCCCGAGGTATCATAACAACCTGACACAATCCACCGACTGTTGACCCAATGCCAACCCGTTTCCAACGCTACCGTGATAAACCTAAAGTTCCGCACCCGCCCAACCCGAGAACAAACAAAAAAAGAAGAATCCCCAACCAAACCCCCTAATTCCAACCCCCCACAACCCGCACACCCCCACTCTCCCCAACAGCACTACCACCGTCATCACCACCGTTAACACTCCCCATCAACAACATCTCCAACCCCTCCACCCGCCCCCTCAACGCCCCATTCTCAGCCTCCAACCCCAGATTCCTCCGCTCCAGCTGCATAATATACTCGGTCGCCTTGCTCAGAATAGTAGCCTTATTCAGCCTCCCACCTCCACCCCCGTTCCCGGTGGCAGCCTCATCCACGTCGACGTCGGCAGCAGCAGCAGCAGTAGCATCTGTGGTCGTTGTCGGCGACCGCTGGTGGGCCAGTATGCGCAGGGAGGGCACGGCGTCGCGCAGCTGGGTGATCTTGTCGTTGAGGTTGGTGCGGTAGCGCTTCTCGATCATGTTGTGGGCTGTCTTTTTGGGGGCCGGGGTACCGGTGGGGGTGGTGGGGGTGGCGGAGGGGCGGTTTGCTGCTGAGGTTGTGGGGGATGGTGGTGATGTGGCGGCTGACTTGGGGGCGGGTTCTTCTGAGTCGCATGGGCTGCTGGCTGACTTGCGCTTGAGTCCGCGGGATGGGTACCGCTTTGTGCTGGTGGTGGTGTTGGTGATGGGGGGTGTTGTTGATGGTGTCGGGGGCGTGGGGAGAGCGGTGGTGGTAGGTTGCTGCTGGTTGGGGATGGTGGCCAACATGATCTGGGGTGATTGGAAGAAGGGTGGGACGGTGAGGTCCAAGGGGTTGATGACCGGGCTCGAGGTAGGGTTCGAGGGCGAGCACGAGGCAAATGTCTGGCACTCAAAGAGCTTCTCGGGCTCGGGGGAGAGCGCTACCGAATCCCGGGCGGTCCACGCGTCGGTCGTGGGGAAGCCGAATGAGCTGGCTGAAAGGGCGGGTGAGAGCGGCGACGAGGGGGAAGCCGCCGAGCCAGATGAGAAGTCTGCACCGAAGTCTTCTGTATCAAAGAAGGACATTGGGGAGTAGTCGGGATATGTTTGCTTTAACATGGTTAGCCGCTGGACATGGAAAAGGACTTGAAGTTGTGTGTGTGCCGGGGTAGGGAGTCAACAGAGTAATACTCTTGGGGGAGGAATATTGAACCCCCGGAATAACCGAGCATTGCAGGGGCGGGAGACTCGCCTTGCCCTCACAATGCGCCGGAGTCCAAAGTTGACGGAAGAACAAGGGGAAGAAGAGAGCAACTGACAAGGTCGGAAGCGTCAAAGGACGTTGTGGTGTATGGGTCGAATGCCATCGACGAGTCAATGGTTGTTGTGCCAGACATACTGGTTGGCTATCGATTGCTAGACTAGGTACCTAAACTCGAAAGAGTAGGTCGTTTGTTTGGAGCTGGTGACTAGCGACCGGGGTGCGATGTCAATATTGTTGAGTGTGGGATGTCGGGTTGGATGAGTGGTGATTTGATGTTGATGATTCATGAATCGTGATGATGCCAACCACTGCAGACAGGGAAGGTCAAGGGAGCTCAAGGTCTTTTAAAACCATTGGAATGCCGTCCTCGGAAACGGCGTTTCGGTCGGCGCGCCTCGGCACCCATCTTGGCATTACAGTTCAGTTACGTGGTGAATGGTGGCACTACAGCGTCTTGGGACCTGCTAAGGAGCTGCAAACCGATGATTTATTTTTCAGTCGTACGAGAATGGACTGGGCTGGTTTTCAAGGTCCAGACCCTGACTCTCGGAGCACTGCAGGGGGCACGCAGCGCTGAGTGAGTGCCCCACCTGCCTGCAGAGGGATCTCGGAGCCGCCCGCCCTCCGCCCGCCCTCGGCCTGAACGCGCGGGAAGAGCGAGCGGCCGGGGCTCGTTTTAGTTAGGTATCCATCAACCGAAGCCTCTAGGTCCTTCTTAGTGGCTTGTTGTCGGACAGAGACTAATTAACTTTTGGTGCGCTTCTTCAATGTCGGGCAATTTTCCATCTCGCAGGCGATCGTTGACGACAGGAACATCTAAGAGCGCCCAATGAGCAATCACAGGGCAAACAACGTCCGATGATGAACAACTCGAGCGGAGGCGGGAATGCAGTGGGGGCAGCGGAGAAACGTTGTTTCGTGGGGCAGAAAAAGGATGGGAGTCGACGGCAGCATCTTGCGCCGGTCCTCAGCCCGAACACCAGTCTGTATCGGCCGAATTCGGCAGAATGGCCTGATACGGAGCCCTGCCAAGCGCCCATACAAAATTGACCGGAAACCTCCGGGTAAAAATCGTGATGTGCTTCGCCTGGCGGTAATTTTGCGGAGCAAGTTTTCACGTTTTGGAAAATCCGGTTGCTCACGATTCCCTCCGAAGCAGCTGACTCCTGAGCCCCTCAAAAACGAACGATTTTTCGTTCATCTTACCACTAGATCAGCCGACATCAATTTCCGGTCATCACTTATGGGCATCTCTCCTCCTGAAATGAGTCAAAGAGTTGTGCCAGATCAGTCCGGTCCGAGGGAAAATTGTTAGGGCGCCCCACCCCGAATACCGGTCCTGCTGCCGGACTCGGGCCCGGCCGAGCAACGCCAAGCTATCCGCCGAGATGTCTCCGCTTCGGCCCGCGAATGGTTCCATCTCACGGCAACCGCCGGAACGACCTACATAAATGTCTCGAACACCGAGTAGCCTCACCTTGACTCAACCTTGATATGATCAGTTGGCGAAGGCACGAAATAAAGACCCCAGGTACATAGATACCAAGTGAGTGAGTGGTGAGTGGTCTTGGGCCTTGCACGGCGAGCCCCCCCGCCGAAAACCTCTCCCTCACTCACCGATCAGGTACTTTTGAGCAAAGAAGATGTTGTCATTAACATGGCGTCTCTCCTGAGGCCCGAGCCTTATGCATACGAACCATTTTGGGTGTTGATCGACGATCGTCGTGATAGACACCATGTGGGCCACATGATCCCGTTCCCCAACACTCCCGAGCCAGCAACCCGGTTTCGGCTTCCTCAGATCCTTCTGCCGGCATCTAATCGGCGTTGCCAAGGCCCTTTAGACCTAGTTACCGGACCTCTGGGATCAAATCGCTTAGACGGTGCGGCGGAATCGGGATCCAGGCTTCCGGGAACCGTAACCGATCCAGCAACTTGGTAAATGTCGATCATCCAGCACCTCGGACACTGGCGTGTTACTAATAATGAAGTGGTAATCAGCAGTGCAGGAAGGGATCCCCGTATTGCCCGTAATCTCAGTAACACGGGGCCCCACGATGAAAACATGAAACAAAGGATATTAAAGAGAGTATCCTACAACCAAGTTAAAGTAGGTTGCAGATCCTGGTATTGACCCGGTGAACATTTGGGTTACGAAAGAACTTCCCATATACTCCGAGCCATGCATCGATGTCTTGTGTGTCTTGACCATAGAGGAGCAATATCTCCATGTGGGAATCTTGAAGTCCCTGAACGTCACGGACCGAGCATCGGTTTCGGACGGTTAACACTCTTCAATGACGTAGAACAATCATTCAAATGTTGTGACAGTCTTGAAATGGGTAGTACGATTTGATTGAGTACCCCTCGGAAGGGAAACCCTACTGATTCGTTGCCGACCCGCAAGGGACTCTATCGCATAGATGATTTCTCAATAGTACCTCTAAGTTCATCCCACGCAATGTAGTTTCTAGCCTTTGTGTGACCCAGAGACCTAAAAAGGGTGAAGCTTTAATCATGATATCGAGTTCTCAACTGAGTGCTGACTGTGTTCAGAACAGATAGCTCCTTACTTGTGTCTTAGGCCAAGTGTGAACTAGCCACGGAAACTTGCCTCCGATCCCTATTTCGGAGACAGATGTGTGACCGAGCTGCGGGAAGTCCCAGGCGGGCGAGTTTACAGACAAAGTTATGGCCCCCTCTAAGCGCCTACAACGAAAGCCGCGCAGTGCAACATGCCAGCATCTCCACGGAAAGGGACGCAGGTTTGGACCCTTCCTGAACAGGAGGGTAGGTTCACCACCACCACATGGCATGGGCTTGCTAAATTAACAAGCCAAGGATCCAAACCCGGAATATGGATTTGAAAAACAAGATGGTTGGTGAAATGCCCGGCACACGGGGCTTCTAGAAGGTTTCTCTCGTATGCACCACGCGAGCGCTATCGACTCGACTGGAGGTTGGAATTGAGAAATAGATGATTGAGGATATTAAAACCCGGACTTGAGGGGTCAAGCAATATGGTGAGGCGGTCATGCTGTGGTATCCAGGACCTGGACCTCACATCTGATGGCACCTTGGTTGGCTTTCAGCCAGTGAGCTTGGGGGCATTTGTATTGCGAGTTGCCCCAGGCTTGGTACGTGTCCCGATTCGTCAGCGTAGGAACTATGTTCAAGGTTCTGGAAGGTGTGTTTGCATTCGAACTTCCCAAGACCCAAGAAAAATGGAACGGCAACGTCGCAGCGGCTCGAATTACGTGCAACCCCTTTTCATATCAACATCTTCGCGTCACGACTCGCCCACACTACCCCCGTTCCCAGTTCGGCTTTTGCGGTTCTGAGTAGCTGTAATGCAACTGCTTTTAATATATGCTGACTATTTACCCCCCGGGGGCTGGCCGTCGATGAACCTGGACGGCTCCCTGGCCTAATATCGTCGGGTAAAAGGGAGGCTGATCTTGGAAGGGAAAAAAAGCCATTCGCCAGTCACCCCGCACTACCAGTCTCCAGTCGCCGGCATCGCCATATGCCGTCCCTTGCACATTACAACCTCCTACCGTCGTAGCCAGCCCCAATCCCTGCACGCCACAAGGGAAGCGCCGCGCCCCAGGAGGAGGATTCTCCGCCGCGGTTTAGATTAACAAGCTCAGGGCCGACCTCACGTCGTCACGCGATTGCAGCGGTCCAACGGGCGCCTAGTGATTTGTCTTGGCCTCGCGCGGCGTCCAGCAGTTGACTCCGGACCGGCTCCGCCCTGGCCGCCCTGGACCGATACCCTTCAGGGATTCGAGATGCCGACAGCAACGTGCCAAGCCGCCCTCTATATTTACTCATGGTGGGATACACCCGTTCCCCATATCTCGGCGGCCTTGGCCGGCGTGCCACTCGATCCGTGGCCGACAACTAAAAGGCTCGTCCTGCCGCTCCTTGTCTTCCTGTTGCACATTCTCCTGCCGCCAAGCTCACCCGCCGGTTTCTGACAGTAGAGCTCCGTACGTTGACCCCCCGTCCATTGTCTCTCGGCGACGGTAGTTGTGTGGACAAGTATTTGAGGATCCTTGGCTGATCGACGGCCGCTCCTTAGCCACCTATCTAGATTACCAGCAAGTGATAAGCTCCCCCGGAGAAATCTCACCATGCTGTGGACACTATTTTTCGGGCTCGTGGCAGCCCTGCTAAGGACCGGCAAGTACATGTATCCGAGCCGGTAACCGGCGAAGATGTTCAAAATACTGACCGATGGACGCAGCAGCAGCCGCCGCCGCCAACGCCGTCTACCAGGACCCTGACACCGGCTTGATATTCACGTCCAACTTCCAGCTCTACAAGGCCGACGGCCGTGGCATCACCTTCCGCGTCGCAATTCCGGACACCGCCCAGAGCTATACCTCGTATGACTCCGTCATCCAGATGGTCGTGCCAAACGACGTCGGCTGGGCCGGCCTCTCCTGGGGAGGTTCCATGCCGCGGAACCCGCTGCTGGTAGCTTGGAGGGGCTCCAGCAACAACGTCGTCCTGTCCTCCCGCTGGGCCTCGTAAGTCATCCTTTCCCGGAAAAAAGAAAAAAGGAAAAAAGAAAAAAGAAAACCCCTCCGACTCCAACCAGAGACTAACACCGCCGACCCCCCAGCGGACACGTCATGCCGCAGCCGTACACGGGCGCCGAGTACACGCTCTTCAAGGCCGGGACCAAGTCCAACAGCACGCACTGGCAGTTCACGGCGCTCTGCAAGGGCTGCACGGCGTGGGAGTCCGGGTCGTCGATGCGCTACCTCAGCCCGAGCGGCGGCAACCGCCTCGCCTTCGCCTACTCGCCCGGCAAGCCGTCCAGCGTCAACAGCCCGTCCTCCAGCATCCCCATCCACGACGTCCACGCCTACTGGTCGCACGACTTTGCCCAGGCGGCGAATCCCGACTTTGAGAATACCGTCGCGAGGCTGACGTCTTGAGTTCGGAAAAGATTGGGGGAGGGGCTGGGGGCATGAGCAAGGGGTCTGTTGTTGGGGGGCGCAGTGGTGATAGTTGGCGGAAGTGTATATACATACTCGCAGTTCGGGAGAGTAAGGTGGCCGGCCTGGAACCAGGACTGGAGGGCCGGCGGCAACGTAAAAAAAGCATCGCGTATGCGCAGAATATCTGCCTCATGTCCCGGCTGCATCTGGGTTATATCCTTACTGGCATGACCCCCCAAACCCACCCCCGTCTCCTTTTCTTTGACAGGTACCTCGGTAGGTGATTCGAGCCCTTGGCCCTTGTTGTTATTATTGTACTGTGAATGTCTAAGTTGAATAAATACAGCGTAAAAGCCACTCCTGTTCCTATCATGTTTCCCGCAGAAAGCGCGCCCACGAATTCCTACCTCGAGGGTGTCGCATCCATCTCGACAGCCGCCGTGTGGCCGAGGAGTGGATTTGTAAAGGTAGCGCTACTGTCAGTAGTAGCATCGGCGTGATGGTGCTGGACGGGAAGCTCGGCGTAAGGGCGTTGGGCATGAAGCTCGGCGTAAGGGCGCTGGGAATTAAGCTCCTGCGGTTCCATCTTGTACGTCGACTCCATCGGGCTACCATACTTGGCGGCTTCAGGGGCGTCACGTCCGTCATCATAATATGTACTTTCTGTCCCGGGGCCAGGGCCGTTGTTCTTTCTCCGGCGTCGCATGAGCAGCCAGACGATGCCGGCAATGAGGGCTATCCCAGCCACACCGCCGACAACTCCGCCTGCAATCGCGCCAACCGGAGTGGACTCCGACTCCGACCCTGTGCCGGATGGGCTGGGGCTCGGTGATGAAGTTGATCCCGGGTCTTGTGATTCATGTCAGAATATGTGAACTATGGGCGGGAATAGAATGAGGGATGGGTCGTCTCGTCACCTACCTGTTGTTGACTTGCTGGCAAACATGTCCCGCACCGCGTTCGACGACCACTCGACTACATCCAAAGAGCTGTAATTGTTAGGACCAGAACTCGGTAAACTCAGCAAGAGGGAAAAGGGGGCTCCGCCTACCCGTTGTTGTACCAGGTGTCGATAACGGTAGCCCTCTCGTACGCTGCCGCGTTAGCGTCATAAGAGGTCTTCCATTTCATCTCGGTCATGTCGAACAACAACAACCCCTGCGGAGCCGGATCTGGTTGCGCCCACCCGGTGTCCGTGCCGCCTATGCTCAGAACTTGCCGCTTTCCGACGGACACACAGGTATGGGACTGGCGTGCGCCTGTCTCGGGGTCTGGGAGCTTTGTCCATACAAATCCCGGCAAGCTCAGAACGTAAGCGTCGTCATAGGGAAATTTGTCACGGTAGTTGTATCCCCCAGACAAGAAGCTTGAGAGGTGTTAGCAACATAGCGGCCAGAGTGTGGCTCTAAAAGCGCTAAACTCGCAAGACAAACTCACATGTCATAACCACCGTCCGAGGTCTCGAAGCCGGTGACGCAGAATTTGGACCGCGGACGTGGGGGAACGCTCCCCGTCGCGATCTGCCAGTATGTGTCCTTCGTCTCGGGGTCGAAAAAGGTCAGGTTTTGGAGATCGTACGACGCCGCGTTCTGCCATTGCTCCGCGGTGCTTCTGGTATCATGTGGGAAAGATAATCCGCCGAACAGCATGATCAGACCGTTGGGGCCGAAGTTCGGGATATACTCGGCCGAAGCGGTGACGATGGTGTCGGTAGGACTGAACGCTGTGGTTCCGTTCTGCCAGATCTTCGTGTCCATATTGAAGGTGACCATGCCCGGCACCACCTGGTTATGGCTGCGACCCTTTTTCGTCCAGCCCGACGCCAACCCCCCGACGCTATACCCCGTTGTGCCGGTATTGGCAAACGCGCCAAACTCGTACTGCTCGAGATTGTTGAAGAGATTTGGGTTTTCCGGAGTCTCGAGGGCCCAAGTGCCACCGCCGTTGCCGTCGGCCGTGAACTTCCATAGCGCGTTTTCCGTCATGTTCCTACCCCCTATCCACTTGCCGCCCCAGACGTAAAAGGCCCCTGCTTCTTTGTCGGTCCAGATCATTTGGTTGGCCTTGGACCCCCACGGCCTGTTTATTCTTCGCATGGTAATGGCCGAAGAAGTCCATGACTTGCCAATGTTGATGGAAATCGTCGAGTTTACTGGGGCAAGTTGAGCACTGTTAGTACCTTTGTAGGACTCGGGAGCCTTGGTCGCCACACGGGCAAGGAGAGACCGAAGTGTAGAAATGACACGGGATTGAACAGATGCCCGAATATTATGGAGTCGCCTCACCTGGATCTGACCCCCGGCCTGTTTCCAGCTTCTTGCCGTCCAACAACTGTGACATCTCGCCGCCATCCATGTAAACATAGTCGCCGATAACCGTCGCTTCTTGCTGTTAGAACGGCTCTGCACCTTCGGGCCAGTGAGACAGGATGCAACCTACCCGAGACGCTGTTTCTGCGGAGGAAATCTTCGACTGTCGGGGTATCCGACACCTCCGCCCCGAGAGCACACCGGAGTGCCCCCAGGAGGGCAAGCAAGCCCGATGCCGCACGGTGGGAGCGCATCGCGATCGGGAGTACTGCTGCGGTCTTGAGTCGGTACATGTACCTAGGTGATTAACACGCCATGATTGCTCCACGTGTTCGAAGATAGGTGCGCTCGTGTGTTGTCGGTTCGTCGTCGCGTTCGAGTTGGTCGTATGTACCTCTGAAGTGGTTTGTTATGCAAAGAAAGGGAAGAGAACCGGAGCCCTCCCGAGATTCATCACACCAAGATTGCGGAGTTCTGCTTGGGAGCGAGTTGCTGACCGTTTGACCCGGGAGCGTTAGCCGATCTGCGTCGCAGCTGGAACATGCACGGTTCGAGCTGGGATTCGGTGGTGCCGGCCGCAATCCCATCTCGGACTTGGGCATCGTTTGAGGAATGATTCCCGGGGGCTCCATCGCGAACAAGCGAATGAGGTGCTGAGAAAGCAGGGGGGGGACAGAGGGATCTCCACTGCTTCAAGGACCAGGAGGTTTTGTTGCCCAGGGGTCAGCAGGCTGACTTTTCCCGCCTGCTAATTGAGGTATCATGATTCAAATAAAGAACTTGAACGAGACGTGTTCCAAATCACGGAACACGGAAGATATACATATGTCCATGCTGACCATGCGTCCACGGGCACTGTCCCGGGTCGGACAGAGTCATCCCCCTTGGAAATGAGATGAGACGCGGGGCCCAAGACTGCAGGCCGTCAACCCACCCCATTGATCGGACCACAGCCCCGCTGGTAGGGCGGTAGGGCTGGGCAACGCGGGGGGCGGCAAGGGCCGGGCCTGGGAAGCCTGCTTGGTGCGAGTCCCGGGTGCGTGGGTGCCTGACCACTTGCACAAAAGCGCCAAGTCCGTTGCCATCTGGACTGCGACCTCAGGTGAAACTGGGCGTGGCAAAATCACTGTGTCTGTACATACATCCCAAGTGGGAAGCTTCAATGTCCCAGTACCTATCTGGGTACCTACCTAGGTAGCTATCACTCAAGGCAGAGAAAAGGGAGAAGGGCCCGCACATTTGCAAGCCAGCCCAGTTCACGGAGTATCCATCATCTGAACCAGAAGAATCTGCATGGCCATCGATCAGGTTGCTCAAGTAGAGCCGCGAGCCGCCTTGATGAGAGACTATCACAGTGAAAGCAGGGGTCGGGAGTTGTAGTTGATGGTTGATGCTTTGTATGTACGTACTTCGTAGCGATTTGGTTGTTCTCTGAGAGATTCAAGCAATGTACCTCCCTACCTACCTACCCAAGCCCATGAACCGCTATCGTTTGGTCGATATTGAGAAACGTACAGGTTTGCATTAGTTAGAGAGCCTGGGTGGGATAAAAATGTAAGGTGTGTCAAGGACCCGGCCTTCTCATCTGGCATTTTGGTCAAGCTTCCCGTTGCTCAGTGAATGATATTGTTCGCCCATGTGAGGCCATGCGAACAAGATGGTGAATGCGTTGTTCACTACGCCATAGTATCACACACATAGGTAACTACCTTACTTAGGTAGTTACTTGCCTCGCCGCTTGAACTTGCTTGGGAATCTCCGTTCATAGCCACCTGCAATTAAACCCTCAATCAGTTCTGCCGTCCCTGAGACAGCCACCTTGGATTGCTCACTTTCCCGCACACAGAGATGGCAGACGACACAACTGAGACCACATCAACAACCGCACTCGACCCAGATCAACTTGATTCCCCAGTTGAGAGGGCACCACCAAGCCCCTTTCAGAAAGCCGGGGAACTCGTAGTCCGGGCCGCCCGAGCTGCCTCGAATGCGGCGACCATCGGAACCCTGGCACTAGCCCACGCCATGATGGAGGCGATCCCCGGCCCCCCGATTGTGCCTCTCCAAGATCCTGTCCGGATGCAACAGTACATTACCCTACCAGAAATCGGAGAGCACATTCGCGGCATCGTCAGTCACTCGGAAGCGAACTCCCTTGCCAACAGCATCGACGGCAACAACACCGAGAATGGTGAACGCTTTGAGGCTATCTCAACCAAGGAGCCGAGCCGTAACGAGCACAAGAGACGTAGAACGGTGCTTCGCGAGCAGTTGCAAGCACACGAGATTATCGATCTGCTGGATGACGCGTTCGCGCCCTCGATTGTGCTGGGTGGCTACGGACCCACGGTCGGTTACATGAGAACCTGGCGTACGACTCGCGATCTCTTGATCGATGGATCTGCTCAACTTCGTTAACGTTGAATTTTCTGACGGCGTGGGGTGTTAGCGACACCCCTCACTTTTCTTTTCTCTGCCACCTGAAGGTAGGGGGTGGACTGGGCGGTGGTTCGAGGCAGAGCCCGTGTTTGACGGCACAGGTTGTTAATTTTGGCAGGGTGATCAAGTAAAGTACATGGCAAAGATGGAGGACAACGATGTCGTGATATTAACAGCTATTAGTGGTTCTCGGTGCGGCGCGAGGTTGGCTCAGCCGCTCAAACACCATACGGGCGCGGCGCCATCCCCGGCCCATCACTGTCTCGGCTTGACAGCATCTCTATGGCGCTGCCCCGTTTCCCGCTATCAGATGTCTCGAGATCGTCGACGTAGAAGATGCAAAAGATGGCCATGACAGCGGCCATGAGCACAGCATCAAAGACGTAGAGAAAGACCTCGTGGGAGATGAGATAGCCCCCGTTCCCCTGGAGATATTCAACCACACGGAAGATGCTCCGCACCATGATGATGGAGCTAGCAACGTACAGGACAGTTAAGTGGCGTTTCCATGGGATCAATGGGTGTTGTCCAACGGTGCGGTTGGACTGGCGGAAGCGAGAGTGGAACACGACGGTGGTGACGAGAAAAAAGCCGAAGATGAAGATCTGGATGAAAAGGCCGACAATGATGATCTTCTCGCCAATATCGTAAAACTCGAGAGTGCCGGCCGCCTGAATTCCACCACCACCAGCCTGCAAGACGAAGGACAAGACATCGCCAACCACAAAGATTTTAGTCATCCACTTGACCGGGATGATAGACGTTGACTCGGCGTGCAAAGCGCGGATCAGGCGACCAAGGATCATGTAGATGGAGGCGGCGTACAGTGCCGGTGCGATCAGGATGAGGATGGCCTGTATTACGAAACCGCCGATGGCCGTGTCGTCGAAGTGGGACCAGATGCGACCGCAGTAACCGATGACTTGGACTATGCACCGAGACGAATACATACTGTTAGCTAATCCAAAGATCACAGTCTCGGAAAAGGGGCAGCTGCTGGCATTGAAGCGGACAACGGCTGAGTAGGTTTGTACGTACAGCAACCACCAACAGTGAAGGCGGTAAAGTAAAACGAGCGGTGACGGTATATACGCCAGATGTGAAGCAGCGTGAGGATCAAGAAGACGACGGCGGTAGCAATGGCGGCAGGTAGCGACAGTTCATATCGGTACAAGGCGAAATCGAGGAGTTCGGCTCCCGAAGCCGTCGAGTCGTCCGCCATCTTGGTTGTCGAGAAGTTGTCAAGGTCGGGGTTGCCGAAGAGTGGTTGCGTGAGGGTTTATGTCCAGACAGCAGACCTCCTGAATCCTGATGGTTGAAGCAGAGGGAGGAGGTTGTTGTGATGGCTCTTCTCGTTGTGAGAACAAACAGGCCCTTTACAGCCAGAAGGCCCGGAACTGCCAGACAAACGAACCTCGAGACTATTGACCAAAGAGCGAGTGAAGATGAATGATGGATGAGTCCGGTTGTAACTTGTCGGAACAGAGGGGATCTTGAGTATAATAAATGTATAGACAGCCCCCGTCCTGCAACGTCGGCCTGAAATTAACGAGCAAGGTTTGACTCAGCCCGCTTTGGAGAAGCCATTGATTTCCCTTCCCCCTGGCTTCCATGCTTGCCCATGCTAACCCCCTTATCCGAGAAATACGCCCAACTCTCGTACCTAAACGAGCCACAACATTGGACTGTCTTTTGCCCCACACTCGCAACGAAACCCATGAAAACCCACAAAAAGGGCCGGATACTGCCGACGCCGAGCATCAATGGTGGGGATTTTAAAAGGTTAAAAAAGAAAAAGAACGGGGCCGCTGGGGCCGGAAAGGGGCGAAGTACGCGGAATACATACGAATACACACCAAGTGGATTATCATGTATTGTTGAAAGCAAATACATTTCATGGTATCCGCGTATTCACCGCATTTTGTTCGGACAAACCCGAGCATACAACCCACCTCCTTTTCCCACTGATCCATCTCGGGTGTCGGTGACGTGACAACCCGGAGCGGACTCAGCAGTCTCCGCCACTGCCACGCATGGATGATGGCCAACACCAAACGCAAAGCACACCACAAGAGCCGCATGGGTAAGACCTTTGTCCCGACGTTTCGGTCATGATTAATTACCTTACCTACGTGACGTAATCCCCTTACAACCGAGCATACCATATACAAGAAGCTTTGTTTATGATGTGTTAACGAGTTTATTGACTCCATGTCTTTATCTAGGCTGCAAGAACTGCAAGGCTCGGAAAATCAAGGTTAGCACCCGAGTCATGCTTCATGCGTTCTGTATCAAAGCCACATATGCTGGAGATGGACTGGCACTGCCTAGCTACCTTGGTAGGTAACTAACACTCGTGGCCTCTCTGTGTAGTGTGACGAGAAGAAGCCATCATGCTCGAATTGCACCCGGCGCCAGGTAGACTGCGACTTCTGCACAGTCGGAACACCTCAGCCGGGTGTCTCTCCCACAGGCCTGAATATTGCCGACTTGGAACTGCTGCATAACTACACGACCACCACTTACTTGACTCTGTCAGAAAGCCCAGTACGTCTGTATTCAACCCCCTCTGCCTTCAGTCTCGATGGTAGATGGGTAGCAGTGCGAGTATCACCGGAGCCGCCGCCCCGAAACTGACTTGGAAGTCGGAGCTGACCCAACCCCCGTCTCAAACAGGTCATCAGGGAATTTTACCGAAATACGGTGGTGCAGGTGGGATTCGACTGTGACTACATCATGCGAGGCGTATTGGCTCTGTCGGGTCTTCACCTCGCTCACCACCGCCAACCCATGCGCGACCACTACCTCGCCGCGGCCATCCGCCACCACCAGGCCGCATCACAAACCGCCATTCCCCTCGTGCTGGATGCAACACCCAAGACCGCGCAGACGCTGTTCCTATTTTCGGCCCTGACAACTTACTACGGTGCGTCGCCTTTCGTGTGCTCCCCTCCTCACCTCCCTCCCCGCCCTTGAACCGATCTGCTATGGTTTCATCTCGTTTCCATCTCCTGCATCCCCACTCCGATAAAACCAGCCCAAGGTATGGCGGGAGAACGACACTACTAACACGACAAACACGGGTTCATCACACAGCGCTAGGCTGGCCGCGCAAATCCGAGGACACGCTGCTCCTGCAGGAGAACGCGGGCTTCCCAGACTGGGTGTACCTGCTACGCGGCACCAAAGGCCTGATCGAGGTGGCGGGGGGTACCGACGGCCGGCCCGCTGGCGCCGCTGTTCGCGCACTCGGTCAAGCGCTTCGTGCTGCGCGAGGGGCCCGAGGCGGCCAGCTCGTCCGCGCACGCGGCGCTGGCCGAGCTGGAGGAGGCCATAGCGGGACGGCCGCTGGACGACGAGGCGCTGCGCGGTGTTTATTTGATGGCTATCGCCGAGCTGAGGAGGTCGTTCGGCCAGGCCGAGGCGTGCGCGGCGCACTACGAGATGGCGGATGCTTTCATCTGGGTGTTTTTGGTGGCGGAGGATTTGCTGCCGCTGTTGAGGACGTCGACGCAGGAGGCTGTGGCTATCTTTGCCTTTTTTTGTGTGTTGCTGAAGAAACTGGACGGCCACTGGTGGATGCAGGGTTGGGGCGGGCATCTCATTGCCCATGCGTATGACCTGCTGGACGACGAGGGCCGGCTTTGGATTCACTGGGCCGTGGAGGAGATTGGATGGGTGCCACCGTCGGCCGCGGGGCGCTTGTGAGACGACGTCTATGTTGTATGTACAAGAGTGTACGGCTTCCAACGGGATGCCAGTATGATTGTAATCTATATTGCCCACCACACCTTTCCACGCATTACATTGAACTACTGCACTACTGTAATTGTGTATACGAAAAGTAAACCACCCCCCGCCTCCTTTCTGAGTCTCACACATTCCTTCTCACTCCCTTACTCACTTCCTCGACTGCACAATGGTGACCTTCGAACCGCCCTCAACCCTTATGATCGTGCTGTTGACAACAGAACCGTTCAGAGTGAACTTGGACTGGGACGCCGGAACCAGCAGCGGGGACGGGAGAGTGACCGTTCCCGTGGTGCCCGCAGGAGCCTCGACAGACATGGTCAGGAGGGTTCCACAAAACTTCCAGTTTACACGGACAGCACCGAGAGGCGTGGGCACGTTGCCCTGAGCCCAGCTAAGACCAAGAGTCTGCGGAGCGACTGCCCACTCGCCCCAGCCGGGCTTGGTGGGCTGGGCACCGAGCACAAACCGGCTCAGCTCAGCCGTCGGGGCCGCGGCCCACGCATGGCACAGGCTCGTATGGACTCCGAACGCGGGGCGGCCGGACCCGTCCAGGGTCTCCCAGAAACAGCCGGTGTAGTTGGCGTTGTTGACATCGGCCATCGGCGCCCACAGGGAGCCAAGCAGCTCCCGGGCAGCGGTAGCGTTTTGCGAGGCAAGGGCAGCGCGGAGATGGTATGCCGAGGCGTAAGGGCTGATGTACCGCTGGAAGCCGTGCTGGAGGACGCCGGGCGAGAAGGCGAGCGGGCCGCTGGGCGTGGCAAGCTCTCGAGAAAGGGTCGACAAGATGGTTTCGGTCGAGTGTGACGGGTTCAGGTTGACGTGGGCTAGAATGGCGATGGCATTGGAGTCTTGGCCGAACCCGTCCCGGATGCCGTCCGAGTAGACGTACGCGCCCAGCTCGTCGCTCCAGAGGTTCTCATCAATAGCTGCTCGCAGCGCAGCGAGGCGGTCCTGGTATACCGAGACGTCAACACCAGCATCGGCCAAGAGTCCGACCGTCTCTTGGAGCGAGTAGGCGTAGAGGACATTGAACTTGGTGACGACTCCAGACTGGGCCGGGTCGTAGTAATTCCAGTCCCCGCCGAAGCTGGCGTCGCTGAGGTTGAACAGACCGTTGGGCAGCGTTTGCGAGTGCGACCAATCGAGCATTCTCACAATCCTGGGTGCCCACTCCGAGGCCAGGGCGAGATCGCCCGTGTGCGTGTACGTCTGAGAGACAGCCGTGAGCAGGTTCCACGAGTATCCTATCAGGCCGGTGATGTTGACATCCAGGGGGGTCGAAAGCGGCTCTTGCTGTATCTTGACTGTGGGCGTGAAAAACCCTGGCGCGGCCTGCACCGATGCGAACAACTCAAGGGCACCTTCGACAAACTCCAGCCCATGGGTAGAGGTAAAAGCGGCAGAGCCGGCAACGTCAAGGTCGCCAGCATACGCGATACGGTCTCGGCGCGAGCCGTCAACGGACACAGGGAGAGGGTTGGTACCCAGCAAAAAGTCGTCCAGGCAGCTCTTGTCGGTCAGGGGGTGCTCGTAGGTGACGGAGCCCGCGGGGTCGGTCACGACCAGGTCTCTAAAGGTAGCCTTGTGGCCAAAGGAAGCACCGAGGCCGTAGGAGCCATAGAACTTGGAGTACTGGGTAAACTCGAATACCGGCGCGCCGTTGATACTGACGGCAACGTCGGTCATGGCGACCCCGACGTGCACAGAGTGCCAACTACCAAGAGCGAGCGTCACATTCGACGGGACCGTAACCCTCGCGAGCTCGGTGTCCTCGGTAGTCGACCCGACGTAGGCCACAACGGTCCTCGCTCCGATATCAACGGACATGTAGATTGCCGAGTTGAGAGTGTCAGACAGCACGCTGAACCCGAAGCCGCCAATCAGCGGTTTGACCTTGAAATCGAGATTGTAGGCCGTACTGGTGACGGCGACCAGGGCCCCGTTGGCCTGGGGCGCAAGACTGTCGATTACGGCGCCCTCGCTGGTGATTTCCCAAAACTCGGGGACAGAATCTTTGGGGATTTCGGTCAGCTGAATAGACCTGGCGCCGACGGCCCAGATGTTCGTAATAGTGTCGTCGGAGCTCTTGAACGAACCGGGCAGCTTGTCGATCGGAGTCGTGTGGGTGGTTGGAATCACGCCAACGTTGCGTAACCTCAGTTCACCGGGCGAAGTCAGATTCAGCTTTTGGTATCGAAAGCCCCCCTGGACATGGCGATGGGTGAACTGGCCCGGGGCAAGAATGTTGTGACGGTTAATGCGGTACGTGTCCATGGCTGCCGCTAGCGGGATTGGTCCATCGCTCTGGGAAAACAAACAATCAGCTTCAAGGTAAACACACGGGGAGGCAGCGGTAGGGGCTATGGCGCACCATATACGAATCCAGACCGGCTTTGCTTTCCGCGTACGTGATCTCGAGGACCGGCGCCTCGCCCGTGGCGCTCACGACCTCAAACGCCGGGATACCCTCCACGTTGGCCCCGTAGTCGATAACGTGAATGCCGCTCTCCGTCGTAGTTGACGATAGAATGATGGGTCCATCTTGCGCCGTGATCAACCGAGGGTCCGCTCGCGGTGGATGTGGATGTCTTTGAATAACAGCGGCACCCGCGATGGCCGCCAGGCCCAGGGGGATCAACCGTCCGATCATGCCGTGCACGAATTGATGCCGTCGTTGAAGCACGGGTGAGGAGAAATAAAGAGTGACTGCTGGAATGGGGCGCTCCAAACTGAGGACGAAGGACACAGGCTAATGCAGACATTGTGAGGTTAGGTTGGGACTTGGAGGATGTTAAATACATCAACGTAGCGTTTCTGAACCACAGCCCCCTGAGCATTTCCACAACAAACGGCACATCGGAACGGAGATTTGCAGTCCTCTAGGCTGATCCGTGATCCGGCATCACCTAGACCGTTCCCGAGGCAGACTTCATGCTGGGCGAGCAAGGGATAGGCCAAGGGCGGCTTCAGTCATCGCATGGGACCGAGCCATACGACAGAACCGAGATCGGGGACGCTTCTGTTTGGGGTTACCCTGCGGACACATTGATGTAATACTGCGTACCTGAGCCTTCGTGACGGGAGCAATCGCCGTTAAAATGCCAGGGGCAAGACGCGCGGGAGATGCCGGCCATGTGGGCAAGCGAGCAAGGAATAGGGAATGAACTGAAGGACGAAACTCCACAACGGGGAGGTGAAGGTTTTGCATTGCACCGAGTCATACCGATACCACAACTGCCGGACCGGGGTTTCTCACAAGGAACGCGATTTTAGCGGGGGAGGCAAGTGGCGGAGCTCCCCGTTGTCATGCAAGGGGCCCTCGCTCAGGTGGGTGGGTTTCGTTTAGGCTCGTTCAGTCGTATTCTTTCCGAGCCTCACTAAGAAGCCATCGGACACACACATGACATCGCACCCTCGCATGGCCTGATACAAAAGGCAAGAGCAACGCCCGTCTGACGCGGTCTTGGCTTGCTTCATGTCAGTCCTGGCCTAGAAAGTAGGTGGGGCCTTCGTTGCGGGTGAAGCGACATGTGGCAGGCCTTCGGGGCGGTTTCGATTAGGTAGTGGCCACGCAGAGGTGGGGATGGACAGAGAAATAAGGATGCATGTCCTTTACAGAGCGAGTATACAATGGGAAGGGAAACCACGATCAGGTTGGTCGTGCACCAAAACCTGGAGCAGGTGAGGGCCTGTGTATGACCAGACAGTATGGGTGTCACTTCCCATCGACAGCCCCTGGTCATGTCAGGTCTGGTCCATGGCGCTTGTGGACCGACATGATCCGTTCCATCTGTACTGCGGACTGCTAGTGTGGTTTGATGGGCACCCAAGGAAATCAGGAATCGTGTGTGCTCCTGCCTCGCTTCTTCTGACTCCAAGTCGTGGTCATGGCAGCAAGGCAACAGGCAGGGCTGCCACTTTCCTTCCTCCGTTGAACAGTGCTGGTGCGGCATGCACAGAGCAATGCAGCGGCGCGTAGCTGGCGGCCACTGTCACGGGTGTCGGATGGGAGCATGCATCATTGAAGATCTGGCCAGAGATAAAATGTGAGGGCAGGAAACTGGTCTAACATGATTGTCGCGCAAGCTACCTGAGTCGGACTCCGCGCGAGACCAATGACTGCGATGACCATGACAATGAAGATGAGCATCAGTTCTTCCCTGCCGCCACTGCTTGACCGGCCGCAGCTGTAGTTGAGATCGAGGTTGGTCGCAATGGTGAAGCTAGAATGTAGCACCATGACCAGATAGGCTCAAGAAAGTTTTGCCAACATAAGAAGGAAGCTCAGTCAATGAATCGCCGGCTCCAAGGTGCCGCGGTATATGTACCTTCATAGAAGAAGATGTTAAAAGGGCTAGTAGAGCGGATGGTTTTCACATACAAAGTCATAGGCCAGACTAACAGAAATTACAGAATGGCCAGATCGGTACTTGGAGCCTGGACCGGCCGGAGAATCGGCGAATAGATGACGCGCTTCGACTAAGAGAGCTGGGCTGTGAAAGACCAGGCAAGCTCGGGAAGAAAGACCAAGAAAGATCACGATTGTCAGACTGTCAGACTGTGCCATCCTCCCTCTGAGTCTGTTCCTAGCAGCACAACCACGTAATTATGACGTGCAGTCACCCACCATCTCAGGTCAGAGTCACACTAGGCGCCAATACCAAGTCCAGTGAACTCAGAAATCCGGGTGGAACACCAAGGAAGGGTCATGCATGAGTCTGCCTCCCCCTCTACCCCTGAGAATCAACGCTCCCCGGGCTGAAAGGATCACCCCGATCAATCAGCACAGTCATAAAAACAGTCAGGGACCTCTATGACTGGAGTTCAATCAGCCCTCGTCTCATTTTGCAATTCTGAGTTGCAGCAACAACCTTTGTCAACAATGCGTTGGGATTGCCGGACATGCACAACAGCGGCGCATTTGTGAAGTTGCTTTATCCTGGTTCCGCAAAACAAACCAGCGACAAAGTAACAAGGCGACTAACTCCTCATGGTTTCAGATCACGGCAGTCGACTCTTTTGGTCCCAAGCCATCTTGCATTTCCCTACCCCACCACTCTCAAATCAAATCACTACCTAGGTAGGTACCTACCTAGGTAAACATCTGACAGCAAGACAAATGTCCCAACTGCCATGCTGATTCCGTGGTCTCCCAACCTGGTGACTTGCGACAACCCCCCATCAACTCCTCTCCCACCCCAAGGGCATCATCAACCCCATCTGCCCGGCAGGTGTGGTTTCCACAAACCCATTCTTCGCATACAACTTCCGCCCCGGAGGGTCCGCAAACAGCGTGACATATGTCCCCGTCCCGTCCTGCGGCGCGTGCGTCTTGATATGCCCCATCAGGTGCTTCAGCACGGCATCCCCCAACCCCTTACGCTGATGCTCCGGCAGTACCGCCATGTCGGCGATGTGGAAGTACCAGCCGCCGTCGCCTATGATGCGGCCCATTGCAACGATGGTCTCTTCTTCACCTTTTGTGTTGCTGTCGGTGTCGGTGTTGGTAGGGGAGAAGGTGACGTAACACAGGTGACGTAACACCCGTACCAGCTGTTGCGGGCAATGGGAGCGGCCTGGGCGGGTGTCTTTGGGTGCAGGCCTGATGCGGTACGGAGATGGAGGTAAACTGGAATTGGCGGGTAGCCGGAGTGGATGGTGTAGCCCTCCGAGAGAGCCACCTCCGGTGAGAACGCAGCCGGGGCGGAGTCCGGGGTTGTGGCCGAGGTCATGTTGATTGATGATTGGTCATGAAAAGGAAAGTGAACGTGATTCTTGTTGGGCCCAAGGAAACAACCGAGAAAAAGGCTTAAAATAGAGAGAGAAAGAGTATGGGGTTTACTGTATTCAACTGAGCCATGCCAGCGCAAAAGCCGAGTCCGGCTCCGAACGGCTCCGAGTTAAGTGGGCCTTCCGGACCCAGTTGCCAGAATGGGCAGGTCGACGCCGGGAGGGCCCACTTGTCGCCGGCCTCAACCAACGGGAATAAAATAGCTGGGTCACGGTCTTCGAAACCTACCTAGGCAGACACGCAGATATTGATGCTTCTCCGTGGGACTCGACCGGAAATTAAGATAGAGATATATTTAGTGCGTACCCAAGGACTCCCTCCCACTTGGGTCCAAGGCACCAGGGGAGAGCCTCATGTCACCATACGCCGAGTCTCAAAACGCTCGAGTTACCTATATAGGCCAGGGTGGGTGGACGAGCTCGAGGAACAGACACATTCCGCTCACCCCATGCTTATGAAACTTACGTACCTAGCTTGATGTACTAACTCCTCTCACAAAAGTATAAATATACCACGGTTCCGGCACTATGGCTGTCTTAAAAATGACACGCATCGCCTTTGATGCTCGAGGTCGCCGCCATGCCCGCGATAGTTTCGAAAAAAAGGGGAGATAACCAACATTTTGGGAGCCATCCCGCTGGGAATTCGCAAGGTCCCGAAGACTTGGTCTTTCTTGTGTTGCATCCACGGGACTAATTTGATCAAGGTCTTGTCCGCCAAGTGGCATTATCCCGAATTGTCCCAAGCGATTGATGATGGGAACATAGCAAGTATCATCTCGCAGCGTAGATATGCTTGAATCCGTCACACAAACCGGTTCATCGATTACTGTAGAGGTACCGAGATGGACCTCCTTCCAATGCGCGGCGTCTGTCCACGGCCCGGAGAATGGTCCCAGAATGGGCAAGGAGTCGCCAGGACTGTTCTCCTCGGCCCATCTGCAATCATCGTGGAGTGGCATGGACGGCATGTTTGACCGCAGACTCCGTGGTCTATTCCTGGTTTGGGAATTGTGCCTTTCACGAAACATGTACGCGGGTCATGCAGACCTTATATCGGTACTGCTGCGTAGCCAGGCCCTGTTTGGCGTCCTTTGTGTGGCCATTCGCAGTCTCAGAAGGAGCGATGAATTCCAAAGAAAACAAAGGCTTTGTTTACACCGCATTCTTGAATACCTATGCGGCACAGCCCTTGTAGCTGTCGGCTACGGAACAACGGGACTCGAGCCGGGACAGTAGTAACCCCGGCTGCTAGGACAAGTACCTAGTAGGTAGGTACCTAGCCACCAGTGTTGCTGACCGTCTTCAACAGCCTCACCGGCCATGCCTAGGTAATTTTGCGTTTCCCGGTTGGCGTCAACCGGACTTGGAGTGGTTGATATGGTGCCGCGTCCTAATTCCCGAGCCGCTTTTACCCAGATTGCATCTCCTTCAAGCGACCGCTCTATTCTCCGGTCTGATATCTCACTAGGGCCGCTTCGCCTGTCGGACTTCCCCAATATTATCATCCAAAGAACGCCGCACCCATGTGGTAGTAGTTTAGGAGAAGCGTTCTCGAACCGACACAAACATCCGGATTTGATTTGCTCGCCCCTGGTTGGTGCTTGCGCTGCTTCCGTGGGAGCTCCCACCTGTGGAGGATTAAGTTGGTATTCTTAGAACCCCAGGAAAGGGTCTTAAACCAGGGAGAGGACCAACCCCGGGAGTATAAGAGTGGGAATTACCCTTTCGTTTGGTCTTGCCTCGAGTTCGTGTCCCAGATACGGCCCCCTCACATCAACGATCAGCAACTATGAGCTTAAGGTCGTTCGCGTTGCTGGCCTTGAGCGGCACCCATACATGGGCTACCTCCACTAGTGGCTCTGGACCAGCCAAGAGGCAGAGCACCACGGCCAAGTACTGCCCAGGAGGGACGCAGATCTGCTTCTCGGAGTTTAGAGAACCGACCAGCAACATCTACTACCGCATCGCCATCCCGGAAGTCTCGGCTGCCCCGTTCGATGTCCTGCTACAGATCGTGGCACCACTCGACAAGGCAGGATGGGCCGGCGTTGCCTGGGGTGGGAAGATGAACGGCAATCCCCTTACCGTGGGATGGCCAAGCGGCGATAGCGCAGTCGTTTCCTCAAGATGGAGCACGTGGGTAATTCTAATGCCCCAACACTACACGTACTGACGACAACTTCCAAAGGGGGCGAGTTGTACCAGGCGCATACTCGGGGGCCACCTACGCCGTGTTGCCATCAACCCACACCAACGCAACGCACTGGCAGCTCGATGTTCTCTGCACCGGATGCAGCCAGTGGGAGGGCGGATCCCTCGACCCGAATGGTGTCAACAGTTTTGCCTGGGCCAAAAACACCCAAGCGGTGAACTCGGCCAGCAACACCAGCTCCTTCGGATATCACGACGGAAGGGGGGTGTTCGACCACGACCTTAGCGCCGCCAGGATTCCCCAAGGTGTCTTCGACGCCATAATCTACGGCCTTAACAACCCGACGCCGCCGGAAACCGACACAGCAGCCGCCACCGTGTCCACGGCCGTCGTAACAATTCCCAAGCCATCCACCGCCATCACTTCCTCATCAAGCAAGGCGACCCCTACTCGGGCAACCGAGCTGTCTTCTTCCGCCGCTGTCAAGACCACTCCCGTCGTGGTCACCACCCGTGTAACGCAACTCCCCAAGCCGACATCCACATCAACACGCCGAACGTCGCCTGACCCGCTCACCAGTAGTCCGACAACGCGGAAGCCGACCACGCCGGGCGTCGTAACCCTCACGGTCACGGCCCGGCCACCGACAACGACTCAAGATGATAGTGGTGATGATGATGATGATGATGATGATGATGGCCGGGGTGAGTGGCCCCCTTGGACCGGTGGGGGTGGCCCGCCATGGGGAAGAGGTAAGGGAAAAGGTGGTGGAGGAGGATGGGGTAGGGGAGGGGGGCGCCGGGGAAGACGGGGCCGGCTTGTTGTGCCGCCGGGAGAGTACTAATAGGGGGGCGGTTGTGTAACGATGGGAGGCGGATTCCCCTGGGGGGGTAGAGGATGGTAGGGGATGAATGTATGGCTGAGGTTGGTTGGTTGGTTACTGCTTAGCTTCATTAATTGCAATTCCGGGTTCGAAAAAGAATACGGCAGCGTATCTTGAGTAAGAACGGTGTCAAGTTGTGATTGTTCGGCCCGCTCGTCCAGGATGCAACGGACTGGTTGTTTCTAAGTGCCGGCCAACCGGGAGGAGTCCAGTTCATGCAGCCGTCATCGTGAGTGCGGAGACACTGTCTACCGACATTGAGGCAGTAGTTTCAAAGAGTATCATTGGGTAGTTCCCTTCGGCATGCACAAGACGATAATCTTGATGGCGGTAGTTCTTTTGTCTCTACCGGTCAAGATGATAGCTGGGCTTCTATAAACCCCCGCTGACGGGACCTTGATTATATTAACGACAAATTGTTCATCTCATCAACCTTTCCATCAGCACACACTTCTAAGGCCACATACCTATGTGGAGAGAGATGAAGCCACAATTATTCTTCCTTACGGGTGCGGCGTTGGTGACCTGCGTTGCCGCAGAATGCAGCCGATCCTTTCTCGTAGACGCCACAACCCAATACGTAGCAGCGCAGACGGAGGGCAAGCCGGCCACCCTGACAGCCATCACTGCTGACAACCTCAACTACACCGAGAGCGACAAGACGGTCGACATTACGACCGGCGTCCTCGCACAACCCATGAAAATCGACCACAACCGCAGCATCCACGACACCACCCTATGTGCGACCTTCACCGAGCTGATCGTTGGTGACGCGGCCGCCCTATGTCATCGGCACCCGCATGGTCTTTACGGATGACAAGGCCAGCTTGATCGAGACCATTGCGACCAAGCCGGGCGACTGGGCCTTCAACGCCACAGGGTACCTGCATTGGTATGTGTGATCAAGAGACATCAACCACGCCTTCTATGAATCACAGACAACTAATACAATGGCAGGAACTCCCTCGAGACTTGGGACCCCATTCCCGCCTCGGAGCACGACAGCCGGGAGGTGATCCAGGCCGCGGGCGACGCCTACTTCGACCGGTTCAACAACGCCAACATCACCGTCCCGTTCGGCACCCCCTGCGCGCGGCTCAAGGGCGGCGCCTACACGGACCCCCGCGGCTCGGGCAACGGCACCTGCGCGCTTGGGCTGCCATCCACCATCGAGGTAACAAACCGGCGGTACGTGGTCGACGAGGAGATGGGGGCCGTCGCCATCTACGTGGGCTTCCCCGGCCTGGACAGGTCCGTCCCAGAGAAACCGATGCCGGACAGTCACTTCTTTCGGGTCGAGGGCGGCGAGATTCGGTACATTCACACCGTCACGACGTGCGAGAACGCTGGGTGCGGGATGAACGGGACAGGGATCCCACCCGCTTAAAAGACGGGTGCTATTGTTGGTCTTGGACGGTTTGATCGGCCCCGTTTCGAGTTTCGAACAGTCGTGATTCCGTTTTAACTAGGTACCTACTCGGGCAGCACGGGCAGACAGAGCGGGGAGGCGTAATCTGAATTCCGTATAACCAAGAGCATGAGGCGAGCGAAACAATTCGGCAACGAGGCTTCGATGAGCGAATGCGAGGGGGCGAGCCAGTTTATTCAATCAGTCAGTGCTTCAAACCCTGACCGTTCATAAGTTCCTAAAATATCAAAGATCCTCCTGTGTGGTCCCACAGCTGCAGGTTCCTGGTGGCCGGGGTCGGCCGTGTCAAGCCTGTGAGAGTCCAGGAGAGGTCGATCGATGCCCCGATGATCAACACGATTCACTACCAGTTTGGTCAAAGATGCGAAGAGGAGGCGGGGAATAGTCAGTCCCACCAATGCCGCACTATTGAACGTTTGCGCCTCTTTGTTGCCAAAGCACATGACAACGGAAATGGTTCTGGAAACGGGCTGGGTTCCTCGCGGTCGGACAGTGGCTGCTTATTTTCACCCTTATTCGCTTAACTAGCAGGCTCTGGGCCGGTTCCCTGTGCGCTTTGCGGCAGCTGGACGGATACCCAGACCGGAAGCGCGGCCGCGGGGCACAGCTCATCCTTTCCAAACCTTCTCGGGTTAGCCGGAGATGGGAACCGCCACCCTGGGCTGCTGGTGCCGAGCTGCAAGCTGAAGCTGCCAGGGCACTGCCAAGGGGACCGGGACCTGCTTTTCATCCCCAGACACGACACGACACTACTTTTTGGCTTGCATGCTGCATGCGTCCATCATGGGTTCGTCAAATCCGAGCAGGGGGGATGCGAAGGAGCCAAATCTCGACAACCAGCAAAAGAGACAGGGGGATGGGCGAAAGCCAAGATCGAGAGTCGTCCAGGGTGATGACTGGCATTCTCCAGGCCATGATCCAGCATCGGGGATGATACATATATCTTAAGGTTGGACCCTGCACCCCCCCTTCCCCCCATCCACCGCCGATCTACGATCTCGACATCCATCTCCACTCGTGTTGTTCTTCCTGGGTTCTTCGACACTGTTTGAGGGCGCTGCAGAGGCCAGTCAGCCTTCGGGATCGCCACCCAGACTCACCCTCTCCGCCCACCACAGTTGAACAGACACCGAGGCCTTCTCGCGACCGCCTCCAGCAATGTCGTTGGCACCAGGCCCCCCGGGGCCCGATGAGTCCAAGGCCTCCGTCATCGTCGGTGTCGTCGGCACTCTTCACCTGATTTCCTTCGCGCTTTATGGCACCCGCATTTACACACGGATAATACCCAACTTCCGGCTATCCCTCGACGACTTTCTCATCACGGCCGCGGTGGTAAGCATACCGCAAGATATGCAGAGTTGTGCTTGGAGCACTCGAGACTGACGGTCTCGACACTAGATCTTCGATGCGGTTTCGTTTGGCATGTTGATGGTTGCCATTCACTATGGCGTAGGAAGACACAATTACTACGTCCCAGACGACAAAGAGGTGCTGGCAGAGAAATGGCTCTTCCTCTGCCAGCCGCCCTTCCCCTGGGCCCTCGCCTGCTCCAAGATCAGCATCGCCTGGATGCTCATCCGGATCCAGCGCGACCGACCCTGGTGGACGTGGAGCATGTACTTTCTCATGTTCATATCATTGGGCGTCGCCATCGTTTCCAATGTCTTCCAGCTGTCGGCCTGCAAACCGCTATGGGCGGTCTGGGACCACAGCAACCCCGACGCTGTGTGTACGGACCCGGCCATAAGTCAGACCTCTATTTACGTAACGGCGGTTCTGACCATCATAACCGATGTCGCGCTCAGTCTTGCGGTATGTGTCCTTCTAAGATGGCTGAGGCATACAGAAATGCTAACATCTGGCCAGCCCATCACCTTCATCGTCAACATCCAACGCCCCCTTCGCGAGAAGATTGCGCTCGGCTTCGTTATGGGTCTCGGTATCTTTGCCAGCAGCGCTTCCATTGCGAAAACATTCATGATTGGGAGCTACGGAAAGACAGGTGACACGTTGATGGATACGGTTGGACTCACGACGTGGAGTATGGTGGAGGCACAGCTTGCGTAAGCCCCCCAGTCCCTATACACCAACGTGTATCACATTTCCCTCCTGACTAACTCGCTCGCAGCATCATCGCCGCCTGCATCCCGACGCTCAAGCGCCTCTTCGAACAGATCCTCCGCCGGTACGGCCTCATCTCGAGCCAGAACTCGGCGACTCGCTCCCGGTCAGGATACTACAAGCACGACGAACACTCGCGCTCGCGCGCCTACAGCCAGCACCAGTCAGAGAACCACAAGCTCTCGACAATGAGGTCTCAGCGCGACGCCAAACACAGCGCCGCCGCGACGAACGCCGAGACAAGCAGCGTCGACAGCGGCGAGATGCCCATCATGAAGCCCAGCCACAAGGGCTCGATCGGGGACTTTGAGTCCGTCACCTCACCAACGCCGAACAGCGAAAACGGCGTCTACTTCAGGACGGCCATCAAGGCCGGGGACAGGGAGATGAGTGGGCCGGACCAGAACGGGATTCAGATGGAGACAACGGTCTCTGTGCGCACAGAGCCGAAACAGCGGAGGAGGGAAGCAGACATTGTTTGAGTTGGGTTGGATCCATTTCATTTTTTTTTTGCTCCGGCGTTCAAGGGTTCATTCGCTTGCACCCAAGACGGCGGGATTGGGGCAATGCACAGGACAGGTCATGATGTTCATGTTCAGATACACCAGTTAAACCGGCTGATTGTCGATCACTATGCAATATCGACATCTTTGCAACGTCACTGACGCTAAACTCCTTGGTCTTTCCCACGTTGGCCCCCGTCCAGGTCCCTCCCGCGATCATGTTCTCTGTCCCAAACAACGGCCGGCTTCGGTCACCCAATGGGCATATTTGTTCCCCTGAGCCTGACGCACCAGACCCCCCGGTGCCAAACTCGCACGCGTATTGAGTAAAGCGCGCATGTGGCGCACAACCCCCAGCTCAGCGAGCGGTTTCCTCGAGGGGGCTTCCCCGGTTTTCAACAGCAGGGATGTTCGTTCACCCCGGCGAACCCCCCCTGGTGGATGGAACAAAAAGGGCTTCGTAACCGGTCCGGGAGTTCGTCCCGCGGCAGAAAAGGATTCAGAGAAGACATAACTCAACTACCCTGCCATTAACTGCTGTCATTGAGGGTTTCGTGTGTCACCTCGGACTGCAATCAAGCCCTGCAAAATAAGACAGGAAAAATGGCGTGGACCAGGATGGTGAAAGGAGGTTCCCAGTTGACCAGCTCTGTGGCTTGCTGATAAAAGCCCAAGCGTCGGGAAAAGCGACGCGTGGCAGCCCCGGTAGCCCTGGCAGATCTTTTCGATCTTTCAAAAAAACAACTGAGTTGTGGGAAGTGAGACGGGAGGAAAGGATCCGCGCACATCGGTCGGGGTGGCGTCGAAGGATCCCCAAACCTTCGAGAACTTTGGTTCCAAACCCACCGAGGTTGTCTCGTTGTCTCACCGGTGGCAGCGAGCATTGGCACAGACCGTCTGCTTGACCTTCCCGTTCCAGTGGTTCGAGAGTGACTGTGACTGGTCGCGCTGCAGCTCTCGGCCCGTCCATCACAAAAGTACCGGCGTCCTGCCATCCTCAGCTGCCGGCTTGCCGTCCTCCCCCCCCTGTCGTCCCTGCCGGAGGCTGAACGGAAATTTTCTCCCTTGGCTTCGCTTGCTTGCCGTGAAACGTGTGGGAAGCTCTACCGAGGCAACCACACGCGCCACAGTCCCGGAAGATGAGCGAGGCGGCCCGGCCAGTGTGCCGGGTGATACGACTGCAGGAACGCCAGCCGGTTTCCGAGAGAAGAGCCAAAACAAAACGGGCAATGGGTCGCCTCAGGTCTTGCGAGCCACGTCCCAGCCCCTCTTTCCAAAGTGGCGGCTTCGCCGTCAGTCACCCCGCGTTCAACAAACACTCACTCGTCGCCGAGAAAAGGATTATGCATGTCTCAGAAGGGGCCATCAAGTTTCCGCATGTGATTCGACCCCACGCGGACCGTAAACGTCCAACTGATCCAGCGATCGAGGAATCGGGGGCCCGAGACAGGAAACTCCCCATCCGTGCCATCGGGACCGTTCAGCTAGTGCCAGTCAGAGCGCGCTCGGAAACCCAGCTTGAAGTGGCAACAATCGCCCATCCTTCTGGATCTTCTGTCAAAAGATCTTTGGCCGAACGGCACTCAGTGGCCCCCATTGGGTGACAGAAACCTCGTTACATCGTCCGCCCGTTAGAGGCTTGGTGGTGGGAGGGTGACCAGATGGTGCCGGACCCAAGAAGAACAGAGTCGTGGAGGATTCCGGCGAACGGGGCCGTCATTGGCTCCACGCCCGATCTCTGCGGCACGCAATTTCAACCCGCCCAGGGTTGACCCCGGGACCCCGGTTCAGCAACGGGCATGCCGTCTGCAGTCGGCCTGGATTGGCGGCGGATTGGGGTCCGTTCGCTCGCTTGGCTTTCGCTTTCTCGAGCCAAACACGCCCAAGCACCCAAGCAGGGGATGGGAAACAGCAGCATTATGCTTCAAACCTCACTTGGGATTGCCCGAGTGTCATCAAGTTGAGAGCACAACTGTGCCGCCTTCTCAAGTCGACATACCAGGACATCGGTTTAAGGTTATCCAAGTGTGCGGATCAGCGGATTCATCAGAACTCCGCAGTCCACCAACTGACCAACGGGGCGGGCCGTTGGCGTCGACGACGACCCACGGGACCAACACTCTGCTCCACCGAAATCGGGGCTAGACAAAAGAGGCTCGAGCAAAATCACCACGACCGGGACCGGGCCACCAACACTGTGCAAGTCCGGGGTTTGTTCTCTGAGTCTGAGACAAAGAGTGAGGGGGTAACCCGCAGTTGGGTCGAGAAAGGGGAAAGAGGAAATTGACTTGGAAGACAGCACCAGTGACACGATACATACATCAGACGGGCTTCAGAATGGTGCCAACATTGAAAAAGGAGCGGGGAAACAACAGTCCACACTTTTCACATCCAGGGACGTTGATTATCCCATCGCTTCCCACTCATTGGGGGATGAAATGCATAACTACAATGCCGCCCGTTGTTAACCAGCGGGAAACTATCGGGTACCCGTGGCAACTTTCACTTAGGCAACAGCCAGTCTCGAGGGCCAAAGCGCCGGCAATGGATTGGGAGTGGTTTCGTCCAGGGCCGCGGGCCAGGACTGTGTTCCTCATGCAGCTCCCAGGAAGCGAGGGTCAGATGCTCAATGAGGCCAGAACTCGGGCCGAGAGTGACCATCTCCCCGAGGTTGGCGCTGGCAGGGTACGGTCACCGGAATCCGCATAGCTGCTTTTGTGCCGCTTCGCCGATTGGCGGCCTGTGTTCCAACAAGTGTGGTTTTGGGGACGCGAGGGCTTGGGCAAGCAAGTCTTGGTTATAATCTTTCCAGATATCACAAATCCTCCGGAGCCGCAGACACGTCTTCCCGTCTAGTTAACTGCCTCAGGGGTGTTCCGAGAAACGCTCGCACTCCTCCCGAGTGCTACCTTCGAGCGCCGGCGGACCTTTCGACGCGTTCCAGACACCGCTCGGAACATAGCAACCTCCTCTTAGCCATCCATAAACGAACTGGGCTTGCTCTCCCCCTGGCCATCATGTTCGCCCCTGATAAAGCTCCTCGAAAAAGGAGTGTGTTTTCAGCAACCCAAAATACCCACCCTTGTTCATTGCCAATATCTCATCCCTACCGTGGCAGAGTTGAACCAGGTTCGACGTTGGCGCGTCCTCCCAGCTCTCAGGATCATCATACAGGTCCTCTCGAAGGTTTACCGAGCAATGCACAGACGTGATGGTTTGATGTTAAGACGAGGGAGACAACCTTGTCATCGTCGAGACCAGCGCGTTTTGGAAACCATGCCGGGGGGTGGGGGTTGGTGGCGTGGCGGCGAGAATGATAGAGGAGGATGTTGTTACCTTGCCGTTCCAGACGCCTATTCAAACACGCAGACTAAAAATCCCTCGCCCTCGACCAGGGCGCTCCGAGTCCACTTCCCAGATGTCCTGTTTCGTGCTTCGGAGCATGTATTGATTCCTGGGTACCTAGACATCAAGGTGGTGGACGAACCGAGTTGTCTGAAGCACTCCGCGGCACTGCGATGTAATAGAAATGCTGGGGCTAATCTGTAATCCATTTCTGGGATCAAGTATTTCCGCTACTCTCCTGCAATTGAGACACATCACCTTTCCGTGGATGAAGACGGGCTCTTGGTCAGTTCTTTGCGGTAGCGCGCAGCCACCCAGCGATGGAAAACGGGCCCTTGCCTGTCATCGCCACATGTGCTCGTGGTCTTGAGTGACTAGTGGCCAACTTTAGCAATGTTCATCAGGGAGTCCTCGCCCTACGCAATCTTGACTAGCTCCTTAGACAAGCTAGTAGTGGTAACCTGCCTCCAGCCTTCAGCTGGTCCTGCGATCTCTTCCCGATAGCTTTATGGAGCTCTCTCGGACTGTTCTTTCCGTCGGGCCTCGCTGGTTGACTGGGTCTGGAGAGTGACACTTGGCGTCATAACCCGGTGGGTTAGGGAGGGAGGTTGGTCGATAAATGGGCGTCAACTAATTGCGTTAGTTGCGCTGGGTGGCCGTTATTAAAGGGGTAGAAATCAGCGCGGTTTACCTCCTTCATTAGCAGTCGTCGTCGTGCGGCGGTATCGACCAGCCCGTCACCCACCCGCCTACAATCACCCTGTTCGTGCTCAGAGTGTACCCCTAAGCCATTTCCTCGGCTCTGCGGCAACCCGCTTCGTCACGCTCATGAACACGGCCATGGATTCGTTTAAAGGTCTCACCAATCTACAAAAGTATTCAGGTGTCCAGGCGTCTTCTTCCCTGATGAGGATCGTCTTTGTGATTACGACCTTTCCGGGGGTTTGGCCACCCTCGATCGTCAACTTCAGGAACTCTACAACCTTCAAGCTGCTCTAAGCCTTGAGTTGGACTATGTTTGCAGGGCCAGTGCTCAGCAAGACCATCAAACAAAATTCAAGTACCATCAGGCTGTATGCTTCTAGAATTACAGGTGATAGTCTATGCTATCATGAAAAGGCTGGCTGAGGACGAAGCTAATAGGGTCTATCAGCAGCACTTTATTTTGCGAGGCAGGCAATCGTGACGCCTACTATACCGGTATAGACGTTTACTTCATAATCTGATAGTGTAATCCTTGACACGACGAGCATGTCCCTGAACGGTAACAATTACATCCTGTCGCCGATCTAGAAGATTGCCGGTTCCGATATATTACGTCGAGACGTGTAGACACTTATGAACACAACGACGATAGAAAGCCTTGGGACGGAGACAATCAACACAGGTCGAGACGAGTGATGATATCCGAGTACTTGGTGTCGACGGGTCTACCTGAAGATGTGCCCGTAGGCACTAAACTCAATACTGTAGAACGGTTTCGCTATTCCCAATCTCCCAAACCCATGCTGTCCGATGCCTAATTGTTGCGGGGAGACCGTACCGACGCAGGCAAGCTGTTGCCCGATTCGATGCGCTCCGAGGAGCGGCGGCGGCGCACGGAGACGAACACCACACTCTCTTCAGATGGTGCCCGGGCACCAGCGGAAGGTCTTTACCAGCCTTCCTGCGGGCCTCCCTTTCATAGTGGACTAGGGTGTCAGGTGTCAGTGTCCGCCATGGGGGAAAGATAAGGGCTGCGCGGCAACTTACTTGGCCAGGAAGGTGGACGTCTTGCCGAGGCCGACATTGTTGGCCAGGATAGTGACCGGTAGGGGGGTGGCCTCGGCCCGGTACATGGTGTAAGCGTCGTCGAGCTGATGCGGCATCAGCCTAAAGTCCTTTGCGGTACCGCGGATACGCAGGGCGTCAAAGTCGTAGTCGTCGGGGCTTTCGTGCTCGATGCCGATAGCCCGGCAGGCGTCGTACATGTCAACCTCCGGGTTCTGGTGCCGGGTGGTCATGCTGGCGATGGCGGCGGTGTTAGCCACCAAGGTCCTGACGGCGTCGGTGGCCTCCTTGGTGCCGAGCAGCAGCAGGGTACGGGAGTTAAGGCGGCGAGAGGACCTCGAAGGGGTTGTTGGTGTGAGGCCGAACATCCTCGGGGCGAGGGAGGGTCCGGGCCAGGCTGCCGTCGAAGGCTAGCTCGCCGGCGGCGGCTTGTGACGAAGGCTCAGTCGGATTGTTAGACATTGTGGGTCTCGCTGATGTGGTATTGGGTCTCGTCGGTTTGGTTTATTGGGATGTTTGTGGAGCGGCGATGGCTTGGTGGCAGCGGCTGATTGTTGGCAACTATCAACTGAGTAGAGATTGTTAGTCAGGGTCATCTAGGTGTTAGGACGGACAGTTGGTGTTAGGACGGACGGTTAGTGTTGGGACGGACGGTTAGTGTTGGGACGGACGGTTAGTGTTGGGACGGACGGTTGATGTTAGGACGGACACTTGGTGTTGAGACGGACAACACAGCTTGGGATGGACAGGGTATTTGCCGTCCGGTCGCTCATGAATAATCTTTTATTTCATCCCTATAATGCATAATCGTACTCGTCCGTCCTCGCCCCGTCCCCAGGCTCTTCCCCTGTTCTTCGCCCCTAAATCACACTTCTTTCATACTCCCGGGTGCGGAGGACCACCACCTTCCATCCTTATAGGTCGCAAGGGTCATTCTCAAACTGGACACGGACCCCGCGTGACTGAAAGAAGGGATTCTCCCTGAGGTTCCTCCAAGCCCACTGGGCCTGGCATCTATACGATCCAAAGCGCCACTCCAGGATGTTGATGGACTGCCCCATCACGAGGGGAACAATCTCGTCGACCTCGAAGACGAAATCCCTAGAGAAGTGGGCCATGAGATTCGGCACGGTCACGATGTCTACCGGCCCGGCGATGGAGAGACACCGGGTGTGATCCTCCGGCTCCGGTGCCTCAGCCACCCGGTTTCGGTCCGGCCGCACCACCGCCCGGATGCCATCCACAAAGAAACCGGGCTGGCCGGGACCATTGGCGCGGGCCAGGAAGATTTGGGCCGCCACCGAGGTAAAGAAAGTGATCTTAGCCGCCGCCATTCCGTGCTCGCGAGTGGGCGGGCTGATGACGCTGGCCCATACGCGACCGGTGTTGTGAATCGCGGCGAGGAGTTGGTGGGTTGTGATGGTAGGTGACAGCCCGGTGATGTAGACCGAGCAATTCTCCTCCTGGGGGATATTGGCCGGGCGGTTTCTCGCCAGTCTATAATTTCCGCGGTAATTTGCGGAAACCCCGGCCGCCACACGGGAGGCGATGACTTCCGGGCCCGGGTTCTCTCTGCGGGCCCTCGAGTGGGGGTTGGCCATGTAGCTCGGTCTAAATGGGGCCCTCGGGGGCGGAGGGATAGCGTCCCCCCTGTCTGTGCCTGCGGGCGTCTGAACAGTTTGAGCAGAGGCCTGGCGCTCGTATTCTAGGTTAGGAGGACGGGAGGGCGGCTCAGCGGGAGGGAAAGCCGGGCCGGCGGCGCCTTGGGCTTGGGGAAATATGCTGGCCGCCATGGCGGGGGCGAAGGCCGGAGCGGAGGCGGAAGGCATCTATGGAGGAAACGCGGTCAGTATGTTGATCACATAAAAACTGCAAGAATTGGGTTAGAGCTTACTGGGGTCTGCCATCTGGATCTGCCGGCCTGGTAGACATTATCGCCGTAACTAAGCTGCCAGTGGTTACGCGGCGCGGGGGTGTTCAAGGGAGCTGCCGCGGGGATATGTGCGGCGGTCTCCTGACGAGAGTAAAAGGCAGGTGTGCTAGCGCTACGCCTGTACCCTTGGGGAATAGTATTCTCCCACTCCTGTCGCTGCGGCATTGGAGCCCGTGGAGCGATTCCGACAAGGGGTGGATAGTACCCTTCCGATCGACCCCGGAACGTCTCGTTCTGCCGAGGGTTGGCCATTACGATAACTGCCTAGGTTGCCGTTTAATTAGCATTAGGCGGCGAACTAAATCACGAGAGGAATATATATACGTTACACTTTTCTAATTGTCGCCTTCCTCGTTCGGGGAGGAGAAATGATAAGGAGTTGGCGTCGCCCGAGTAGCACTGGGCGAATTATCCTGAGTTGTGTAAAGACAATTGATGTTATGATGATAATTTGTGCTTGAAGGGGAAAGGAAAGGAGAGGAGGAAGAGGGTGACGGAAGATAAATAGGCAAAGTTGTACTTGTGGGAAGGTTAACACTAGATGAAAACTAGGTGATGAGGGCACACTGCTATTCACCTAATCTGATGGTATTTCCTGTTTGACACCCCATTACTCATGGCTACAGTGCGCCCATTCACCGATTGCGAGCGTGACGGCTGAAGAAACTGCCTCACTCAAACCATGGATCTCACTGGTCATTGTGAACACGCGGGTGATTCGTAGTTCGCTTTGTTGCTATATGGAACAGCAGGTGCGTGTGAATGGACAGCAGGTGTTTGTGAATGGGTAGATACATGAGGGCCACTACGGCTAGTTCTAGGGCCGTCATAGCTTGGAAGATGGTGAGATTTGAAAAGAATTTCGTCTGTAGATAGGTTACGGACACGACGCAGAAGGCTGGTCAGTGGCTGATGACTCCTCGGTTTAGTCACAGCGCTGAGTTTATTAACTATCAACATCTGTCACCCCTCTTTATCAAATGGGTTGTTTATGTCCCGGCACATGTCGTTACTGCCAAATTGAATGTCTCTGCTCTGCCTGTGCAGCGAGTAGAGAAGGCGAGGGGGAAGATGTGCCAGGTAAGGTAAGGTAGTCAAAGAATTAGAGAACCATAAGGTCAATCAATGCCTGGCTAATGGCGAGATAATAAACACCATAAAGCCGAGGGGTATTATAAGGAAAGAGAAGCCACTGCGACTCCCCCAAAGCCGATGAGGTAGGTAGGTGGCTGGGGGTGTATTTGAGAATTGCGAAGTTGCAGTTACGAGAAGCCAACCGGTTCCCTAGCAAGGAAACTAATATAGCTTATGGAACAATGGGTGTTGAATACGCTGTCTCGTACTCCATATAGTTGATTGCGTTCCTTGTAGATTTGCTGCAACACTGTGCACACCACAGCTGTATCCAAAGGATTGTGTTGTGTTTTGTTGTTGTTGTTGTGACCCCTGAGTTGACCCTAACCCTATCGGTCCTCACCCTGGGCCTCGTATCTTGTCGCCGGCGCGAAGACTCGGCAAACGCCGAGGCAAGAGCGATTCCCGTGCAATTTCCGATAGGATTGCGAACGTCCAAGAATCTCCCAAGAAAACCAAGACAGGCTCCCACCCAACAATTGACATTTCACATCGAATGATAGGCCGGTTCGCGACAGCTGCAGTCAGCCACGTCAACGCCCAGGAACACAGCTTCTTTACGCGGTGCTTGGCCGGCGTTTCGATCCGGGAGATCGTACGAGAGACAGCGGTGAAGGGGAGAGAGAGCAAGGAAAACCGTCAGGCTGTAACTACTAGGGTATTAAGAGAAAACGGACAACTAAATCGAGCATAGAGAAAATCCGAAGAAACCCGCCGCAGTCGGCATGCGGAGTGGGTAGTAGGCAGTAGCAAAAAGGCAACCCTCGTTCCCCGGTGTAAACCCGTAATAACACCGTCCCGTCCTTTCCTTCCCGCTCCAGATGTCCGCCGCCCCCCGATAATTGTCCGTCCACCTGCCCTCCCGAAACCGCCAAGCTCAGATCCCCCGCTCACAGACCATTGTCGGTTTTTCGGTTCGGAAGGGCGCATTAAAGCAGGATTTGCTCGTCATCAGGTTGGGTTGCCGTTTAGCAGCAGCAGTCCAGGCACTCCAGGCAGCATTCGCAGGTCTCGCCGCAGAGCCAGCAGCAGCACATGGCGGCGATACTGGAAACGCACAGTCGCGGTTAGCTAATATTCTGAGGGAGTTGAGGATCAGGGCTCCTAAACTTACCAGGTGTAGAGGCAGCCGTGGCTCTTCTCCTCCTTGGCCGGGGGCGCCTCATGATATTGCATGGGCTGAGGCGGCGGGTACCCTTGGTTAGGATAGGGCTGGGGCGCGTAGCCCTGGGGAGGCGGATAACCCTGGGGAGGGTAGCCCTCGGGAGGAGGATAGCCACTGCGGTAGGAAAAAAGAAAGCGGTCAGTTGCTCAGTTCCATGATAATTCCTTTTGGTCGTGTGATTTATAGGCCACCGCGAGAGGAACGGAGTGCGGCATGTGATTGCCGAAAAGTGGCATGACTTACCCTTGGGGAGGATAGTGCGACATGATTTCTGTGGTGTTGGTTTTTTTTGTTGGTTTGTGTTATGTTGGAGGAAGATGAGAGAGAAAGGGATAATAAATATGTAAAGAATTAAAGAAGTCGAGGCAGGATAACCCACAAGTCGTTTGCTGCGCCTTCCCTTGCAACAGCAAAAGCGGGTGTTCCGGCGCGGCTCGCGGGCCAGCGGTGGGGCGTTTATCTCCGGATGCTGGCTTGCGCGGTCCACTCTGCCAATGCTTGGACGATGGCTGTCGGTGCCGATCCATCCGACAGCCGCCCTCTGCAAAACTTGGCGGTGCAGGTTTGTCAACCCTCCAAAAAGAAGAAAAAGATGTCGGGGATGCCGAACTGCCAAAGTGCCGAAGTGGGATCCGCGTTCGCAACATTGCCGAGATTGGAGCTTGCACAGGTGCGTTCAACCGCCTTGCATTCCGGGCCGAGCCCGTTGTTGACATCGCACGGAGCCCGTTCCGATCGCACCATGTGGGGCCCGCACAGCACGGCAGTCTCGGCGCCGATCTTCCACTGATTTTCGGACCTCACTTTTCTGATGATTCGGATGTCCGAAGTGTCGTTTTGTGAGCCAAACTCTGCAAGCTGCAGGAACCAATGCCTTGAACGTTATTTTCCAGAGATAAGTACCTATACACCTGCCTATACAAGCCTCCAAACGAAAACCAGCTTCTTATTCAAAAGTTTCCTACACGCCATCAGTCCATGATCAGTCCATGACCAGTCCATGACCCAATCGTCGAAACTCGCAGATCCAGATAATTAATACCTGCTGAAAACATAAATTTCCCATTCTACGTCAACCCCAGTCGAGATGTCGCCGTACGGTTGTGTCCAACTTGAATCGGATTTCATTGGCAATGGTCTGAACCCTTCTAGCGCGGCGCCTTACAGTCGTGCTTACCGACCTGATCGAAGGCGCAGTAGCTGGCGTGGTGAACCGCCTTGAGGTCAACTCTTCGCACAATGTTTCCGATCGAGAAAAGCTGGGCGGAGATGGTGGGCGTAGGGCTGGGTTCTGAGTCGATGGGGAATCTCGCGAGCGCCGCTGCTGAAACGGCATCGACACGGTGGGGAAAGCATGCGTGTTTGGGCTGGCCATGGCGAGAGCACTACCCGGGCTGTCGCGCCTTGCAACAATGCGGTTTATCCAGTGGCCCCGAATAGTCAACGCGTCATCCGTCCGTGCCGTCTCCTGCTGGAGCATGTGGTCGAGAATAATGTCGCTGACGGCACGCAGCACATCGTCGTCGGGGTACTTCTTGAGAGCCTCTTGGTGGAACTCGTCGACACACCGCAGCCGCTGAATGCCGTCGTGGAAGCATTGGGGCGCATAGGTTCGAACAATGGTCTGCCTGTTTGCCGTAACCCGGGCCTCTCGATACCTGTCCACACCTTCCCGGCCCAAGCTTGACCTCACAAGCATGTCGCTGAAGAGGCAGCCTAGGCTCCAGATATCAGCAGCCTTCCTGTACGGTCGCGAAGAAGTTCGTCCAATGTCGTCGGTTTCATAACACTCTGGTGCCACTGCAGGGTAGTATGTGAGCTCACTCCTCTGGTCATGGTAGCCTAGTTGCGCTTTGGGTTCTCACTGTATGTGTGGTTGTCGAAATGGTTGACCCTTGCTCCTGTTCCCGTCCCCCCTGGCGTTTTAAACTGGCTCTTCCCGAAGTCGGTAAGCTTGAAGCAGGCTTTCTCCCGGTCAGTGGGGAACCCATCCTCGCGCATAAACAGAACGTTAGATTCCTGTATGCCTTGGTGCGTCCTACTCAACCGAGTTAGCTGCACACTGGTCCTCCAAGCGTGCCTCCGAGTACATAACGTCAATAGGAAAGAAGAAGGAGAGGTTTCTAGGCTCACCCGTCGATGCTGTGAACTGCAGAAAGCGCTCGGAGAAGATGAAACATTTGATGCCATAAGTTTACCCGGTCCTCTCTCTTTGGCGAAGTTACTAGATCAATGTGGCGCTGCCAAAACGAGGTTAGGTTGCCGCCTCGGGCATGCTCGACAAGAATGACGTGGGTTTTGTCCAAGTCTGGGCGCTGGGCGGCAGCCGTATGAGGATCGGTCCGGTGGTATTCCAGGACACCTTGTGGGGGAGTGATTATGAAGGACCCAAGATATTTTGTGATGTAGTTGAAGGATGCAGCTGTGCTCGGGGATGCCGCCATCATCGTCAATGGCCTTTTGCGTGGGGCGTCGCGGTTGTCTGGAGAGCTGCGGGAGAGAAAGGTGTACGCGTCGACCTCATTATCCCAGTGGTGGCTGTCACTTGATCTCAGCATCTTAAGAGCCAGGTCGTTTCCGCCCATATTTCTTGTGAATATCGACCCAGCGCAACAAGGGTAGACAGACGCCTTGTACATCGCCAATTCGCCGTTGGTTGGTTTCGTCAGAGGTGCCGCCTTGTCGTAGGCAATGGGAAGGATACACTCGGAGCGCAACGCCTTGCGGTGTTTGATATTGTCGAAAACCAGGGGCTTGAACTTCCATTGTGCTACGCAGAACCTAGTAAGAGCATCCACAAATCCGACATCACCGGACCATTGACACTCGGAGTAGTTGGTTTGTTTGATCGGAAGAAGGCCGTCGTTGATTTGCAAAGAAGTGAAATGGCTGAAATACGCCGAACAAGAGATATAGCACAAAATCGAAAATGTTTCGAGACAGGCGGTCCCAATGGCCTCAGCGTCCGCTTCCGTGTTGTCGTCAAGAATCAGCACGCCGGTGATTCTTTCTCGGGTCCAGTAATTCGTGAGAGCTTCGTTACAGACAAAAGCCTGTTCTTCACCGCTGCCGTTGATGCCGCTGTGGGCGTGCTCCCCAAGTTGATTGTCAATGTATTCGCGGAACGCATCGGATCCGGGATGCCGCCGCGTGCCGGTGGCTAGGTCCATCCTCTGTTGGTGCTGCTCGAGAATGGTTGGGAATTTGGGATCGTCTTAGGGCCTGGATTGAATCTCCCCCTCTTTGTTTTAAATATAGGCCTGGCTTCTGAGCCTGTTGGCCTTTTGGTGCGTTTCCAATACCTGGTATCCAAGCGCGGGAGTGGACTGGCGCCCAAGCCTTCTCGCCGTACCCTTCGGCGGTGACTTGAGGTAGGTCCCTACCTAGGTAGTGCGGGTTTGTAGCAATTAAGGATGCAAGTTGAAACCGTTCGAGTCACCTTCACAGGGGGGTGGGTAGGGGCAAAGTCGGAGGAGACAATGATCCATCGGCTATTGCTCAGGAACCCGTGCCATCGAACTCCTCCCTGTGGGATTTGACATGAAATAGAGCATTAAGTCGGGAGCAAGAGGATATTCGAGCAAAGGTGAACGGAACGCATGGTTGGTTGATTGGCCTTGGACATGCAGAGAATCCACATCTTTAAGCGCGCGCTTCAGGCTGAGTACCCCAAACCCGGGCGAGCGTTATCATTGAAGTCCGCCAGTGCAACAGTGCCCCGATGGAACTATGAAAACGATACAAATAGACCGTCTCTGCCCTCTATTCCAGGTTCCAAAACAATACCTAGGTAGGTATGGAGATCAATGCCAACCTCGCGGCACACCCATTCCCCAAACCGGACACCTCGGCCGAACCCCATCCCCGCACGCTCAGATGGCATAATAAATGCTCTTGCAGCTGTAGCCGTTGCTGTCAGAGTACATTTCGTGCTGGTCGTCCTTGTAGATATCATAGTCACGGAAGCCGTTACCGCCGGAGCTTTGAGATAATAAGGTTAGAAAGCGCCTCGGGCACTTATACTCGTTGTGAGTGGTATGGTAGGTACTCACCCAACCTTGGTGTAGTTAGGCTTGCTCTGTGCATCCGACTGGATGTTCCAGGAGAAGTACACGCCCGTGGAGAAGCCGCACGATTGGCCACCGCCCTCCCAGGCCATGACACCACTGGTGGGGTGGCAGGCGTTACCCGAGCTAGGGGGGAAGTTGCAGTTGCCATCGTTGGCGCAGTACTAGTTGAGTCGCGTGTTAGTAGGCGTTTTGTACCGTGAGTTCAGCGCCACATTGGGTAGGTACTCACCACCACGACAGAGTAGATGTTCGTGGCCCCGTTCTTGCAGTTGACCAAGTGGATTCCCTCAGCACGCTTGACGATGTCGTTGAATTCAGCCTCCGAGGCGGGCGACGGGGCAGCAATTGGGCCGGCAATGGCACTCGCAAGAAGCGAGGCAAAGGCTAGAACCTTGGGGGCAATCATTTTGGCGATTTGGAGTGCTGTTGGGAGATGCTCGAGTGCTGAGTGCTCTAAGGATGCGAGGAGATGTGGCACTAAGTGGAAGAGTGGCCCATATTTGAAGCCCGGACAAAGAAGGCGCTTAGTACCTTGACGATACTGCTTTGGGGTTCGCATATTGAGTTTGCCTCGTGGTCGACGTTTGTTCAGCGCCCAGACTGTGGCTAGACAGCATCAGTAATCGCCTCAGACCACCGTCAGACGAGCGTGACATCAGGGGTGGGACATCTGCGGCTATGTTCAGAAACGTGAAGATTATACGAACTTACCTACATGTAATTATTGATTGTGTACAGGACTTTACGAGACAACATTGGTGACTGGCTACAATATGTGGTGAAGCATGACCTCTTGACCGCGGAACCACCGAGCAGAATTGCCACTCAGACACATCTGACTGCTTTCGGGTTCGACTCTAAGGCCAAGAAACCCAAATTGTCACACGGGCTGGTGACACAGGCATTGGCCAGACTTTACGAGTCCCATGGAAGCAATGCAGGGTGGTTGCTGAACCGGTCTAGGAGCTGCATAATTAACACGGATGGTGAGACGACCATGACTAACCCCCTATGAAGCTGAAGACGTTGAGACATATGCAGGCCGCTAAGAGAACAACGGATTAAACGTCTCAAAAAGGACCATCCGTCACGCGGTGTTACTGGAGAGAGATGTGTCACAGCGGTGCTCTTACTCAGCGACACGGCCACGCAATCTTGGCGAGCTTATGGTTTTTGCGCTTTTTGTTTTCAATGAACAGCTCGTTCCGGCTTTGGAATCCGACTCTGCCACGTAGGGGTATCCAAGTCCCTATTCAAGTGTTAGCGGACCAGAACGCGGTGGCAGGTTGTGAGACACGGCAACGAGCTGAGCGGCTCGGATGGTAAACTTAGCCTCGTGATGTACATGATGTAACAAGCGGATTCAAAGACAATTTCCAGGTCATCGGATTTCACAATAACAACTGACAGCTTGCCGAAGTTCTGGGGATCAAAACGATAAACAGAAAATAAAACTAAAAGCCTCAAAAGAGCGTTACTCATTCTTGCTGCCTTCAAAGGCGAGTCTCGTTCTAACCCGTGGCAACAACTTGGGTCCCTGCACCATAATACCTATCTAGCGACAAAAGGACACTGCCGAGGAAGTGGGCGATTTGATCACAGCTAAGCGCCCGTCCGTATACCACTCGCCCTGCCTGTGCGAATGCTTATAGTAAAATAAGAAACACCCGAACAGAATCCGTTCGTCAGTCATACGCTCCAAAATCCGCGGTGGCGCCAAGAAAAGCTTCAAGGGTTTGTTGCTGCAAGGCCTCCCTCCGAAAGAGCAGGAATGGACATGACGCCGAGCCGGCGTGCGAATATTCGATCAAGATAATTGCCTCGGCGGTAGACAAACTTGGTATGTTCCCGTTGGGATCGTACTAGTAGCATGGCTACATGACAACCCCGTCGTTTCTTGGTGCACCGTAAGGGAATCAACAGCCGCTCTGTTGACAGCTGTTGCACAACTCGCCGTCCTTGCCCACCATGGTGGTGCAGCCGTGGGTGGAGAAGTGGGCGCAGGGTTTGTCCGCCATGGCGATCAGAGGAGAATGGAGAGACTGATGGTGGTCGGGTTCTGAAATAGTTGCTTTGCCGCCTTGTACAGATATGAATTGGCCCGATCCCGATAGTGGGTGATGAGCCTGGGCTGAGATGAATCGGGGCTGATTTGGCAGGGTAAATGATTATTTAGGCCGAGGCCGGCGATAGCGTAAGCGGTTGAGCTGGAAGAAGGGACTCAGGGGTTGCTAATAGAGTGGTAGGGAAAGTGACGTTCTGGCCTGTCAAAACCTTGGATCGACAGCTTTATCTATGAGCGACGGAGTGAAGGATGGATCCCACGACCGAAAGGTTCTAGGCATGTCTTCGTGATCCAGCGGGCGCCTTGTTGCCTACCGTCAAGAGCCAAATACCGTCTTTTCACCCCTATCGGAACTGCATCCGGTGCATATGCATACCTAGGTTGGGGGTCGTGGACGTGGTGCCTCTCGCTGCCGTCACCGAACGGGGCCAATGGGTGGGCTAGAATGCTCCGACATTCCACATCTCTTCCTCTACTATGCCAATTCGGTCTTGCTGTATTTCTGCGGTTTGCTCGTTGGCCGATCGCCGCATGATGTGGCACTGGCACCGAGAAGAGATGCACTCCAAGGCCCCAGGAAGCAATGCGGCATCTTGCAGCTTCCCGATCATGCGAGCGGCATCCCTGGGCTCATTCCCAGTGGGTAGGCGATGGCTGATTCGGCAAAGCGTCGAGACGTGACGAGCATGCGTATGCAAGATGCCGACCCAATCACGCCCAGAGGCTAACGGGCGAGTCACCGTTGTCTGCATCCGAGCGTGGGATTCGACAGGCTCGCGTCAAGTTGGTGTCGGGCGTCGCGGTGGGATAGGCCACCAAGACCACCTTTGAGTACGAGATTCCGCAGTCGGCCGACTCGTGGTTGTTCTTCATCCCACGGTTGGTGTTGGATCACGGCGGGGGTTCACTCGCTTGGGAAACATCGCCCTTTCTTGGCCGGGTCGGGAGTAGAGCTCGGAAATAAGTAAGCGCTAGGTACCTAGGTAGTTATCTCCTGCAGTCTAAGGGCTCCTTGTGCGTTCGTTGCAACTCGCTGGGAACCCGGCACGTTGGAATTTGCCTTGTAATGTGACCATGAAGTTACCTATCTCCCTAACCCAGGTAGGTAAGGTACCGAGTGTACCTACGTAGGTAGGTAGGTTGGGGTCTTCACATACGATGCCTGTGAAGGAGCCCCGCCACATGTCCGACTTGCTCTAAAGTTTCCGTCTCGAAGTATTTGATTCCGTAGCCCGAATCATGGCCCCATTGAGAAAGGTAGGTGATTGGTCAAGAATAATGAATCAGGTCGTACTTCGTACTATGTTGAGGTTGGCGAAAAGGTTCCAAAAATTGAGTTTAGGGGGATGGACCTCTTGAAGAGCTTGCTGGCTTGACGGTGGGGACCGCAATAATCACGAGCCACGCTCGTTCTCGGTTCTCGTCTTGGGGTCGCCGGCGGTGAAGGCCAAAAGGGCCAAACTTAGAGGATAAACACATTCGCGGATCAAGGCTTCGGTTTGATGTCGGAAACCAAATGGATAAAGTCGCCGGGAGGGAATCATCAAGGTCGCCCAAGTCGAATTGTCGACGACATCCGCGCTCTTTTCGTTGGAGTCACTGCTGGGTTCGGGGGGTCCATGACCCGACTGCGGAGAGTTTCTTGGTAATCCATCTTCTTCGCTTGAGCGAATCCGATATTCTGTGGGGCACCATGATGTTGACTTGCGAGAGGTCATGGCCATTTTCACGCAACAGAGGTACCCACATTCTTCTTTTACACAGTAGGATCGTGCGAGCGTGCCCACCTTGCTTGCTGGCCCCCTGCCTGATCCGACTCCGCAATGCCGCGGCGTGATGGCGATTCCGAGCATGCTCGGAATAGCGCCATCGATGACGCCACACCGTTGATATGTCAGCTGGAACGGTCAACCCATATCCGAATCATAGATCGCGCCTATTTAAAGAGCGTATCCTCCCGACCCGTGTCAGAGATAGAATCGTGATTGCTCATAAACTATATCTACCCATTAAAATCAGGACCTTTGGCCTACTACAACCAACCGAGAAACACCATGGCTTCGCAAGACAAGATCATCCTCTACACCAACCACCTATGCCCTTGTGAGTAATAGAATGCAGCTGTTCTGGCACCAAATGTCAAAACTAACCTCTTCTAGGGGCGCACCGGGTACATATCGCGCTGGAGGAGCTCGGGATCCCGTTCGAGGAAGTCATCATCGACTTCGACACTCCCCGGACACCGGAATACCTTGAGATCAACCCGCGCGGGCTGGTTCCAGCATTGTCGTACAACGGAGAGATCATCATCGAGTCCGGCATCATCTCGCAGTTCCTGGTTGACGCCTACCCGTCCCATTTGATCCCAGCCTCCAACGCCCCAGGGGGTGCCATACGGCGGGCTCGGGTTGGCTTGTTCGTTGACACATTCAACTCCAAGTTCAATAGCGTATTGTATGGGCTTTTCTCGGCCAAGTCTCAAGAGGACAGAGAGGCGGTTGTCGAGAAAGCCATCGCAGGCCTCGTGAAGGAGGTTGAGCCGCTACTTGCTGACGCGAGTCCCTTCTTTGGCGGGAGCAACACGATCACTCTGGCCGAGGTAGGAAACACACAGCCATCCAGGATGAATAATTATACTAACAAATTGCAGGTTCTTACCGGCTCGTTTGTTGTCCGCGTTAAGAGCTTGACGGCGGCTAATGTCTACCCGAAGTCTCTCTGGACAGGGATTGAGGCAAAGGCGCCCAATTTTGTCAAGTGGGCGAGTGTTGTTGCGGCACATCCCAGCGTGACGTCCATCTTTCACGAGAAGGTAATTGTTGAAGGGACAAGGGCGAAGATTTTGGAGCGGGGGGGTGTCGTTTAAACGCGACTTTCCATTTGCATGTACACAATATTCTAGCGTTGGGAGTTGCCCAAGGTGCCGGGTTGGGAACCGAGGAACACGGAACCTGGAAGCGTTGAAGACGAAAGACAAACCGAAGCTGCCAAAAAGCCAAAAGCTCCGGTGCCCTGCAGACTGCTTTGTTCCAGACACGGCATGGACCATTGTGAATTTGACGTGGGCCCCACCTGTGCTCCACCGAAGACTTCCCCGGCTTTGACCCACTTCCAATTTTGTCCAGCTCGGGCAGCAGTTCCCGCAGCCGAGGCATGGCGCCTGAGATGAATCCCCTGTGAAGGGGGCCCGGTTCAAGGTCAGCTCCGTCATTTCAGCATCAACGTCGAAAATACAATTGCTTTACCCAACCACGATATTCGCTGTTTCCGCCATTAAAACTCGGCCATCTGGCTCAATCACCTCATAGCAAAAATATCCAGGGTCCCCCATTTGCGGCGAATGTAGCGCGTCCCGCGCTAGTTGCGCTTCCCAATGGTCCCCTCTGCCACGGATAGAGGAATCCCGCGACCTATCCCGCCCAAAGGATCCGGCATTAAAAGTACTTTGACAATGCCGTCGCAATGGCTACAAATGTACGATGACTTCATCACCAAGAACGCGCATCAGGTGTCACAGATCGAGTCGACCCTACGATCACTGACCTACATCATCCCTGGTACGCACTCCCCCTCCCCTCCTCCCTCCGAGCCTCCAGGGCCCAGAGACGGGCACTCGCTAACCCTGCTTCCCATTTTGCAGGCCGTTTCCGCGACGCCGAGATCGCCTCCGAGTCAATCCACAGCGGCGTGCAGCTGCTCTCCCTCTACCACGACACGCTGCTCCGCGGTGCGCACAAGCTCACGACCAAGGTGGCGCTGCTGCCGTCGCTCTCGCAGCCCGCGCCGACCCCGCACGGCCGGTACACGCGCTTCTGGACGCTCAAGAGCGCCCTCTACCGCCGCGTCGCCTACGCCCTGCAGATCGTCCACTATGTCGAGCTGCTGTGCGAGATGGCCGCCAAGCGCCGCGGCGAGCGCATCCGCTGGCGCGTCGTCATCCTGCTCGAGGCCGCCAAGGCCCTGTGTCGCCTGCTGCTGATGCGCATCACGCGGGGCCGCCCGCTCGTCACCCCCACCCTCCCCGAGCGAGAGCCGATACCAGAACAGCCCACTGAGGAGGATGAGGTGGAGGCTGAGTTTAGGGCGTTGGAGGAGGATGATGAGGACAGGAGGAATGGGAATGGGGAGGTTGGGCAACAACGAAATGGTCCGCCACAGTTGGGTCCGAACGGCGAGTGGACCATGTTCCGCACCGGCATGAGCCTCCCGTCTCTGCCCGCCCCGGGCGATACGAGCGGGTACCTGCTTTCGCGGGTGTTGACCTCGGACGACATCAAGCCCGCGGCGACGCTGCTGAACAAGGTCCAGGGCCGAGCCCAGGCGGCCGAGGTTCTGCATATACTCGCGCCGCTCATCTTCGCTGTGGCATTGGCCCGGAGCAAGGACAAGCGCAAGGCCTGGACGCCGTGGTTGTTGGGCGTCGGCGCCGAGCTTGCCGCGCGGCAGCTGAGGGATCGTGGCTTGAGGACGACGCCGCTCGAGCGTGAGGAGTGGAACAGGCGCGGCTGGGCCATGGGCTGGTGGGCGATGCGCGGTGCCTTCTACGAGAACGTCACCAAGGGCGTGGTAGAAGGTGTCCGGAACCGGGTGCCAGGACTGCTAGCGGGTATTTTGGAGGATTACGAGTATCTGTGGGAGAACTACCACTTTAGCACGAGTTCATGAGGGCTTTTGGGGGATTGGCGTTGGGGAGCAACATATGGGGATGGACGGCCACTACTGCTTGGCTCATGGGGATTGCACAAGAGGTTTTGCATTGTATTATAGGGCATGTAACACAACATAATGAGGTCAGCGATCCCTGTTTTTCTTCGCGTGCCGGTGCTATTTAACACTACTTGGTGGGTATGGGTAAGTTTCGTCCCCGACACTGGTACCAACAGGGGCTCGGGGTTCGGACTGTCCAACTCAACCACAAAAGTTTGTCTTGTCTTCAGACTATTTTGATAAATCCAAGCAATCCTTTACTCGCATATTTTTTAAACCTTTTTTTAACTGGTTTTGTGGCTCGGTTGACGCAGAAGTTGTTGCTGAAAATGTGTGTAAAGTTACGATTTGGCGCTTTGCAGGGGGGCTGGTCGGTACCCGGACAGGGGACGAAACTTATGCACCATACCACAGTAATCATAGGTGGAACGCTTGGGGGTAGCAAATACTCCAAGATTCAAGAGTGTTGACTGACGCATCTGAATCATAAACCACAGCTACCAGATAATCAAAGAACAAACTGGTCATACTATTTGCCACTACTTGATTCCCGGCTACGGCGCACAAGAGTGCAAAAAGGAGGGTAAAGAAAGTCAACCTTGAACGGTAGAAAGAGTGTCTCACTGATCGATTCCGAACCTGACCCGACAAACGACCTGAAATACCATCATTTCCTTAGATCCAACCCCCCACTCCAAGACATCAAATACACCTTACAGCCTCGAAGCGAGCCGGTTCTCACCCGGAGCATGGTAATCCGGCACCTTCATGTCGAGCGCCTCGCCCGAGTAGCCAAGGTCCTCGGCAACCAACATGGCCGCCTTCTCGCCAATAAGGAGCGCAGTCGAGTACCTAGCACGTTCTATCAGTCTTGATTTCTTTTGAAATCCTCCTGTTGTATCACTTACGTGTTGCAGCCCACGTTGTCGGGGCAGATACTCAAGTCCGCCACCTTGAGACCCTTGACCCCATGCACGTTCAGACGCTCATCCAGGACGCCGTGCTTAACGATACTGTTGCCCTCTCTGGGCGCCATGGAGCATGTCTGATGACAGAATTTTGTCAGTTCATCTCAAAACTCCTCCGAAAGACGACAGCAAACTTACACCAAGACAATGCCAGGTTGTCTCGACGTGGCGCTTCACCCACTCCTCGACCGCCTCGATATCCTTCTTTGAATACTTGAGCTCCTTCCTCTTGGCCTTGCGGTTGCTGGTGACGATGCCCTTGGCGGGCTTGTCCTCGGGCTCCGGCACCGGCACGCTCCAGCTGCCGTGCTGGATGCCCGCGGTGACGTTGCCGGGCAGGGCGTAGCGGTTGGTGTCGTCGAGGTTGAGGTCGTGGGCGCGCGCGTCCGAGTCGAAGGCGAAGAAGGGGTGCATGTTCTGGACCTCGCCCGCGTACGCGTCCATGCGCCGCGCCGTCTCGCGCGACTTGATGTAGCCCCACACCATGGGCACCATGTCGCGCTCGTCGCTCATGAAGCCCGCGTCGAAGTCGGGCACCGCGTACGGGTCCGCCGACGTGATGTGCGTCTGGCCCCGCGAGAAGGGGTACTCGAGGAAGTGGAACATGGTGAAGAAGTTGCCGGGCGGCCTAGACGCTGGTTAGAAAACGAGCGAGGGCGTATCACCGTACCGCTAGTCCCCGACTTACATCAACATGTGATCGCCGAACCATCCACTGCCCAACAGTGTCAGCTATTTCTCTCTCCCAATCATAGAACAGGCAATCGGGGGACGGAACAATGAGCACGAGGGTGACATACCTGATGACCGAATAGTGCATCACCGGCTTGTCCGGCTTGTTCTTGAAGTAAGATTCCCAGCCATCTTTGAAATCGGGAGTTGGCCAGGACTCAAACTCCTTGAGCTCAGCAGCAGTTGGGCGAATCTTGACTCCCGCTTCGATGCCGTTGGTGGCAAGGGGACCGGTTCCCTTGAGGTTCCATTCTTCAAAGACGCCTACGGCGGGTTAGCCAGACCTTCTCTTCAAGCCCTAGGAAAGGAGTTCCTACGCTTCTGCACCTCGGGGTCTCCGCGGGCAAAATCGTCGAATGTCTCTGTGCCCGGTTTAGCCCGGTAGACAGAGAAGGTAAGGTAGTGGTCCTGGAAGTTAAGACCGACACCCGGGAGATCGACGATGGGCTTGACTCCAGCACGGCGCAGCTTGTTGGCATCACCTGAGCAATGTCAGTCCCTGGTAGTAGCCGTGATCACGCTTGTGGCAAGCCTACCGATTCCGGATCGCTGAAGGATCAGGGGGGATGACATGGTGCCACCGGACACGACGATTTGCTTGCGAGCACGGAAGACGCGGACTCCAGCGTCCTACCGATATGTCAGTTCATTGGGAGGAGAGTTATGAACGCTCCAAGGTACTAATACGCACATCGCCGCTCGGCTTAGTCGGGCTGTCGGCGGTGTCAGCAAAGGAGTCGGAGGCAAAATGGGGGCGCTGAAAAGCTTACACAGTCTGGACAGCGACGGCTCGCCCGTTCTCAATGATGACCTTGTCAACCTTGGTATTGCAGGCGACATACAGGTTCGAATGGACAGCGCGGGTCGCATGAATGTACGCATGGGCGCTATCACTACGGCGGCCAGTCTAGACGCTGCTGTCAGTGATCGGCCTTGCTCTACCACCATGGGTCTCACTTACATCGCGGTTGATCCACTTCAGCCTACGTGTAATAGTTAGCACCTCTTAACCTTTCTAGGTGGCAAAAGGTTCACAAAGGGTGAAAAACCAAGCTAGTGGTCATCATGTAGCCTCCGTTCATGTACGTACCACTGCTCCGCACCATGGCCGGTGCGGAGATCCTGGAGATCGTCGACGATAGGGACCCCCTGGGTTTCAACAGCCCGGAGGAAGTCATCCTTAATCGGGTAGGCACTTTAGAGTGGTCAGCATCAACATTCACCCAAACATACAAAAAGAACAAACTCCCATACTAGTTGCCAAAGGAGACCTTGATGGGGCCCTCGAATCCATGGGTGTCCCGATTGTGGGAAGCACGCTGGTACGTCTCATGCTTCTTCATGAGCGGCAGCAACTCTTCCGTCTTCCATCCCTTGGCCTGGAAGTCATCGTAATCGGAAGCAGAAGCTCGAGTGTACATCTGGGAAACGTCAGCCCCTATTACCCATCCCCATAAACTTTCTCCCTACCATGAAGTTGATGGAGGACCCTCCACCAAGGACGTGAGCGGCAGGCACGATGGCACTCCGGCCGCTGAGCCATTTCGAAGGGCGGGATTCATAGAAGGTGGCCGTCTTGGAGTCCAATTTCATATTCCGCGGGAAGATTGCCGGCCGGAAGACCCATGGGTTGTTGAGATTGTTCTCTCCGGCCTCGATCAGGAGGACCTTGAGATTATGGTCCAGGTTGGCTAACCTAAGGAAGGCATGAAGCGTGTTAGCCGTCGGGGAAAACGATGGAAATTTCAAACTACGTCCATACCTTCCAGCCACTACACATCCACAACTCCCACCACCACACACGATGATGTCGAACTCCTCTGGTAACGGCGACATCTTGGTCGATACTGCGCTCGAGACCTCGGATTGGGTTACGACGAACCGCCGGTGAGGAGCCTTGGGATGATGACCACGCTGGGAAGGGGTTTACTTCTTATGTTCCTTGTGCCATCTCTCACCAACGGACTATACCTGCCGAGCCATCCCCGTGGCCGATGACCCCTCAAAAGACCTGTCATGGCCTCGGCCATCCTTCCGTCTTCCAATTCACTTGGCTGCTGCAGCTCTGGTTGGCCAATTCCTGTTGTTCAAAGGCTAAGAGTTGCATTCCCCCTCATGCAAGCCGCGTATGCAACTTTGGGAACCCCTCATACATGCTCTTGGTATTGTTCGTGTTACGACGGCTCAAACGGTCTTGCGGGGATAAAAGGGGCCCTATCTCAACGGCAAATGCAAAGGAAAGACGATCTAGGGACTGTGATTGGGGCCCGCACCAACAACACCAATACCTTGATCACCACGGAGAGGTTGCAGCAGTCACACCAAGTTCTCATGACCAGCTCGCACTTCACAGTTTCCGAGTCTTCGGCCAGTGATGATCGAGGCAGCTCCGATCGAGTCCAATATGGCAAAAGCACCCGAGCTTCGTCAACCCCTTACTCTCCTGGCCTCTGCATGGCTCCTCACATGCCGTGCCACCACATACCGGTGAACACAATTAGGTGCCGGCAAGCCATATCTCCTAAGAGCTTGAACCATAGAGGCAAGCAGATCTCCTCACAACATACTCCTCGATTCACCGGTCCGGTTGTGGTTGGTGGTTGGCTTTTATCCGGCACCTTCAAACTCGAGCGGCAACTCTCTCGTTGACCGGATACCTAGGTAACTACGCAGTCGCTTTGAATAGCTCAGTATGTTTCTTAGTATTAGTAATTCTCCGCGCCTATAATCCACGAGAGCCGCCCTGTACACTAATGCGATCCGGCACACTAGCGCAAAGCCACCGCGTGGAGGCGAGCCGGGAAGAACAAGAGGGGCGAGGACGGAGAGGACGCCATACAGTCACCCTCCGCGCTGAAGGACATGAAGGTGTGAGGTACAGAGAGTGCTTACAAGGGTCTTGACTCTTGAACGGGCAAGAAGCGGGTGACATATTAATCAGGATGATGCATGTTCATTTCCCCGATGTTCCACGGCATGAACTGCACAGCATACTGGAGGGTAATAACGCGGGGTTAGCTCAACGGTTCCATCACACTGGGGTTGGTACTCCAACCGTCAGACTCCAATGGCAACGGCAACTCTGTTGATCCATGCCAAGCTGCAGAATGGTCACAAGACGGCGGATATGTGTTCGTCCGTCCATACCCGAAGCCTAAGATCATCCGGGTTTGGACTTGAAGGAGGGGATAGTTGAGTTCATGAAACTACGTCACGCCTTTCGGCTTCGGGAACCCGTGAGTACCGCCCGCTTCTAAGGCTACGTAACTTGGAAGTTTCAAACTAGACAACTTGGAGTTGCCAGCTTCGAAGGTAGTATTAAGCGTTGAGGGGAAGGGGAAATCATACAATCCGAGTCAACGACCGAAAACCGTAAGCCGTATGCTGGACAACATCCCCGGAGAGTGGCAGTTGGAGGTTGTGTTAGTTCACCAACATACCGTACCGCTTCCAAGTTCCCCGCTGCCTTCCTCTCCCCATTCCACCAATCTCGTATTCCTGATCGACGGCGAATCGGCATTTAGGTGTTCCCCATCCCTCAGCCTCGGATAGCAAGCACCGACGAGACTCCGAAACCGTCAGCAGGACGCAACCTTGATCACCCTATTCCTTGACACATCTTAATGTTGGGTATAATGGAACGGAGACGGCACGTGTGCGTCTGGGAGCTCCCATATCCTTGAGTCCGCTTACCTCCCTGCTCTTGCGGCTGGTCGGATCGCCGATTTAGTAGGCCCGACAAGGAGGCGACGCTATCAGAGGCAACGGTTGGCACTGCGCCGAATCATGTCTGACAATAACTGCCTGTCGTCGCCCGAGTCACAACGAAAGGGCCTGTCACATGCTAGAACATTGTTCGGGAGGTTTACAGAGAAGCATGGTAATCACGACACGAAGGTTAAGCAAAGTCAGGTCAGAGTTCGAGTCATAAGTCGAGACAAGATCAATTGTCTAATTGTAATACACAGTACAAGAGCTAGAAGCGGTCCAACGCTGCTCGATAAATCAACGCTCCCCAACCCCTCAGGGTTCCGTTTCGCCATGCTATTTATTCGCCATGTTTAAAGCCAGCCCAAGTTGATTCATACAGATCGTTTATTAAAAGCGTCGTCTCTTGAGGGAGGCGACTCGACTCTCTTCTTCCCCACTTCGCTTACGCGATGATACGTTCAAGACGTAGGTTGTCTTGTTTATTGCTGGCTGGGTTGTCTTGGGGACACCGGACGCCCCGGGTTTCGACGAAGTCTTGACTTGTTCGCGGATTTGAAGTCTCCGCTCTTCGACTCTGAGGACCCACAAGAGTGTGAGCAGGACCTCCTTCGACGGGAGCTTGGCTTCGTTCGGCCAACTGACTGGCCCGCGACGGGGCAACTGCTGCTGCGACTCTCCGTTAGCTGCTGCCGCCGCCGACTGGTCGGCTCCTGAAACCCGGTCGACCGAGAATCCCTCAGTTGACACCAACCGCAAGACCGCCATCGTCGCATCCATCAAGGGACGCGCCAGAGTGGGGCTGCAGGTAAGGATCTTCCGAAGGGTTCGGAGTCTCAGGGTTGAGGAGCGACGAGTCTGCGACGGAGCTGCCGTAGAGGTGCTGCGGCTGCTGCTCGTTGCTGGGCGCGCCGTTGAGCTCGCTGTCGGTGATGAACTCGTTGATGTCGAAGTCGTTCGCGAATGGGAACGATGCGGTGTCGTCACTAGCCAGATGATCGTATTCATAATCGGTTGAGTTGGGTGAAGAGAGAAGCCCGCTTTCAATGAGATAGCGATCTGCGTCAAGGGCCTCTGGCATACAGAAAGCATCGCCGAGGTGGAGGCTAGCAGGAACTGGAGCTGGAGGAGGAACGCTTGTGTTGGGTGTAGTTGTTGCTGCGATGCCCGTTGCCACGCCGAGGGTGGTGCTTCCGCCGACCGACACTGCAGGTCCAGGCACAACATCTCAGCAGGATGTTGTGTCGCGTCGGGGGAAGCATTGGCCTCGGCCATGGTAGGGGCATCCGCAACAGGAGTAGCGGCTGTTGTCGGTTCGCACTCCTCGTCCGCCTCTTCAGCGACGGGGCTGAGGGAAGGGGACAGTGATGCGGGGTTCACGGTTTTGTTGGTGGTGGATGGGATGGACTGGAACATTTGTTCCAGCGAACCGGCGCTACCCATTGTGGGGCCGTCTTGTGAGTTGAAGAGTTGCTGTGAGAATGTGACGGGGGGTTGGCGGAGGCCTTCAAATGATGGCGAGGTCCTGCCGCCGCCCGTGCTTTGGAACGTCTGGAGCTCCTCGATGAGTCGGAGGTTCATTTGCTGTGCTTGGAGGAGCGCCGTCTCAAGCTCCTTGTTTCTTTGTTCAAGACCCTCAACCTCCAGGCGCTTCCGCTCACGCGACGACTGGGCGGCGCGACGGTTGCGGAGGACACGCTCGACCCGCCGTTGTTCCTTCTCGTCTTCGGTCTTGGCGCGTTTCCTGTGACGATTAGCATCATGTCATGATGGTATGGGTCTCTCCAAGCGGTGTCGCATACCTTGGAGGGAGGTTGGTCTTTGGCTCCGGAAGTACTTGACCCCATGACTTCCTCTTCTTGACCTGCTTCTTCTCGGGCTCAGGGGTGCCGTCGACCGAGGCCGCGGACTGACTGAGAGAAGGTTGCGCGAACGCTTTGAGGCCGGCGAGCATGGTCAGGTCGTGTTGGTTGTCGTCAGAGATGGACTCCGGCGACATCATCTCGAGAGGGTTGACCGTTGATGTCGGCGCAGGGGTCTCGCCGAACAGAGAGGGATACATCTCGTCAGGGGTCGAAAGGAGAGACTCGGCGGGCGAGCCCTCAAACTTGATGTTTGGCGACGCTGCGCGTGTCCAGGAATGCATTTCAGACATTGTGTACTTCGCACCCTGTAGGAGGACTTGTGTTGTTGTTTGGTCTGCGAATGAATGGAGAACGAAGCAGGGTTCGTTTCCTTGTCGAGGTCTGTGGCGGCGACTGGGGCGTTGTGGAGTTGTTGCAGAGCAAGCAGGAGTTGTTGACAGTATCGAGGCGCCTTCCCAGTTCCCCAATACTAATACGTCAAGAAATTGGATGCTAAGGAAATTGCATTGCCCATGACGAGTCCATCTGTGACTCAGCGAGCCTTGGTGACCAGAGTGAAACCAGCTGGTTGGCTGGGCTGTCGAAGAGGACAGTTTGGCTTCTTGACCTGACGCAAGGAAGGCGCTCTGAGCTGACGGGACTCCAGGCTTCTTTTATGTTCTGGACACGTATGCGAAAGGAGGTGTGTGCCTGAGGCATGAAATCAGCACGGGAAGACCCACGCTGCTTTGATTGGCCCAATCTGTCTGACCACGGCTGCAACGTCCGAGTCCAAACAAGGAAACCACAAAGCCCCCCCCTCCCCCGACGGGAACCCGTTCCACGGACCCACAAGCTCCATCAGCCCCGAACTCAGGGGGATTCAAATGAATGCACCAATGTCAGGAGAGGCGGGGGCGGAGACAAAGAGAAACATGCCATCCCGTCCAGCCGGAAATCGTATCGTGATGGCAAGAGGCATTGCATTGCATTGTAATCGATTAATTGCAATTGCTGTGGTTCAATTGCTGTGGTTCGTGACGTTCATTTCTCCAGCGCCGCTCAGCCGTACACAGTAGTTTGGTTTCTTTTTCGGGGAGGTGGCTTACGCAGGCTTGTGCGCAGGGCGGGCCAACATTGCTGCACACCGCATGCTTCTGCTGACTGCGATGATGGCCACGCCTCCCTCGTACCTCCACCTCGGTCGGTTACCCATCAAATTCCTCCACCGCCTGCACTGACACGAGTGATGCCATTGACGGTCGAAATGGGGGCGAAACTCCACACAGCCCACCGCTTCAACGAAGGATCGATCGTGGTGGTGCCAGCCCGTTCGTGCCATTCACACAAGTAGTTAGTGTATTGATGTCGGCAGAGCATCCGAGCTGGCTGAAGCAGTGGGTGCAATGCTGATACGCTACCGAGACACGTCCACCGGGCTCCAGTTACGGTAATTTGGAACGGAGAACTTCCACGTTCACCCAATTCATTCCGCCATCCGCTGCTAATTCAGGCGTTATTGACCGACTCCTCAATCCAGATGTCCTGTGGACGGTGTAAGGTATGCGACCTCAATGTTTGATCGAGCATCTCGTTTGGTTCATACCAGTGGCAACCCTCCCTCTCCAGAAAGCCCCAATTTACAGCGGAAGCCTGTGGAATGCTGGGCGAACCTTTCTGTCGCGGCAATCAGGCTGAATATCCCCAGACCCATGGAACCCCAGATTTGCGTCGCATGCACCCGGAGTTTGAACTCGACTAGTTAACGCTTGAGCGGCACTCGCTTTACCGGGCAAGTCTTCTAGAAGACAAGAAACCCCAGATTTAATTTAATCCAAATCGCGCCCCATGCGGGCATTGCGGCGGGCCGCATCGCCCGGACAAGATGGAGGCGGGGGAGGGTCCGTCAATCCCGAGGTGGTGTTTGACGGATGCGTTCCCTGCTGGGTGTCCTGGCAATGCATCTGACGCTCGAGCCGTCCTCGAGTCTCGAAGGTATCTATCTGTCCGGCACAAGCGTCAGTTCGCATTCCCCAACAAGCTCAACAAACTCCCTTTACACAGGACAAGCGCAAGTCGGTGACAGGGCGGATCAATGATTGGGCCTCGGCTCGCTTGGGAAGCTGGAAGGTCGGAAGTGAAAGGGATGCCAAGTGTGCGTCGACTCCATCTCAGGGGCTCCTCCGCCCGGGCTGATCGGAGAGTGATCCGGCACCTCCAGCAGGTGTCGGCAGCTGGGAGTTTCGCCTTGGCGGCACGTGCGCGGCGCGGCGCAGCGCTCTGGCAGTCCACAGCGTGCCCTTCCAGAGCGGGCCCCAGTTTTTGCTTTTCCTGAAAAGAAAAAAGGACATCAACCTCTTTCCTGCAACGCACAAACACCGTCATCCCGAAGCACGCGGTATGTAAAGTCAACGGCAACAACAGCTCCCGACGCGGCCAGTTTAAATTTGGGTGCGTGGTTGGTTTGGAAACAGCAAGAGGAGGCCCTGTGGGCCAAGCAAAGCTGCCAGTCGTTTCCACGACCGCCTCCCCACACGCAAGCGCGTTCCATCCCAGATCGCCTCCAACGGTCGGCCCGCCATCCCTGAACCCCCTTTCCTTTGTGTCGAGCGGACGGACCGACAATCTCTCCCCACATTCGTCCCCTTCCGAGGGCTTCCATTCTGTATGCGTCTGTGGAGTCTGGTGTATGAATCAGGGAGAGCTCTGGATAAGATGGAGGGTTGCAGGGTTGTTCTCCTCCGCATTCCCGTCGTCGGTGGTGTGGATGCCAGCAGTCTGGGGTACACGGGAGTTGTCAAGCGGCACGGAATCCACGCTTAGGCGGAGTTGCTTACATGCCTCAAGGCGGCTCCATCCGGCACCAGAGATATATTACATACATGTGGTGCTGCCGTGCAGTGTTCTGCAGCGGACCGCGCATTCTTGGTTCCCACCTACCCAGGCCATCGCCGAGTGCCGGGGCGGAAAAACTTGTCGACAACGTCACGTTTCCAAATGGAACTCATGGATAAAAAAACAAACACTTTTTCTACTCCGATGCCCGTTCTATCACTCTTCTCGACCCAGCCCAATGCTCCCCCCGATGTGTGATGGACCGTTCCCCAACGCCGCAGGCACCGTATATGCTGACCGCTCCTTCGCTACCGTGGGAGATAGCGGTGGCGGACTTGTGCGAAAATTTTTCCTGTTTACCCTTCCCGTCACCTCCCTAGAAGACCCCTTCCCAGCCTGTTCCCCACTGGTGAGATTGGTGAGGAGGCTTCACGAGCCCCTCGATGTCGCTCGTAACCCAGCCGCCGTAATAGTCACCCGGCGGCGCGTGGGCCCTCTCGTTGTCGACATAGCACTCCCAGGGTCCGACAAAGAAAGCGATATGCCCCTTGATGGCCTCATATTCCTTGGGCGGCTCGTTATAAGACCAGATGCGGTTGGCGAGGATGTCGGTGGCGGAGATTGGGCTCATGATGGCATAGTTCGTCGCAGCGCCATGGAACTCGGAGAAGGTTGCCCGAGGGGTGGTCGATAGGGGCAGACGGACTCTGCTAGGAGGGATGTAGTACACTGCACAGGGAGACGAAGGGTCAGTAGGCGTCGGCACACGAACGAGCAATTTTTCGCGGTTATCGCCAGGGGCCAACCGGATGAACGACGGGGATGACGGTGATGGGGAATGAGATGGAGATGGCGATGGAGATGGAGATGGAGATGGAGAAGCCAAGGAGGGGGGACGGACCCGGAGCGTGATGGGCCTCGAGCACCCAGTAAGCCTCGCCGGGCGGACAGTCGGCTACAAGCTGACCGTGCCATTTGATCTGGATGTGACGGTTCGTCCTCTCCACAATTGGCGGACGAGGAAAGGTCGTGACGTTGTGTTTCCGCATGGCCGACATGTTGCTGCCGCTGCCGCTGTTTTTTGCTGGGCTATGGAGGAGACTGGGCTTGTACCTGGGAGAGGAGGAAACACCTTGCGGTCAATCCGAAGGCGAAGATGGCAAGAAAAAAAAATGCTCTTCGATGCTCAAAAAGTCAACCGGGCCCATCCATGTGCAAGCTGCGGGTCATCGTGTGGCTTGCACAATCGGCCCACTTGATCCCTGCCCACAAACCCGGGCGCACGCGCATTCTGCAACGGGATAAGAAACGTTGACGCTTGTAACCCAGAGGGCAAGCACAATCCCTGACCTCACCAGCCACAAACGCTGCGTCATGGGATCATTGCAGCCCCGCCATTATCTGCGCCCCGCCCCTCGCTTGACCAACAGGAGGCGACCTCGGAGCCTGGAAACGGTCAGCCTGGCCCCCTTGTTCGCCGCTTGATCAACGAGCAACCGCGATTCAGGCATAACGCACTGCACAAGCAACTAACTCCCTACTTGAACGCAGCGCAGCAATTCTCTTTTTTATTCAACACAGTCGTGATCATTGTCTCCGAGACAACAACCGGCACCATGTCGAACCGTCAACTTTCTAGGGACATGCAAACCGAGTTCCAGGCCCGGGTACGCAACATCCTCAACCCCGCGCATTGCTGCCAACAAGTCCTTCCTTCGCGACCCGGACACGGGGCATCAAGACGGGACGAAGTGCTCTAACACCCATACGTAGTTCAATGCCAAACAAGCCCGTCGCGAGGCGCAAAAGGCTGCGAAGCAAGACAACGAACTCAAGAAGCAGATCCAGACCGTACGCCTCTCTACTCCCCATCTCGTACCATCCTTCACCGAACTCGAAATTCCCACCGGGTAGACAACGCGGAACACTGACATCTTCTCCCCCATCACAGCTCCTTAAAAAGGGCGAGACCGCGCAAGCCGCGCAAAAAGCCCGCATGCTCCTCGCCAAGCAAGCCATCGCCACACAGATGGACCAAGCCGCCGACATTGCCGAGCTCTCGCTGGCGCAGATCCAGGCCAACAACGCCATGAACCGCATGACGACCATGATGTCACAGTCGTCCAAGACGATGCAGCGGGCGCAGCGCAGCGCCAACCCGGAGAAGACGCTCCTGACGCTGGAGCAGTTCCGCTCGCAGAACGAGGAGTACGCCATGAACAACGGCATCTACCAGGACGCCATGACCCAGAACACGTCGGTGCAGGTCAGCGACGACTCGGTGCAGGAGCTGCTGGGCAAGCTGGCCGACGACGCAGGGCTCGAGCTCGGCCAGGAGCTGAACGAGGCCTCCACCAGCAAGGTCGACCCTGTCAAAGAACCCGCCGAGCCGACCCCCGAGGTCGAGGATGCGTTACAGCAGCGGCTGCGGGCACTGAGGGCTTAATCGCTAGACGGTTTAGGGAGTTGGATTGAATAACATGGGGTTTGGGGGGATTGACGGAATGTTGATCTCCGGGGGTACTACATACGATTTATGTACAAAGAGGGGACGTGGTATTCGGGATAAATCCTCCCTGCTTTTTAGCACTGGGGGGATTTCCACATGGCGTTTGGGGTGCTTGGGCTCATGACGATCTGTTACGACGGGGCGAACGGTTTACGCTGCTACCGATTCTTTTGGGATAGACATTATGATTATATCGCGGCTGCCATTCATCAAATGCTCCCACCTATTGTGCGAAACACCATCTTCTCAATCACCATGTTTGCTTTCGGAAATTCTAGCTATGTGGCTTCTATCAAGCAATTCGTGCAAAAGTCAAATCATGCTATGCTCGTACCATTTTGTCTTCCCAAACACATAACCCGAACAAAACGTAGCATAACGTCGTAACCCACCGCCACCCAATAAACACGCAGCAGATGCCTACATATACAGGCTCGCAACGGCCGTGATATCCCTCCGAATCATCTCCTGCGCAGCCGCCATCTTCTGGTACAAATCCGGGTCGCCAATGATGCGCGCAGCGTTCTTCACCTCGCGGCAAGTTTCGTCCAGCCGCGTGATGGTCCTGACAATGGTGCCCTCCAGCACGTCGGTCAAGTCGGTGATGTTCTTGAAGCTCATGCCCCTGGCCCACTCGTAGACGACCTCCATCAGGCCGAAGCGGGGCTTGGACACGAAGTCGTTGCTCTCCTCGCTCGTCTGGATGACCTGGTGCAGCGTCTGGACGCTGTTGACCTTCTCCGACAGGTCGACGATGGTCTTCATGCCGCGCTCGAGGTTGGCCGTCAGCCGCGGGACCGAGTCCGTCTTCTCCTGGAAGACGAAGGCCGAGAGCAGCGCCGCGATCTCGGCGGGCTCGTAGTCGGCCAGCACGTTCTCCAGGATGAGCTCCGTCAGGACCAGCTCGTCGCCCGAGTGCACCTCGCAGGCGACCTTGCCCTTCAGCTGGATGCGGCTAGCATCGTCGATGAAGGAAAGGTCTTTGAGAACTTGGATGCGCTGCTCGTAGTCGGGGAGAAGTTGTAGGTTCTGCTCCGAGAGGGTCTCGCGGAGCTGCTTGATGTGCGTTTGGATAAGCCATTGATCGTGGCACATGGCGTAGTGCTTGAGGAATGTTTTGCAGTCGGCGGCTGGTGATTTGATTACTTTAACCTCGGCCTCCCGCCGCTTGCTCGCGATGTCGTGGACCGCGAGGTTACGGATCCGGCCCATGTCCATTTCGTCCCAAATATCCGTGTTCCAGGTCCGGCAGATCTGATGCAACTTCTCCTTGGCCTTCGGATGGCCCTCACCGCCAAAAATACCTGGTAGGACACCCTTGGTGATGTGTTTTGTGAGGCAGACAAGGTCTGTAATCGGGAGGTGTAGCGTTTTTGTCGAGATGTGCTTCTTGGCTTGCGGTAGCGGCGTGAAATGCTTCCGGAACGCTGCTACGAATGGAAGGAGATCCGTGTCGTTGCGAATCTCCCGGTTAGTCCTGATTTCTAGGACTTGCAAGGTGGGATTTGTCGCGCTGCTCTTGACGCTCGCTCCCTCGGACAGGAGGATGCCTGGTGTGCGGACGCCTTCCTTCATCCACACAATCAACCTCCCAGGCGTGAACATCTTCCGGCCGATAGGGTTAACTAGCAACATCCGGTACAGTTCCACCGTCAGCTGCTTGAAGTCCTCACCAGCTTGATGGCACTCGTCCATATTGGCATCGCAGACCGGGCATGAATCTCTTTTGACCTTGGCCAAGTCTGCCTCGGACACCTTGACTGCCTTCTCATGCTCGGGCAGGAGCTGCTGAGTGGCGTGCTCTGAGAAACTTCGCTTAATCATTTCCTCGATTTTGAGTGCCTCCACGCGAAGAAGGTTGAGAATCATGTTGTACGTGAGCCGGAACTGTGATCGGAGCTTGCTAGGCTCGCCGAGAATCATCTGCCGGAGATCCGTGACAGGAGGCGCCTCGTCACCCCCAGGGGGGACAATGATGACAGAGCCGACGGTATCGAGACCGCGCCTCCCTGCTCTGCCAGCCATTTGAGTGTACTCACCAGGGAGGAGGTTGCGGAACGAATGTCCATCGTGCTTCCGGTACCCAGAGAAAACGACGGTTCTGGTCGGAAGGTTCAAGCCCATAGCGAAAGTCTCCGTCGCAAACAAAACCTTGACAAGCGTCTGAGCGAACAGCATCTCGACGAGCTCCTTGACGATGGGTAGCAACCCGCCATGGTGGACGGCGATGCCGCGCGAGAGCAACTCCCTCAGTCTAATGATCTGGGGAAGCACCCGGTCCTCGGGCTTCAACCGTGCGATCGACTTCTCGATGAGCATGTGAACCGCGCTCTTTTCCTGCGCGGTGCAGAAATCCTGGTTGCTCAGTGCATCGGCATTCTCCTCGCAACGCTTTTTGGAGAAGACGAAGATACAGGCCGGAAGTAGGTTCCCCTTCTTCAAGAACTGTACCAGGTGAACCCAAAGGTTCTTGTCTTGGGCGGCTGATGTGTATCCGCCAGGTCTCCCCGCCCGCCCCATATGACCAGGGGCGTGGCTTGCACGAGGAGGTCCGCCCCGACCTCGTTGTTGGCCACCACCCCTGCCACCACCACGCTGTTGGTTTCCACCCCTCTGTTGCCCGCCGCGACCCCCTCTCCCATTTGCGCCGCCACGTGTTGATTGCGCTGCTGCCGGAGGAAGGGTCTTCATCTTATCCTTGCCTTGGATCGCCATGTTGGCTTCCTTCCAGCCCGTTTCAACGAACTTCTTCTCCGAGTCGACGATCTTGTAGATGTTCTTGTTCCCCCAGAGGTAGTGCTCCAACGGAACCGGTCGCTTCGGTGTCGAGATAACGTAAATGTCCTTTTGTTTCGTCCGTCCAACCCACGACGCGAATTCGTGGGTGTTGGGCACAGTCGCAGAAAGCAGAATCAACGTGACATGCTCGGGCAACATGATGATGACCTCTTCCCACACCACGCCACGCTCGAAATCGTTCACGTAATGAACCTCGTCAAATATGACGAACTCGACATCACGGATGAGATCCGCTCCACGGTAAAGCATACTCCGGAGAATCTCGGTCGTCATGATCAGGCAACTAGCCTCGGGGTTGATCTGAACATCGCCCGTCAAAATGCCGACTTCGTCGAAGGTCTGCCTAAAGTCGCGAAACTTCTGGTTGCTCAGCGCCTTGATAGGAGAGGTGTAGATGGCCTTGGTCATGTGTCGTGCCGCGAGGGCGATGGCGTATTCTGCAACCACGGTCTTGCCTGCCGAAGTATGTGCCGCAACGAATACCGAATCGCCGTTCTCCAGGTGATAAATAGCCTCCTTTTGAAACGTATCCAGCTCGAATGGCCATTCCCTCGCCATATCCGGCACAAGCTCGCGGAAGTTGGGCATCGCGCGGTTGATGTCGACCATGTGCGCCCACTCACGACCAGCCTTCCTAGCGCTGGAAGCCGCGAGCGTGCCGCGAGGTTCTAGGGCGGGGAATTCGACGGGAAGAATGGAGTCGATATCTTCCACGTCTTCGTCTTCGTCCTCGTCCCCTTCTTCGTCGCCATCGACACGCTCTTTCCCGCCGGCTTCCTCGTCGGCATTAGGGGCAGCCTCAAGTTCCTGATCCAGCACTTCCTCGACCTCCTTCGCCTGTCTATCGCTTTCGGCATCCGCAAGCTTCCTCCTCTTGCTAAAGTCGATGCCCCGCTCAAGCCCGGGGGCGATCTCAAGCAAGCCCCCTTCGCCAAGCTTGATGACCTTCTCCAGCTTCTTCCTGCTATCACCCTCTTCCGCAGCAGCCGATGACGCCCGAAGCTGATCCTCTAGCGCCGCAGCCGACTCGATTCCCTCCAAACCGCCCGGGGCGAAGGGGAAAAAGCCGGCACCACCGCGCACAAAGTCGGCTCGACCGGCGGGTTTCCGCAGCATGGACGTGCTCGACTTGGCGGTGGCATGGGAGGCCGGGACGGTAACGTTGCGGTAACCAGTGACGCGACCCTCGAGGCCATGGCGGATGAAGCGCGTGACGGTGCGGGATTGGGTCGGGGCGACGCGGAAAAGGAGGGAGTAGTCGGTTGGGATGTCCCATCGCTGCTGTAGTTTGTCGAGCCATTGGTCTGAGAAGGTTGTTGAGGGAAAGAGGTATTTCGCCTCGAGCTCGGCGCGAAGCTGGTCGGGATCTTGAGGTTTCGGCTCGGGGGTGACGGTCTTGTCGAGAATGTCATCGATGGCGTCGAACGAAGTGTCGCCGTCAAGGTGTAGCGCTTGCATGGAGTCGCTAAGTTCTGATGCCATGGTGGCTTGATGGAAGCCGAAACGGCCGGCGGGGAGAAGGCAGTGCTAGAGTCGAATTGGACACACCTTCTGTGATGTTGGTGGAAGAGTGTTGGAAGTGCCCAACCCCACGCAATCGCCGGAGGTATCCAGTTCGTTGACAATGGAGCTCGAGCTGCCAGTGGGGTTTTTGTGGTGGTGGGTTGCCCTGGCGGGGTCGGGAACCTTAGGTATGCTTGACATGGAACTGCGGGGCAATCCAAAGCCTCCATCCGGGCCGGTCACCTCAACTCAACCTCGAATAAAAGACCTAGACAACTGCTATGGAAATTAAATAAGAGCTATTACTTTAATAAAATAAAAACATGAACTTGAGGTTTCGTAATGGATGTTATTACATATCGTTTAGCCAATAACGCAATCACTCCCCTTTCATTTCTCATTCTCACTCCAACGGAACCTTCCTTACGCAGTAAAGTTTCCCGGCAATCTCGCCCCTCCAACATCACCTGGGCACCCATTCCATCAAGCCCAGCGTTGTTTCCAGACGACTGATAGATACCACGGCATCCTTCGACCGCCTGTTGTAGCGGGTAGACTACCATTTAGAATTATAGACTTGCATCATCGCTTCCGCGTCCTTTCGTATCCCGCTTAGGTAGGTAGGCTGAAAAGGAAGAGGGAAAAGTACGGGGCAACATTGAGCGCTATTGTAGTTTCAATCGAAGGCTCGAGGTAACAGAAGATAAATACAAAAAACTCACCGTCAAGCCCCATTTGCCGATCAAATGGAGGTCAATGCCGCTGAGCTAAACCGGTGTTTAGCCTCAATTGGGAGGAGGCGGTGACGGTGAGAAAGCGAAACTTGTATGTATGACACTGGCGGGAAGGTGTGGCAGAAGCTGGTGGCCGCGGAGTTGGGACAAAACGGGGTGGTAGGAAGGCACACGGTCAACTCCGGGTGACCTGAGCAGTGGAAAGCGCACCGCTACAGTCGCTGACTCGGTCGCTGACTTCTGAAGCACTCAAAACCCAACATAAACCCCTAGCTTTGGGGACTCCCAAAGCCACATACCAGATGGCATCCCAGTCATGCCCTACCGTAGAAAAGAAGACAGGGACATAAAAGTGCGTTCTGACATGGCTGGTCATGATGCCCTGGTATGGAGGAAACACGGAGCCAGGTCAAAAGGTCAGATGTACGGCCCTCGCTCAAAGCCATGTTTCTGAATGCCGCCCTGTAAGGGGTCGGATGTATTGCCAAACCGAGAATATCAGGGGTAACTCGTCTATGGTCTATCCCAGTTATGATCCCTTCATGATTAGCACCAACCCCTTCTATGGCAATGGCAATCCCCGTCTCTCCTTACACTCTCTCACTCGAGGCTATCCTTGAGGGCATTGTTAACCGGCGGCGCCGCAGCCGGGCCTTCGGGCGTGACATATGCCTTGCTCATGCCACCGTCGACGACAAAGTCGGACCCGTTGACGAAGCTGCTCTCATCGGTCGCCAAAAACAGCACTGCCTGCGCCTGCTCGATAGCCTCACCGAACCGTCCCGTCGGGAAGTGCACCTCGCGGCGGTGGCGCTTGGCGGCATCATCGCCCAGCCAGTCCTGCAACAAGGGAGTGTTGAGGGGGGCCGGGCACAGGCTGTTGAAACGGAACCCTTCGCGGGCGTGGACGATGGCAAGCTCACGCGTGAGGGCCAGCACGGCGCCCTTGCTGGCGGTGTAGGCGAGCTGCGGGGTGGCGGAACCGACGAGGGCGACGACGGAAGCCGTGTTGATGATGCTACCGCGCGTCTTCTTGTGGCGACGCAAGGCTAGCACGGCGTGCTTGCAGCCGAACCAGACGCCCTTGACGTTGATGTTGTGTGTCAAGTCCCAGATCTCCTCGGGCGTGTTGAGGGCGTCGTCGTCGCGCGCGTGCATGATGCCCGCGTTGTTGAAAATGACGTCGAGCCCGCCCCAGGCGTCGAGGTGCTCCACGCTCGCCTGAATGTCGGCTTCTCTGGAGACGTCGCAGCGCTGTTCACAACCGAGTTATTAGCAATGTTACTTGATGTATGGCATGACTGACAAGTGAATAATACCCTACCTTAGTCTCGAGACGGCCGGCGTTGGGCACGAGCTGCTTGACCTTGGCCAGAGCCTTGTCCAACGCCTCCTGTGAGATATCCGTCATGAGCACATTGGCACCTTCTTTCGCAAACAGGATGCTGGTCTCAAGGCCGATACCGCTTGAATAATGTCAGTTGCTTCTCTCATTCGCTTAGGTCCCTTCGGCACGTGTCGGGGAAGCAATGCGACTCTGCCGCCGACTTACCCTGCAGCTCCCGTGATCACGGCATTCTTGCCAGCCAGACGGCCACGACCCGAGGAAGCCATTCCAACAACGAATCCGTTTCACAACGTATAAAAAGGGTTATAATTGTTGGATGTTTCCGAGACGGTGAGGGTGGTAATGAAGGACGACGGCGGGGTAGGGAGATAGCGTATGAGTAAACAGAACGATAAGAGGTCATGGGACCACCCTGCCAGGGGCCAGAGTGGTGAAAGGCAAGAACAACTCACACCTTATCTCCTCCACACTGTCAGACTAACACGGATTGGGCACTGTCGTTGTCACGCTGGCTCCGACTCGGATCCCTCTGGTTGACTTTGTTCTCACTCGCTGCGTACAGATCATCGAGCATCTAGGTAGGTATGTACAACTCTGGTACAGCATGAAATCACGGTTTCGTCTACGGTACACAAACTACACAAACTGCCCTTCCGTGTTCCCCTCGCCCATGCTCTTGCTCCCCGAGCTCCCGCTCTGGATATGCCCCAGCACCGCATCCACGTAATTGGCCCCGCTCCACTTCTGATGCGTGAGCACGTCCACCCCGAGCTCCTTCTCAGGCTTCTGCACGAGCTCCACATACGCCGCCATGCCCTCCCCCTTGAAGCGCCTCGCCAGCTCGCTGCTGATGGTCGCCGTGCTGTGCAGCCCCGCCAGGCTGACCAGCTGCAGCACGAAGCCCTCCCGCGCGATGTCCCAGATGAAGCCCTGGAGGGTCTCGGGCGTGAACCCGTGCGCCATCCAGTTGAACGACGGCGACAGGTTGTACACGAGCGGCTTTCCGGCGAAGCGAGACCGCACTGCGCGGCCGAGGTCCGCGCACACCTGCACGTTCGGGTCGCCCGTCTCGACCCAGAGCATGTCGGCGTAGGGCGCGAAGGCGAGCGCGCGCTTGGTGGCCGGGCCCATGCCGGCGCGGAAGTGGTAGAAGCCCTCGCGCGTGCGCGGCACGTCCCAGTTCCAGTAGACGGGGCTGTGGTTGGGCGTGAGAGACTCGGCGAGCTTGCGCCGGGAGGTGATGCCCATGTCGCGGTCGGCAGCAACGGCGGAGGTGTAAGTGGCGATCTTGTCCGCGCTGACGCCGTTGGCTTCGAAGTGGGCCACTGCAGCCTCGTCAAATGTGACGAGTTTGGTGTTTTTTACCCATTGCGCCTCGAATGCATCGATCTCGGCGCCTGAGGCGCCCTTGGCCTCCATAGTCGCGAGTGTCTCGGCGAGTGACTCGGCAGACGGGTCCGCCACGCCGAGAATAAACTCGTGGTCGCGCACGTCGACGGACGACGACAGCAGCTTGCCGCTCTCCGAGTCGGTGCGCGCGATGACCAGATTCTCAGTGCCCATGACGTCCCATTGGAACCGCGCCGCCTTTAACCGGTTGATATGCTCGCCGGTCGGGACGAGCACCTTGCCCGCCAAGTGGCCGCACTTCTTCCCGCCGTGCATCTGGTCCTCAAAGTGCACCGCTGCCGCGCCGTTCTCGGCGAACAGCTTAGCCAGCTTCATAACGGCCGTCAACCCGCCGTGGCCCGTGTCGCCATCGGCGATGATGGGGCGGAAGTAGTCAACGTAGGGTGTCTTGGTGCGCTCTTCAGCCGTCATCTTGGACCGTAGGAACCAGTGCTTGCGGTCGTGCATGCTCTGAGCCTTGAACATGCGCTGAACCTGGTTGGGCACCGTGTTGTATGGGTAATCGCCAAAGTCCGGCGACACTTCATTCGTTGTCGTCAATAACGACGAGCACGCCCACCCGGAAATGTAGAGCACCTCCTGGTGCGGCGCCTGCTGCGTCATCTGGATCGGGTCGATGGCGCCCATGGTGTGGATCGGCTGGCCCGCCGCCTCGCGCTCGCGTACGAGGTTCCACAGCTTGCGCGCCATTACCGAGCTCGGATATGACTGCTGTAGCGAACCGCGCTTGCTCACCACGTCGGCAGCCGTCCAGTCGCGCTTGATCCCGGCGAACCGGGGTGACGCCCACCATGCTTCGACATCCTTCGCTTGTTGTTGGTGTAGCGCATCTTCAGCTGCGCCTGCCTTTTGCGCCTCTGGGAGAAGCTGGTATGATTCCGCGGGCGTCGTGGACGGGATCGAGGGATCGAGGGGCGGCAGCGACGAGGCCATTCGGCTAGAGGCCGATATGAGCCGACGGGGGCATGTGACTGCGGGACCGGAGACAAGGGCGGACACCGGCCGTAACGATGCGGTCCGCCGGGGGACGCGCGGAATGATCGTACGCAGCATTGAGCCGCCGTTCTTGGTATCTATGGTTCGATTGCGTCAGAAATATGTAGTCGACGCCGTCAATTGACCAAAATGTAAGAGAGAACGAGGGAGAGTTCCGGGCGGGTGGTGATCTGGGGAAAGCTTAGCCCCGCCAAGGCCGGTTAGTGGGAACCGAAGCTACCCGGGAGCAGCGGCTCGGTTTCGGGTATACGGAGCGACTCCGGGGTTGTTGAAGGTGGAAAGGACCGTGGCACCGCCGGATCCGAACGGAGATAGGCGCCTTTTTGTAATCGAGGTTTGTGCTTTGGACACACAAAGATGAACTCTTCCACAATTAGCTACCTGCCGGGATTGAAAATGCTGGGCCTCATGCTCGAAGCGCTGACTCGGGGTCAATACGTTGCTTAGATGATCGTTCGAACAAGAATGGTACAGAAAGCGCCACATTGGATTCCAACGCTAGGTAGCTTCACCACAAACCGTCCATTTCGGCCATTGCCTCTTCGTCGTCGTCAACGCCGCCGGTCTCAACTTGCACCGAGGAAGCCTTATTGTTGTCACCTGGAGGTCGTTCCGCGGCACCGGCCCCCGCTTCTGTCTCTGCCTCTGCCTCTGCCATGAGGGCATCAAGGTCGTCGTCGTCGTCAAAGTTCGGACCCTTCTCTGCAGCCTGCACATTGCCACTCCCGGCTTCTTTCGGGACCACGGGTTGAGAAGTCCTCTGGACCCCCGCCTCGGCTTCCGCCTCCGCCATAAGGGCATCCAGGTCATCGTCATCGTCGCCAGTTATTTGTGCCGTTTGTTTCTTGGTCCCGCTGCCAAAAATGCTTTCGTTCGCGGCTGGTTGAGCCGGCCGGGTTGGGCCCGACTGCGCCTCGGCCTCGGCCATTAACGCGTCCAAATCATCGTCGTCAGGCCCCGCGCCTGTGGCTGGGGCCATAGCTCTCGCTCCGTTGCCGAAGATGCTCCCAAAGGGCGGGGCGGGCCCAGCCTGTTGTGTTTTAGCGCTCGACTCTGCTTCCGCCTCGGCCATCAACGCATCCAGGTCGTCTTCATCTGGAACATCGGCCCCCACCTGCCTAGGCGGCGCAGTACTACCAGTGTTCCGCACTGGGGTGGCGTTGTAAAGATCGTCGTCTCCAAAGAGGTCATCTGCGGTAGGGGTTTTCGCCCGTTCCCCGGGGACCCCCGTCGTGTTCTCGAATATCGGCGCAACTCTGGGCGGCTGCTGCGGGCCAGGCCCTCCTCGGTGAATCCGATTGTCTTCGTCGTCCTCTGGGGTAGCTGCCCTAGGCTTGAGCTCGTCGATCCATTTTAGTCGGGCATTGCGCATAGTGGTCTTGTGGCCCGTCTTTTCCACCATTGCGAGGGCGTCAAGAAATGTGGCTTTGGGAAATAAATCATCCAGCCATTCTTGGTAGAAAGAGAGCAAACGGGCGGCGTCGGAAAACTAGGGTTGGTTAGACGGGAACCCAGAACCACGGGCTGCAGAAAATCACCTCATGTCCCTTCCCCTTCAACTTGAGCCTCGGCGCCGTCTTTCTCAGTTTTGGGATTCCCTTATCTGAAAGTAGCCTGCGCTAGGGTCAGCTGGCAGTGAGAGTGCACAGTACCGAGTGTGCTAACCGAGTGTCGTCCAGCTTGACTCTTGGGGCCCTAGGTTTTTTCTTCAGATCGAGCTCCTTGTCGATACCCAAAACATCCTTCTTTTTCTCCGCGTCCTTGTCATTCTTAGCTGGCTCAGGGCTGGGCGACCTGAACGGGTCGTCGTCCCAATCGGCGAGGTAATCGTCGACAAAGTTGCCGCCAGATTTTCCTCGGTTTGCGGTGTCTGCTGATTTAAATGCCATCTTTTAAGGTAATTCACGACCTGGGTGCCCTTTCCGTGTTGCAGGTCAAGTTGTTGCGGTTGTTTGAGAGACGCGTTAATGGATAAGATGCGAAAGCGCGTCGCGTCAAACAGAAGTCCAGGCTTGCGGCCGGCCCCACTAACTTTCAGAACCCAATGCACGGGCCTCGGGTTGTCCCTGGCCGCCTTCAATGGGGATCCATGTCCATCTCTTGTCCAAAGGGCTATCGACAAAAATGTCTCGGTCGTGTCCGAACGAAGCCTTTTATTTGTATTGTCACTCTGAACAGCTACTTACAAATATGGTTTAACGGGGTTTGACAACACGGGTCGGCCCTATGCAAATCCCAGGTTTACCTCGGGAGAAACAACTGAAGCCACCTTAACATTGGCGTCTTGCCTTTGGCGCACGGGCGGCGAAGGGAAGTGGAAGACGGAAACACATGCTCCTCGCCGCAGCAGGCCGAGAAGTCAGCAAACAGAACTTGGTCGACCCCAGGGTAAAATTGATCCATGAACAACGTTGAAGCTCAGTGACTAAAAATGACTTATTGATTGCCCCTGAACTGAGAAGCTGGCCACTGACACCTACGGTCTGCACGGCATTAGTCGTCTCCTTGGCTCACACCAAGCTCCTTCAGCCTTTTCTCGGCCCAGATTCCCAGATTGCCGAAGTAGTCCTCTGGGACTTCGCCCCGCCAGTCTCGAAGTGCGAACCAGAGGTGGCGCGCGTCCTTTCCCGCCCGGATAGCGCGCTTGTAGTCCGGTGCATCGAGAAAGAGGGCCTACAAGTATTTGTTCAATCGCGCTTTGTAAACCGTCATGAGCACGGGAGCCATGTCAGCGAAGAGCTTACCTCGAAGTATTGCCTTGGCCATGTCACCATTTGCGCCATTTCGTCCACGGTTACGGTGCGAGACAAGCGTCTCAAAGCGGGCTCCGCATCTTCACCAACCACCAAGTCGGCAGTCACCGCCATTGACGGGTCGGACAGAATAGCTGGTACAATGCATCCAGTCTCCCAGTCGAACAAGGACGTCGCAAGAGGCTGGCTGTTCGCATCCATTGCAGTCAACATGTTGTGGATGCCAAAGTCGTCGTGCTCAAGGACGAAGCGGTATAAAACCTTCTCATCGTCACCCGCAGGCATTATGTGCGGGATGAGGCGAAGGAGGGACTGCTTTGCTGCTGCGGCAACTGGACCGACCGTGTTATGGTCATCTTCCCACCCAATCATGTCACCAATGCCCTTGATGGTTGCTTCGATCTTGGAGGTGAAGAGGGCAACGCAGAACTCGCGGGTGGGAGCAACGGGAATGGGGAACAACTCCGGCTTCTGCTCAAAAAGGCGTGCACGGAGCCAGGCTGAAGCGAACGCGGGCGGTATTTGGAATTTGTACAGCGATGCGCGAATGTGAGCTGCCTGAGAAAGGAGGCAGGACTAGAACCTGGAGACAATTGGCAGGACTGGGATACGGCTGTACCTTCTGAGCCGGGTCGAGAGTATCCCACACATTATTCTCCCCTTCAGCTCTCCGGAACACAAGCAAGCGCCGGCCTGCAATGTCTTTGGGACGATCAAGCCTAGGGCCCTCATGCTGCACGGGGAGGCGGTAATAAAGCAAATGAGAGGCCACGATATCCGGCTCCGATCGCAGGAGCTCATACACCTCGCTCTCAAACTTAACCTCGGGAACTTGCACGTGAATCGGGAAACCGTCATAATCAGGCATGTTGACATCGCCGCGTGCTAGGCGTGCTACGACGTCCATTCCATTGCTCAACTTGAGGTGAATTCCCTTTGGCCATCCACCCTCGTGTAAGCATCGGGCTGTGCGATGAGTTGGATGGATGGCGCTCAACCACAACTTACATAGTTGTTAGAGCCGCCGGAAACGTACGGAATGTCAATCACCTGGGCACAGAGATTCTCCTCGATTTCGCGAATAAGCAGGTTTACGTCCCACTTGTCATGGAACGGGCTGTTGCCATGACGGACTAGGGTGAGCAAATTCTGGCCATCAAAGTCGTGGCCATCAGGCATCGTGGGCCAGGGATCACGGAATGACATGGTGAGGTGGCTCGAGGGTGGGAGCTTTCCGTAAAAGTAGGTACCTAGATTGTTGAAGCAAGAATTGGTTGGCGTTGCTAATCTATTCGTACTTGTTCGTTCTTTTTTTTTCCCGGCGCAATGAATGTTGCCGCCAACTTAGTCGAATAGAACTGAATTGAGTGGTATGAACCTAAATATTTCCTTCCTTTTTGTTGGTGGGGAGGAATGACTGTGTAAGTCGCCGGGTGTCAAATGTCGAAGACAGACAAGGAAGCTTGAAGTCGAGGCTTTGAATCTGCCCCTCAGAGCTGGGGATTGCTGTGGCTCGTGGACCTCATGTGTGGCGCGTGCTGTGGCCGTGCTGTATCCGTACTTGGGGCATTCTCGGTCGCGTCCCCACATCACCAACCTGAGGCAGCAACAACCCCGAGCTCGAGACCCAGGAAGCTTCAATCCGGCAACTGGATCGACTCGATCGCTCAGCACATTGCGACTCTTAACGACGCCTTGTCGGCCGCCAAGATGTCGAACCCAACATCTCAGACGTACCAGTGGCCGAGCAAGACAGTCAAGACTGACTACCCTGTAAGTTGGCGCCCAATTGCCCCCCTCTTGCGACTTGCACTGACGCCGAAATCAGCTCATCGACAATGACCCGTGCGTTCTTCCCCGCCAACACTGCGCTCGATGCGATCTCACTCGAGCGAATCTGACTCAATTGGATACCACAGACACTTCATGCGCGTAGTCCGGTACGCCCGTACGTCCGACTATGCACACGGCGTCGGTGCCGGCCTCGCTGGCCCTGGCCTGCTCTACGCCATGGAGAGGTTCGCCCCGTCGCAGGTTGGCAAGGGCGGCTTTGCCCAGGCTATGCGGCTAGCTGGCTTTATCGGCCTGACCGGCGGCTTCCTCTACTACTACCAGCGTTCCATCCGTACGTGACCCGAGTTTTGCTTTGGACGGCCGAACCCCCGATCCGACACAGGGAATACCGATTGCTATGGGAAGCTGTGTGGATCGTATTCGGGAAAATCCCAAAGCGTTTTTTTCTTTTTTTTTTTTTGGCTGGAATGAGTGCTGACGGTCATGCAGTCCGGTTCTACGGCATGAGCGAGAACGCCCGGGAGGTTCAAATGGACATGCGCGAGATGGTCGACAAAGTCAAGGCCGGCGAGTCACTCTACGGCGAGAGTAAGCTGACCCCCGCCATGCAGGGTGTCGCCGCCCGCCAGTCGAGGTACTCGGCCCTCTTTTTCGGCGTCCTTCCCTGGTTCAACTTTGTGAACCACAGCCAACATGGCATCGACACGGCCAAGTACTACCAGCAAGCGGAGCGGGAACTAGAGGCTGAACGCTTGGGCAAGGGCTCGTCATGAGCAGGTAGCCAGTGGAAGGGGCGGGCTGCTGCAAGCGGAGGTGGTGCGGAGATGCATGGGCGAGGCACCAGGTCCCATGTCAGGTCGGGGCGCCGGGTGTACATATGACATTTAGACGACGGCCCCGCAGGTCTCGAGTCAACACACATTTCTTTTTTTGCGTTAACACAAAGAAATCCGGTTAAAAAGTCCTATTATCGTCTTTTCGCATACCTGTGGCTAGGAGGAAGCCAAGCGCTGCCCTTCCGCCGTCCTCGCCCACCATCACCGAACATCACCCGACACATTCAGCAGACTCGGCGTTTCGTTTTGGGAATCGGGCTTTGGAGTCCAGAAAGCGATATATTTACTAACGGATGTTATGCAGACAAGTTTCGTTTACAGCTGTCGGATCGCCAACAAACCCAACCCCCACGTCTCACTCACCCTTCCCCAACACTTGATGTGTGGCCATGACCCACTACCCCTTAAGAGCCAGGAGCGCACTGCGAGTAATACGGCGGAGAAACCGCCTTGCAAGTGAAACCCGACTATCACAATTGTCAGCAAAGTCAAATTCCTGGATCCAATCCCCCGGGGAGAGCCACAACTTACCGGACACGCGGTGCAACCCGAGTACCCATCGCCACCGCACTGCGCATACGCCTGCACGGCGCATGCGTTCCCGGTCCCGGGCGCCGCGCCGCCACCGTTCCCGCCAGCGGAACCCCCGCTAGATGGCGCCACTGCCGTGGGTGACGAGCCGACCTTGCACGTCTTCTCGCACCCCGTGCACCCGGCGCCGGCCTGCTTGGTCGTGCCACCCGCGTATACGGCCGGGCCGGGGGCCTGGTACCCGCTCAGCGCCGAGTGGATGTTGACCTTGATGCCCGGGTCGTTCGCTCCGTACGCGCCGGGGAACTTGACCGTCGCCGGGCTCGCCGTGCCGCTGCCGCCCTCGATGCTGATCTGGTAGCAGCTCATGTAGAACTGGGCGCCGTTGGCCTGGCCCGCCGTGTGCAGGGCCAGGGCCTCGGCGCGGAGCAGGTAGTCGCCCGAGGCGAGGTCCTTGGGGATGGGGATGTCCATGCGGCCGCAGCAGTTGCTGAGGTCGCGGGTGCCCCAGTTGTCGTCGTCGCCCGTGCTGCCGCCGGACTTCTTGGACCACGAGTTGGAGAAGATCTTGAACCAGCCCGTCGAGCCGTCCGCCGTGGTGGCGTCCGACACCTTGGTCAGGTACACCTGCACGGGGCCGTAGTGCGCCCCGCCGATGGCCTCGTTGTTGCAGCTGCGGTCGCCGGGCTGCTGGTGCATCTCCACCGTCACGGTCCCGCCCGCTGGGACGGGGCACTTTCCGCTGACGGGACGGGCGCCCGCGTTGCAGATGAAGTCGCGGCTCCCGACGTTGGTGACGGGCGAGTTGCTGCTCGGCAGACGGACGCAAGAGCCACCGTGCTAGGCGTGTCAGTCTAGGACCTAAGCAGGAACAGTACAAGGGGAACTTATATAATCGGTGCCGTCTACCCACAGCTGCTGGAAGGTGGCGTGGCCAGCAACCTCCTGGGCAGCGAGAGCGGCCAGCGCGGCGGCAAATGTCGACCTCATGATGGCTTCAACGGCGAACTAGGATCTTGGAATTTCAATGATGGACCTGTCCAGGCTAGGCTGGAGAATAACGGAGCCGGGATCAGACAGTGGAACGGGCTGACTGATTTGGGCGATGATATATATATCCCTCCCCTCTCCTTAACCCAACCACACGCTCGGACTTGTTGTCACATTTGTCAAGCCGTTCTCTCGATCAATTACCGACGCTACCGTCATCTTTGACCAGGAAAATATTGGCATGGGCTCCTTCTCGGTCTTTCTTTCGACCACTGCTACCTCCCGAAATAAGCATCTGGGGCCCCGGACTGGACTGGCGGCCTAACTTGTATAAAGCACTATACCCCAGATTTTGAATGGCCCCTCCACGGCGGGAGTACTATGCAGCAGCCAGCCACGCGCCCGACAACGGCGACACGGCTCCCGCGGACATTGGTGGTTCGCTGTGCGCGTAATATCAAACACCAATTTACCCGGCATCGCGGCCTCCCAATCCGCCCGGGACTTCCTCAACGGGTCTGGGGGGACTGGCCCAAGCATTCCGTCCCGGTTATATTTTGAGGATGGTCCAACGCCACTCAACAGCTGCCGAGCCGTGTTGTCGTCGGCGTCTATTGGGTAAACCTGCGTGATCAATCAGTTGGCCGTTGGCCTTGGGAACCATTTCAGAGAAAGGGAGGCGGCTTTCTTAAATTCAGCGGAGGATGTCTCGTATCGGAATGGTGAAAAGTTCAAATGAGAATGAGACTTGGTTCAAGGCTGCCATCCTGAAAGTTCCCGTGTTTATTGTTTCCCTGATCCAAAATTCCTCAAGTTCATCCCCGTCCAGCCCAAAATAGTCCAGATGAAGATCGGGCAGACTTGGCCCCAGGCTGGCATCCCTTTTCACGTCCAGATTTCTTTGTTTCTCTATTTCTGATGGAGTCTAAGGTACTGGGCCGCAGACTTGTGGTTCCCGGTGGTGGCGCCCTTAGAATGACTATTGATGGCCGAATTTCGTTGTCTCGGACGTTTGAACCCTGTACGAACCACGGGATAGTTTGCTTAGTTATGAGTCTATCAACTCATGACATGATACAAATGCTATGATACCTACCTAGCTTCGTAAGTTGCATGTAGTCTTCGGCATCTCTGAAACCTAGATGCCATCAACTAAGACTCGGAGATAGTTATGGCAGAATCTAGGGTTGTTGGCCCCTACAGAAACCGACACCTAAGGAATTCTTGTCCTTTGGGCCTGACCCATTGCAACTATTATGGTGCATTCGCTTCCGAGAAATGCGCCTACCCAATCATCCCAGATCCATCTTCCGGGTAACGCAAGTGGAAGGCGGTCGATCGGCGGTCGATATGTAGGCGGTCAGCAAGGACAACCCGGCTAGTTGAAGAGCGGGAATGATCGACGGCCCAACAAGCTCAATTTCGACTTCACCGGTTCTTCAAACCATTGACGACCGAGTCTTGGGTCGTGACATCTTCGATCTTGGTCTATCGGCATTTGATATCCGTTAATAGTCTCATAAACACTAACTCAACGACGTCTTGGTATTTTGGTATCACTAGATAAACGACATGCTGTGATCGTTTCGCTACCAGAAAGCTACGCTCTTGTTCGACAGTCACGGCAGCTATCTCGGAGCTGGCCGGGTCATTGTGCTGCGGCTCGAAGTTACATGTAGCCGGCCCAATCGTTGGCGAGCCCACTGACGTAGGCTAGTTGCGGTAAAACTCCAAGTTTCAAAGTCATACATACCTCGCCGGAGCAGACACGAATCACGGTGTATGTGGGTTTCCCCGCAATGGCAAGCCGTGGTCAGGACGAAACTAAAGTGTTATTAAAGCCAGGCTCTTCAAATCATCTGTCTTCAAGGCGGATCCTTCATAATAATGCGCGACATGCCTTTCTTTCGCTTCACCCTTGCTCGCATCGTGGTGAGCCAGTTGCTCTCCGTGGGCAGCCCTGGAGGGCTTCTCCCCGGGGTATGGGGTACGGGTCTGTCATACGAAGATGGCGTTGGCCCCCAAGCTCAAGTCATTGACCAACGGAACTCCAATGCGCTCTACAATGTCCCTCCCCCGTCACTGGCGGGCGGCTTTTCGGTGCGTCTCCGCCATGCTGCCATGCCGCCATGCTGCTTCAGCGAAGCTGACCTAAACCCCTACCAGCAATTCTCCCCCCCAGGAACGACCAAGGAATCACTTATCGCTCAGCCCTTTCACATCTACGACGAAGAGTTCCTGGCCATCATCGGCCCCAACCCAACGTTGACGCTCCTCAACCACACCGAATCAGACCCGATATTCCACGAAGCGCCTGTCTGGTACAGCCCGATAATAACCTAGATCAACGCCCCCCCGAAGAACTGCTGACATAGCCCAGGTATCCCGCGAAGGATGAAATGTTCTTCGTCCAAAACGCTGGCGCGAGGGCTGCCGGGACCGGCCTCGCCAAGTCGGCCATCATTCAAAAGATCCCTCTGTCCGCCATCTCCCCCGAGATAGTGAGCCAACGGAACGCAAGCGGTTCTGTGAAAGTGGAAGTCGTAGATTCCAACCCCCAGGTTATTAACCCGAATGGTGAGTCCTCAGTCCCGACTAATCAACCCACCTACTAGTCTAGGGCTGAGAACGGGGAATAGGGGCGACAAACTACGGAGACCAACTTCTCTTCCTCGGCGAGGGTCAAGGAGAGAATATTGCTCCAGCCATGTATCTCATGAACCCGGAGCCTCCGTATAACACGACAGGTGAGAGTCCAGCCCTGGCCCGTCAAGTCGAATTCGCATTGACGAAGCAATGTTTGTAGTCATCCTGGACAACTTCTTTGGCCGCCAGTTCAACTCGCTCAACGACGCCTCGATCAACCCCCATAACGGCGAGATTTACTTCACGGACCCCACGTATGGATACACACAGTCGTTCCGTCCCCCGCCGGGGCTCCCGAAGCAGGTCTGGCGGTTCAGCCAAGCCACGGGAGTAGTGAGGGTTGCGGCTGATGGGTTCAATATGCCCAATGGTAAGACTTGGCGATGAGAAAAAGGAAAGAGAATGAGAATGGCTCACTCACGGTGTTCTCTCCTAGGTATCGCCTTCTCACCAAGCGGATCCCACCTGTATGTTGCCGACACGGGAATGACCCAAGCCTTTTTTGGTGACGATTTCAGCTTCGCTTCAAGCATGTAAGGCGGACTCCCACTCCAAACTAACGCGTCCTAGCCCCTGCGCCGACTCCTGCTAACTCGCTGCCAGTTACCGTTTCGACGTCCTTGAAGACGGCACGCTGGAAAACCGCAAGACCTTCGCATTTGTGACGCCGGGGGTGCCGGACGGCATCCATGTTGACACCAAGGGAAATGTCTACGCTGCATGTGGGGACGGTGTACAAGTGTTCAATCCGTCTGGGAAGCTGATCGGCAAGATTTACCTGGGAAGAATATCGGCCAACTTTCAGTTTGCTGGGAAAGGGCGCATGGTGATTCTGGCCGAAACGGAGTTGTACTATGCCACCTTGGCGGCCGAGGGCGCCTTTCCGGGGAAGCTATATTGAAGAGGGTGTGATGAAGTTTGATAACCGTTTTCAAGGCTAGCGTGTAATTTTAGGTACTTCGTAGGGAGTTTCGAAACGCAGACACAATTTCGATCGAGGAGGGATTCCGCTCCGAGCGCCCCCATCGAAGTGGATCACTCACGGGCAGTTGAACCCGGTCTTGGTTCCGGCTCCACAAAACCTGAGCTTAGCTCAACCCTGGCTTCCCAGTTCCACTCCACCATGGCAGCCGCCACCTTCGATGCGCCCGATGCGACCGACGTCAACAACGCGCCATTAAAACAAAAAAGAGCCCCGACTCGACCTCGCAACGGGAAGGAAGACCACCGGCCGTGAGCCACAGCGAAGGAGCGAGAGGTCCTCGAACGCGTGCAGCAAGCAACCCCCACACCATGGCCGGCACAAAGCGACCTCGCCCCGAGTCGGACGACCGGCGCGTCGACGACGACGACAACCACCCCCCAACAACAGAAGACCCAGAAGAAGAAGAAACCATGCCACCACCACCACCACCCCCGCCCTCCAAACGCCGCCGACTCCTACCCCCCACCACCACCCCCTCCCGCTCTACAAACCCAACCCCCAAACCCACACCCAAACCCAACCCAGCGACGATCCCCCCGCCCTCAGGCCGCGACCTCCTCTCGCCGCTCTCGGACGAGCTCCTCGTGCGCATCCTCGCCTCGCTCTCCCTCCCCCACCTCCTCGCCGTCGCCCCCGTGTCGCGCCGCTTCTACCGCCTCGCTGCCGACTCCCAGCTGTGGAAGGCATTGTACTACGCCCGCTTTGTCCTGCCGCGCGCTATGCGCATCCCGGGGTTTCGGGATGGGGGTGGTGCTGCGGGTGGTGGTGCCGTGGGGGGTGGTGGTGGGGGTGGTCGGCCGGGGCATAAGTTGCATTATTCGGGGAGGAGGACGCTGTGGGCGGATGGGCGGCGGGGTGGGGTTGTGCGCAGTGGGGACCGAGACGGGGGCGGGAGGAGGATAGCGAGTGGGTTGGGAGGGGACGAGGAAGAAGGAGGGGATGGGGGGGGAAGAGGTCGTGCCGCGGCCGGTGGACTGGAAACGGCAGTATAAGATTCGGTACAATTGGGCGAGGGGGAAGTGTGCGGTGGAAGAATTGAAGCTTGGTCCAGAGGTGGGGGTTGAGGATGGAGGGAGGAGAAAAATGCTCGTGAAGGTGGTGGAAGGGATTGCGGTCACGGTTGATAGTGATGAGGGGCTTCGCGCCTGGGATCTTAAGAGCCGGAGCATGATTGCGTCGATCGAGATCAGGGATAACGGCTCTGATACCGCGCCGAGTTGTATAGCCGTTGACGAGAGCGAGTTTGAACGCGGGCTGCTCGATGTCGCAGTGGGTTTCGACGACGGAAGTTTTGGGGTATGGCGGTTGTCTATCGACAAGAGGCGGTTGGAACGGCGGTACCGGCATGAGAAGTCGAGCAACGGCGGGCTAATGGCAATGGCCTTCTCATACCCATACTTACTCACCGCCACAGATGCAGTCTTAATCTCTTTGTACACCTTTGAGGGTCCCAACCCAAGCGAGGTCAAGCAGGGGAGCCGGCGGGCGGATGCTCCAAGCGAGGGCGCCGCCAAACTATCTTCGCCATATCTCCTGACATCTCTCGATTCACACACTTCGCGGCCGCCTCTGGCGTTGTCTATCCGCAGAGCTGGAAAGGCAACAGTTGCCTCTGTGGCCTACACATTCTCCACCCGGCGAGGTTGGTCCATCGGCCTCCAAGATTTGCACATTCGCCAGCCGGTGTCGGACACCAACACCGTTCCCGAAATCGCAACTACCAGGATCGCATACACGACACCGGTGGAGGCGGGCGGCATCTCTGGCTCCCCGCTCAGTCCGCCGGCGACGCCTAGTCGTGGGCCTAACCGCGGCCTCAGGGAGCCTAGTTCTTCAGTGGTGTTAAATTCCGCTGAACCGGAGCCTGGAGAGGTCGGCCCTACTACTCTCTGTTATACCCACCCATACCTATTGGCAACTCTACCAGACAACACCCTCGTCTTACACATGTGCACGTCCAACGCTTCGTCTCTTTCAATCTCAGACGGCATCCGGCTCTGGGGCCATACCTCTGGGATTAGCGATGCTGAGATCACCGCCCGTGGCAAGGCTGTCAGTGTTAGCACCCGGGGCGAGGAGATGCGCGTGTGGGAGCTCGAAGGACGATCGGCTGGCATTGGTAGCCGCAGCGTGGAGATTCGACCTTGGCAGTCACTGGGCGGCGGCGGAGCACCGAATGCCCTCGCGGCCGACGACAACCTCCATCTCGGCGACCCGGCTCGTGATTGGGACGAGAGGAGAAACTGGGTGGGTTTCGACGACGAGATGGTTATTGTGCTGAAGGAGGGGAAGGGAACACGAGAGAGCCTGCTGGTTTACGACTTCACGTGAAGGATCGTATAACCAATCCCACAGCTCACACACCGATATGGGCGCCCTGAAATGCTGCAGATGACTCGACGATGCCCGCCACCGATTCGCCAAAACTCATCTGAAGTACATAGTACGGCCAGAAGGGCCTGGACCATACGCTTTTGCCGCTTTCGCGATGCGTCATAAACGTTTCCGCAAGTGGGTGGCGGGTTGTTTCTTCGGTGTTCGCCTTCCCACCGACCGACCCAATGTGGCAACTTCGACGCGCATGCCACCGAAGAAGACCACGGCGCTCGTGTATAGGACTGCACTGCCTCCACCCCCTCGTCGAATCACGCTCACGTCGTCATGGCAGTGTTTTGTGGTCGTTGAAGAGCCGCATTCGACTTCCCTGTCCAGGCAGACCTTTCGGCTCAACCCCTTCCAAACACCCAATTAAAGCCCCAGGACGTGGTCGGTTCTCGCCCAGCCGTCGAGATCTCGACTGCTCTCTTTTGACGAACGTCCTCCCCCCCTCTCGAGCCTCCCACGGGTCTTCAAGGCTGCCTTGACGCGATTGAAGCCTTGTTTACGTCGCCAATCAAACCCGGTTCCAATCCCTGCCGCCCTGGTTACGAAAGAACTTGTTTCTCGAGGCCCACAAACAGCCATGCGACGTACGCGGTGACCGAAAGACTCATCGCAGGGCTGCCTGTGTCCTCTCCACCCCGGCTCATCCGGCACTTTTTGTGCACGCTGCGGTGTTGCCTGACGAGGAGGACACGCACGCACGAGAGAGAGAAAGAGAGACTGGAGCAGAGGAATTAAGACCAATGTGTGACATTGATGGTCGGCCCGATCGCCGACATTAACTCAGCCCTACTTTTTTCCACACCTTGAAATGCCGGAAGCCGCCGAGAGGAGATAACCTGTCACCCCTCACCGCCCACGAGTCCAGCTGGTTTGAGAATTGAACTCCGTTTCGAAACCTGCTTCACATTCGTCCATTCCTTGCTTTTGCCGTCTGCACACCATCCCCCACATCACACTAACCGGTGCCTGTGATCGATTATTTGAGACTAGAGGGTGTGGGATGACTATTTGCAGTGAGACATGACACCGTCAGGTCGAACCCCCGTCCCATTGACATGCCCCGACTGCGACAAATCCAGTCTAGCTCCCCACACGAATGCCGACCAGGTCTCAGAAATGGGGTGGTGGTCAATTGACACAAACGATTCGTCACCTGAGCAGTCATTCGGGATGGTGGGTGGGTGTGGCAGGCAGCGGCAAAGGGCCAGCCTTGCATCACGTCCGTCCCCGCGAGCAAGGAAGAGGACGGGGGGTGTGATCAATTGGGGGGTGCGGGTTTTTGATAGGGCCACGCCTCTGTGTTTCGGGTTTCGTGAATGGGATTCACACACATAAAGAGGAGAGGAGAGCGGGGTGATGAGGCAGGGCGACGCGGGGGGCCGCTGCGATCAGGACAGTCTCTGCCCATGGGACGAAGGCCGACACAACATATACTTGTTGATAATACTTGACGCGTCGTCCTTGCCAGGCATACCGTGCCTGGTTGATGTTGTTGTTTTGGGGCAAACTCATCGATTGGCCCGTCTGCCAGGTACCCGGATGCTGATGCCCCTCGAGTTGCTGGCAACGGAACCTGATTGCTCGTTTCCGGATTTGCAGTGCATGCAACAGAGCGCAAAGACAGCACCACCTCACCCTGCAGGGTCCGGCAAGTGGCAGAATTAAGCTCTGGGTGGCCCTGGTCGGCGATCAGACTCGGGGTTGGCTGGATTTCTGCTGCTTCCAGTCTCAGCTCGTTCTGTTTGAGGAGAGAAGGCTGTGGGAGATTGGACAATTGAGATCAGGGCGGCCGAATTCATGCACTTTGGATTTCCCCGGGCGCCGGGAGGCAGCCCATTCGGCGGGGAAGCGGGCTGGCAGGCATCTCCTCCTGTCGTGGTGCACGCTTGTTCGTTCTCTTGTTGGAGCCCGCGTCTTCCCTCTGCAGCAGGGAGATGGAAGGGTGTTCTGTTGGAGGTCGGCGAGGACAGCACAGCGAAACGCTGATCTGGTGCCAATCGGAGCGGCGGGGAAGCTGTCGAATTGACTGACGGCGTGCCGTTGTTTTAGCGCTGTGGAATGAATGTCGGGATTGCAGTGGCTCGAGAGCGGGCGGTCAACACCGCCTGCAGGAGCTGCGCAATTGACCAATAGGTAAATGATTCTGAGGACGGTCGAGAAGCCTGAGCACATCAAAGTTTGAGCACCAACAGCCGCTCAGGCAGGCGCTGCGTAAGATTGGTTTTTATTTTTTTTATCGCCTGTTCATCTTAACAATCATCCGAAGTCTTTTCAAAAATTAATCAATGGAAGCCTCGCCAGAATGGAAGGGGATGGCGTCTTGCAGTGCTTTCCCTGCTGCTGGAGTGCTTTCAGCCCGAAATGGAAGGAGGGGAGGGGCAGCCAGACCGCCCCTCTGTGTGCCCCTCCTCCAAAGGCGGGGTGATAAGATAAGCGACGACATCAGAGCCTGAGTGTAACGGTGGGATGAACTGTTTCTCAGGCTGGTTCATCAGTTTGAGCATGTGAAGCGCGTGAGCCATTGTCTTTTAGTCACAGCAAGTGGAATAAATGGTTACTGTTCCAAGGCGGAGGGTGTCGACCCGCGCTCGCGACATCTTGTCTAACATGGAAGTGTGGTGTTGGTGGGGGGTCATGTGGATGAACGGCGCTTGCTTCTGAACCGCGGGGAGAAGGAGCTTTCGAGACCAAGGCCTTCTCTCTCTCAGTGTCTTGTATTTCTTCGATAATAAATCCCTTTCGATTACCCGAAGAGAGAGAGAGAGAGGACCACCGTTCGTTAAGTCCTTAAAGTCCGGCTTAGAAACCCCGCCGGAGTCAAAAGACAGCCCGTGTCAGGCAACAGAAGACGGTCTGACAACCGCCCACGGGCTTCCGGCTTATTTAACTGCTGTAGAATTCATGATCCGGGGCCATTGACTCAATTGCAAAAAATGACTGCCATTATCCCTGGAATGGGGGGCCACGCGTCGGCCATCCGAACGGGACCGAAACCAAACGGCAACGGTAAACGAGCTGAGAGCCGGAGGGATCAAGCTTGTAAGTCGGACAGGTAATCTGTAGGTTCAGACGGAGCGGACGAATTTCGGAATAAACGGCGTGGGTTGCGTCAAGCTGGTGATCGGCCACTCCAGCTCGAAGATGAACGCAGCTGAGCGGGAACAATACACTGATGGAAGAGGAAAAGGAGGCTTGGGAAGGGAATCCCATGGTGTTTGACTCCTGTGTACAGGAGATAGGCCTCATTGTTCTACGTTCACGCCACCTCCATCGCCTTGATGAGATGGGCGTCAGCAGGCACGACCAGATACATTGAAAATGCCAAGAGTACATCGAGACCCTGATTCTGTTATCGATAACATAGCCCACTAAACTTCAAGGGGCAGGGGTGCGTTTCGGGCGGTCCAGCGTTTGGATCTCACTGGCCAAACTTCGCTTTGGAGCATCTCTCACATTCCTCTTTGATCCACAGATTGCTCAGTCTCGTCACCAGCAACCAGCTCCGAAGTATGAGTCACACGTTCGATACTGCCGGAGCCTGTTCGACCCTCCGCGATTGGAACGACTCCACGAAACGGACCGCTTCCTGTATTTGCAAGCGCCGCGTAATTGGCCAATTCGCGTTCCATTGCTTTCCCTCTCGGTCCACGCAACTTGCATTGACAGGCTGCAATCAGACAGTTGCAAAGCATTCATGGTGTTGTTGACCGCAGTCCCGCAGCCCACAAGTTCGACGAGGGGTCGCCCCAAACAAGACCGCAGCTTAGGTATTCGTACTCCACAGCAAACCGCCTCGAAACAACAGCTCGACTTCGCTGCCCAAATGGGAGCCCAATCGGTGCTCAATTGAGTCGGTGAGGTCGCCAGAGCCGCTTAACTGGCATTACAGCTCCACACCAAAGAAGCCAGACCGTTCGTTCGCCCCTCTTTCCCCTCCTTGCCCCTCCTTTCTCAATTCCCCCTCCTATGCCCTCCTTCAACAAGCTGATTTGGAGTTTAGACATGTCAGTTGTAGCTTGACCGAAGCCGGCCACGAACCGCCTTGGCTGGTCTGTCGCGGTTTCTCCACCTCAAACCGCTCGCCAACCCTTGTCAACCCTCAATATACGGCATGCCTTGAGGTTACGAGAATAAAACATGGTTCGGGATATTTCGAGACGGAGTCGGCGCGCCAATCCAATGGTTACTCCTCCCACTCCCCATGAGACGAATGGAGGCTTCTTGTCTCTTCAGAGACAAGAACAACAACGGCCCACGGTCTGCCGGCTCCGCTCGCTGCTCCGACCTTGTCCCACGTTTTAGGTACACATGCCTTGGAACCTTATGGGTCAAGAAGCGCCCTTCCCGGGGAGCTTTGAGCGGCATCCCTCGAAATGACGATGCCGTCAGACCATTCCCAGTGGTATCCGGAGTCTTCGCCAATACCCTTTGGCGAGCGTAGTTGGCTCACCAGCTTTCCTCGCTTGCCCAACATGCACGGCTTCAGATAAAGCGTCGTAGCAGCGCAGGCCAACGAGTCGGCCTGGGATATGCACGGCTCAACCCGCCCGAAGCGCGCCAGATGGTGAAACCTCCGCATCTTGCAGATGCCAGGTCAGACACGCTGCGGCTCTGGTTTGGTGCCGGAAACGCTAGAAAACTGTCGACACATGGCGTTTCGACCCGCCTACCGCTGATACTTACAAATGCAAGACCTACCTATGGTCTGACCGGCGACAAGGCGTTCAGAAGGACTTTCTGAAGCGAATCTTTGAGAAACACGGCTGATTTGAGTTGGCAGTGCTGATTCCCATCTTTTTTCCGCGGGGGTCGCTGCGATGAGGTACCTCGCTTTGGGCAGAAGTACCTCCTCAAACCTGACCTATTTTTGCCTAACGGAGACGAGGTCCTTGACGGGTGACCATTGGCTGGGGGGCGAGCGTCTGACCTGATTGGTTGCAGAGAGACGGAAAGGGGTGTGGGTGCCGGGGTGTGTGTCTGACTGGGTGTGGGTGACTCCTCACGGTGTCCCAACATCCCTGCCAGACACGCCACGCCACTCCACTTACACCTCAACCCCAGATTCGTGCCCGCCCACGCAGGGCGGTCTTGCCTGGAGCGACAGACGCGTTGTGCGCCGCTGTGTGACCTGCTGTCGCAATCTTGCTCCGACACCCGTCTTCCGTTCCTGGGGCCTTGGGCTCCCAGCCCTGCCGATGCCCAGCCAGCCATCAAGTGATGCGGGATGCTCATGGAGCTGCCGTGGTACTTACATGGTCTTGCCTCCCCCATTTCTTGCCCTTCTTCATCCTCTTTCGCCTGTTCTATCCGTTTGTGTCCTTGCCGCATTGCGCCCGCCTCAATTTGATCGAGCACGGCTACTGGCATACTTGCTGCCTTGCTCCGTCCACTCTGGTTGCCCTGACCGAACCGCCTTTCGCCACCCCGAGGCTTCCATTCCAGCGCATTCCATTGACCAGCAATTGCGAGGCACGGCCAGATATTGTTCCACACGATTCCCTCTTTTCCACTGCGGATAGATGAATAGCAGTAGACGGGCGTGCTCCCATCATCTATTCAGCAATTGAGAAGATCCTCCATATCTTCCCATCCTACGCCAACAACACTCCTTTCCCTACAAAGAATCGACCTACCTTGAGACGCTCCCGGATCACCTACGCACGCCCCTTTGTCTCGCCACCTTCGACCTTGCAGTTCTTGCAACAGACCTGCACAAGCAGACAGCTGCCCTGGTTGCACAACCACGCTCACCAGCAAAGCCGCGAATTCATCTTCCACATCACAACATTCTCCATCCGCTCCCGACGTCATCGTTTGATGACAATCATATTCGCCTCGCTTATCTAAAAGGCATAACAACGTGTTATGGCTGACAAACCAACCATTCCTACCATGCAGCTCCCCGTGTCACATCACAGGACCCAGACAGCAGCAAGGCCGCCTTGGGCCCCCGCATCATCTCCTCCTACCTCACTCCCTCCGACACCAACAAAAGATATGCAGGAAGCCTGCTCGCAATCCCCAAACCGAGTTTCTTCGATGGCGTCAAATCATCACAAGCCCTGCGATATCAGCAACCTGATGTCGCCCCCCGAACTTCCTCCTCTGGACACGTTCAAGGCGGCGGGTTCGGCAACCGGGAAGCCCGCCTCTGCTTCTGGGACGCGCGTTCCGCATCAACCTCTATCACCGCCCGTATCGCCATTCTCGCAAGCAGCCAACTCGATCAACCCGGCGCCGCCTCTGAGTCTAAACGGCAAGGACCCGATTCTCTACCCCGCTGGCGAAGCCTCTACGAGCGCTGCGACTGGCCCATTGTTCTCGCTTACGCCGGCATCTGTCGAGAAGTTCAGGGCGACGACGGAGCAGTTGGTCAGCGAGCACATCGCATCGAGGCCGGCCGGACTTTTCCGGGATTCAACGCCGCCGCGGCCCGAGGATTATGAGCTGGCGCTCTACTTCAAGTCCAACTGTTTCCAGATGTTCCAGGACAACCGGAAACAGTGGCTCCGCAAGGAGCGCGAACTTCTCCGGGCTGACCGGAAGCACACGGCCTTGTCGTTCCAACCTACCCGACTGCCGCATATTCTGCCGGCTTCAAAGCCAGCGGTTTTAGGGCCGCAATCGACCAAGGCTCCTACCGTGCGCGTCCAGAAGCCGAAGTCGACGAAGACCAAGACGCAGACTCCGAGGCCGATCCGAGCAACTCCGGGGCCAAGCCGAGAGACGATCCGCGTCAGCACCCCGGAACCCCGTTCTCGAACTGTGGCCCCCAACCGCGAAGACAAGGACTTTGCGTCGCTACAAGACCTCTCACCGCCGGTCGCCACGCTTCCGTTGAAGCCGAACAGCCTCAAGGTTGACTGGAAGGGGAACGCGCTGGATCTGAGCAAAGACCCAAACAGACAGCTGTTGCACCCCGACGAGCTGATCCTGGCAAGCAACCTGCGGCTCGACTGTGCGACCTATCTCACTAGCAAGCGGCGCATCTTCCTAAGGCGGCTCGAGTGCGCCAATATCGGCAAGGAGTTCCGCAAAACGGACGCGCAACAAGCATGCAAAATCGACGTCAACAAGGCGTCGAAGCTGTGGCAGGCGTACGAGCGAGTGGGATGGCTCGATATCGAATGGATGCGGAACTTCATGAATCGCAAGCTTTGAACAGGTGGTTTTTGGATCAACGACGGGCTCTGCGCTGAGGTTTTCTTTCTCTTTGATTTTGTTCCGCCTCGGTCGCTCCCATGGCCGCGGTATCTTGCGAAATCTCTTCTCCTTCTCTTTCATCTCATGGCATCACATCACGGCATAACGTCACGGCACGGCATCACGTCAAGGCACAGCATCAGCATCACGAAATGATCATATGATACCCCCGAGCGCCGCGGAACCGGCTAGCTCAACTTTCCAGTTTACGTTTCATTTCTTTTGCATTTCTTTTTCTCACCGCATTGCATGGCACGGTTTGGGTGGGCGGTTGATCGTCAGGGATATGGCAGCGCCACTTCACTGGCAGGTCATCTGATTTCCAGATTGGACAGTACACGGAGGCCGTTTGTTTTACATTTATGGCGTTCAGGTCTTGGGTCGGGAGGGCAGGAGGGCAGGAAGACATGTCGGGTCATGTCAGGTCAGGTCACTCAGAAAGCATGGGGAGATTGGCAACATGGATATACCCCGTCATATTTCCCCCCTCATTTTCTGGATGTCATTTATTTCTTATTTCTTGGGCGTTTTCTCTGGTCAAGGGGCCGCTTCCCCTCTCATTTGTTGGTGGAAGATTGGGTGGATGGGATCATGGGCCTTCCTAGCAGACACGCTCTTTTAGCTACGTGGCTCAGCTCAGCCAAACCCGAGCCAAAGAAACCGCCACTCCTTCAGTCTACCTCGGCCACAAACGGCGGGGCGGTCTTGAAGAGTGGTGATCGTAACACTCCTGAGCTCTCGAAGTGGTGATTCTTTGTAGGTAGGCCGTGGCCGATGTGACGCCCGAGAATAGAATAGCCTCGAGCTAATGCAATGGTGATTGCCGGGTCCTTGGATCAGCGCGGTTGACTCCTCCCGGCTCGGGCCAGGACCTGACAAGGGCAAGGGGGCCAGCCAGAATGCCGTCTCAGCCCTACAGCCGGGTGTGATGTCATGATTCGGCCTCTGCCCTGATAAGGATCCACACCCAGTGGCACTCTCGAGGCGCCATGTGACGGTGACATTCTCGGTGAGATCATTGAACTCACTTTGGACATCATGCTGGGACGAGGGTGCAAATGATAGTAGTACTTCATTTCCAGTTCCTTGACATCTACTTTACGCTCCTAACTGGGCGTGAGGCTCTCTTGCACGTCACACTCTCCCCGTTCCACGTCACGATTGTGTGTTGCACCCGGGACTCGGGATCATCCTGCACAGCCAGCACTCACATTCCCTCCCTCCTAGCCTTGGATCCAAGAAGGAATCTCTGGCTGAGCTGACTACATTTCCATACAACCGCCAATCACTTGCTGATATACTTGTGTATGTATTCTACTGCCCCGCCGCCAGTACATACCCCCCATCCACGACCAGCGTATGGCCGTCGATGTACTGGTTACACACCAGCCCCAGCACCCCTTGCGCCATGTCGATGTCCCTCCCCGGCCGGCCCGCGGGCACCTTGCCCTCGTACTTCTCCTTGTCGAGGTGGCTCTTCTGGAACTCGTCGCTCCCCCCCTCGGTCATCTCGCTCGGGAACACTCCAGGGGCGAGGGCGTTGACGCGCACCTTGTGGCCCGCCGCGGCGACCTCGCCGGCCAGCATGCGCGTGAGGTGCGAGGCCGCGCCCTTGGCCGCGTTGTACGCGAAGTGGTGCTGCGCGCTCTTGACCAGCCCGCTGATGCTGGTTACGTTGACCACCGTGCCGGACCAGTGCGGGTGCCGCTCCGCCGACCGCTGCAGCAGCGGGAGGAACGCCGCCGTGGTAAAGTAGAGGGACACCACGTCCGTCTCGTAGGTGGCTAGCCAGTCCTGCGTTGTGGTCTTGGACGTGTCGAACAGGTTCTGCCTCATCTCCGCCGCCGACCCGGACTCGGGCTGCACCGTCTCGCTGGCGATGCCGGCGTTGTTGACGAGGATGCAGAGGCAGGGCTCGCGGGCCTCGACCTCCCTGACCAGCCGCGCCACCTCGTCCTTCTTGGTCACGTCGCCGGGCAGCGCGACGATGGAGCCCTCGATGTCCTTGTTGTACGTCTCCACCACCTTGTCCAGCTTCTCGCGCGTGCGCCCCACGATGTACACCTTGGCGCCGTTGGCCGCCAGCGCCTGGGTGATCATCAGCCCGATGCCCGAACCGCCGCCTGTTACGAGGGCCACGCGGCCCTTGAGGTCGAACAGCGAGTTGCGGTTGAAGTCCGCATGGCTTGCCGCGGCAACGCTCTTGGACATCTTGGCGAAAGTGCGGGATGCTGGTGGGGTGGTGAGGCTAGGGGGTTGGGTTCGAGCGGTAAGAGCAGGTCCGGGAAATGTAGGCTTGGAGAATATCGAGACAGTGGTAAGTGTTCTACTAGTTTGTGTAAGACAACTTGTGGTTCGAAGTCGTGTTGCCAGGGTTGTGGTCATGTCGCTAGAAGCTTGGAGAGAGGAAGTTTGAGCAGTTTAGACGAGAGGTCGAGACTGTTAAAAGCTTCAGAGCTTCCCGTGAGGTAGTTCCGAGCTTTACTGATCATGACGATATGGAAAGGTGGTGGAGTTGGACTCAATGACTTCATGGTCCCCAGGGATGACCAGCACTTACACGCATTGGCCAATCAGCGAGGAGGGTGGTATTCCATTCAGAACTTCCGAATACGACAGCACCACAACAATACTTGTTTCATGCTCTATCGTTTACGTAGGGAGGAAAGCTCGGTAGGGTAAGTCGCTCGACTGTGTGTGTGGTGTTCGGACGAGGTCCCGCAGCATACCCTTGAGCAACTTCTTTTGTACCCGGGCCGCAAGTGAACGGGTCAAGGTAATACCTAGGTAATTGTTTAGTAAGGATACCTAGGGCGATGCTGAGGAAGGTGATTTGTATGAGTATACTGCAGAGGTGGGAAAGAGGCAAAGGGATTAGACGGCCGTACAATGGCAGAACCCCTTAGCAAAAGGAGAGGCCCACCCTAGGTGGATCACCAAAAAGTCAAAAACATACAACACTGAGGATTCGCTGGTCGTCACCGACCCAACTACTAGTTCAGCCCTTACTTGTTTGACTAGGGGAGAGCGGACGGGATCCCGTACTTTCAAGTAGGTATGGTCGTATGTGGTAGTGTCGAGCGTAAGTTGGATCTATATTGTATCGAATTATGGGAAGGAAAGCAACCAAAGTTATTCGAGCATCGTCTACCAACTGAGGAAGTCTATACCCAAGCAAAGGGATTGGCCTCTATAATGACGCCGTTTTGGATGGGTTGTATTCGTAATTCGGTAGTGTTGGGAGTGGGCTGGGATAGACCTAGGGGGTAGAGGGAAATAAGTTAAAAACATACAACGCTCGGAATTTACCCCTTAACGACATGACGAGACCCCCTAAACCCCTGATTAAATAAACACTCCCGTTTATAGCCCATCAGTCCTTGTGCTCCCGTCGCTCTGTGGCAGCCAAATCCACGTCGGTCTTGGGCCACAGATGGCTCAGATCACCCACCGGCAGGTTCAGGGGGATGCGCATCTCTCCGGCCATGATGATGAAGCACATGTACCAGCCAAGGGCGGCCACGATGAACAACAGCGCTCCACCTCCCTGTTGCCGGGATGTCAATACCCGGACTTCTCTTGACACACATGATAGGTAACACTCACCTTTTGTAACTGCCCAGCACCGTCGTAGTCCCCCCAGCTGAGCTTCCAGTATGCACCCGACAGCACCCATGCGGCCACACTTACCAGCAAAAAGATGGACGCAAACACGGCGTTGATCTTGCATGTGAATATGAAGAAGGTAAATAGCGCAAAGCCCCAAACGATCAGATAAACCGCCACCGCGGCATTGTACTCCTGCGACAAGAGGCCGGTCGGATCGTCGGCGGTTGCAAAAGGGGCTCCGAGTTGTAGTGTCGGAAGCTGGAGAAACCCAAAGCTTCCCAGAAGACGGAGAACAGGCCCATCACCATCATGGGGAAGAAGTTCCCCATGACCCATTCGAAGACCATGGCGAAGGTGAGGAGGACGGGACCGACGAAGAAGAAGATGCCGCTAGGTGGCGATGATGTTAGTCAGGGGTCCAGTTGGGTAATGTGAAAGGGTAAAGGTCTAAACGATAGAGACCTACACGACCGGCGAGAACCCTTGTGCTCCGCCCCATCCCATGCAGATGATGGCAAAGGTAAAGGTCGAGATAACGAAGCTGTGCCATGTCAGTAAACAATGTCCTGCTTGGGTTTGAGTGAACCCGGGTTGCTAACCCAACAAAGCCGAGCGCGGTTGGGTTGGCGAACCGCTTGTTGTAGTCGCCGACCTGGGGCACTTTGGGGGTGAGGTACAGCTTCTCGAAGAGCTCGGGCGACATGGTTACGCCCGTCTGGGTTTTGTAGAGGCCCTTCTCTTCATCGTCTGCCATCTTGATTCCGCCGATCGTCGTTGTAGGCTCACTAGTAGCCATCACCTTATGGTCTGGAAACGAGAAAGAGGCGTGTAGTGGCTGCTACAAAACCAGCATCTCTGGGGATGGTCGCATGCTCCCATCGTCGGGAAGGGCGCTTGATTTAACGTCCGCACTCGTCCCGTTCAGACAGAGTGCTGCACACTAGTCCGAAGCTTTACATGCCCCGTCCAGATAGTTTAGTGACGGAAGGTGGCGCATGGTACCGAGTTAGAGGCCACCGCCCTGGGACTTGAAAGGGGGTCCGGTAAGGGGTTCCAACCATTGTTGTCTGCGGTCTGGGCCACCAACCAGCCTTGATCTTATTTGCTCTCTCTCCCGCTTACACAAGGTTACTTCCCCGGAAAGCCCCCATCGATACAGCGTCGCGTCAGCCCGGCACTGCAGAGTTAGCGTACCGAACTTCGGGGAGCAAAGATTCTGGAAGCGAGAGATGAGGAATACTTGACTAATTGGGCTGCCCACCAAAAGAAATGGGGTTAGTGCTGCTTGACGTGCATGGCATATGCAGCATGTTCCACTTCCGGCGCAACATCTACTACCGAGTGGCTTGATATTGCATGTTAGGGTCCAGGCCAGGGGCGGGGAAGTCCTGCTAAAGGAACGACCCGAAGTTCGATGACCTCGATCGTTTAGCCGAGGGGACCTAATATGACGGAGGATCGAAATAAAGTGTCCACCCGCTCTTTGACTGTGTAAAAAGCTAAATTGTGTTATGCTTTATCGATTTACTTCACGCCAAAGTAGTGCCCCTTACACTACCTGGGAACCGCTTCCCTATTAAGGTTTCAGAGGCACTTCATTCCCCTTTTCCAAAGCTGCGGCTTGTAAGTCAAATACTTGTGTTGCCATGTTGATCTAGCCATCAAACCAAAACCGGCCATGAAATAACTTGCTTCCCCACTCCCCCTTAGTCTGCGATCTGTTGCCCAAAACACTTGATTAACCAGGTACCTTACCCAGTCAATGCTTTCATTCAGAATGTCATCTCCTCCGTACTCGCCCTCACCCTCCCCATCAGCTCCCTCAGCCGGTCCTCATCCTCCCCCCCAACCACCACATCCGCAATACTCCCTCCCTCCTCCCGATCCTCACACCAACTCAAAACAACCATCCTCCCCCTCTCCAACTCCCCCCTCCACCGTTCCACAAACTCCCTCCTCCCCCCACCAACCGCCACCGACAAACAGCTCGCCCACATCAACCCCCTCCCCGTAAAATGGCCCCTCAACAACGGCAACGACACACTCCCGCACGTACGCACATTCAGATCCACCACAAACCACCGCCCCTCCCCATCCTCGAGCACGTCCGCCCCAACAGGGCCCGCATACCCCCGCGCAGCCACCCACCGCGCGATGCGCCCCACCAGCGGCGCGAACCGCGCCCGCAGCGGCCCCTGCGCCGCGTACGCGATCGTGCTGCCCACCCACGCGCTGCCGCTACTGCTGCTGCTGCTGTTGTTGCTGCTGCTGCCGTCGGCCGCGGTGAGCATCTGGGAGGACGCGCCGAGGAAGTGGGCTGCGCCGGAGGGGGCCACGGTGAAGGTCAGGCCGTGGTCGGAGGTGGGGTTGGTGATGAGGTCGGTGAGTAGCACGGTGGTGGGGGAGAGGTGCGCGTTGTGCGGGGTCAGGAGCGGGAGGAGGCGGGCGAGCAGGCCGGGCTCGTCTTCTTCTTCGTTGCCCCTTTCTGGGTTGCGGTCTTCTCCTTCTTTCCCGCCGAGGTCGGCAAGGAGTTGGGACTTTTGTGCGTCCGTTGTGACTAGCCAGGTGCCAGCGCCGCCAAAGGCTTGTTGGGTTTTGAAGACGAAGGGGGTGGGGCGGGCCCGGACGGCGTCGAGGATGCGGGTTGTCTGCGCGGTGAGCCATTGCCGGCGCGGGCCGGTGCAAGTAGGGGGGATAGATGGGAGACGGGGGGCGTCCTTGGCGGCTTGGACGCACTGGCTGCAACATGAGTCTGCGGGAGGGGGGGGGGTGTGGGGTCTCAATGAGGTCTGATTTAGGGGTGGGCAGGCCGGAGCGGGCTAGGGCGGCTTTGCTGTTGAGCATCCAGTGGGTTTCGAGATCGTGGGTTAAGGGGTATTTGTCCAACCCGTCGAGCACGACCTTGTACTCGAGCCTGTCGATGCCGTGCTCCTTCACAGGGATGTCGGACGGGCCGGGACAGAAGATCAGCTCCGGCCGCTGGGACGGGTCGAGGACCGAGATGGTGTCCTCGGCTTCGCGGCGGCCGTGCTCGACTTGCTCTGGGGTCCGTCCCAGATTGAAGAGTATCACAACCGCCTTGCCAGAGACGAAGGCGTCGCGTTGAGGGATGTGACTGAGATACTTGTTGGCAAGTGACCGCCGGAGGTTGGCGTTGCCTTCCCTGAGCGCATGGCTGGAAGCCTTGATGAAGGCCTGGTCCTGGTAGATGAACTTGGTGTTACGAGGAAAGTCCGGTGTGAGGTCAACGGCGCTGGTGACGCCGCAGGATATCCAACCCAATCGTGTGCCAGCCTTATTGGGGCATGCCTTTTGGTAAAGTTCGGTGAGGGTGGTGTCAAGTTTGACCGTGGGTAGCTTGATCCCTGCCAGGGTCCGTGGTCCAACAGGCACCATAGTTCCAGTGGCCACCGTGATGTCCTGCCCTAGCTGGGTTGGATAGCGCTTGCAACTGGTGGTGGAGGTGAAGGGAGGACTTATTCTCGGACATTAGGGGTTGCCAAACTTCTCCCTGGTTGATAATATACTGCTGCCCTGAGACGAGTGGTATGCCATGGTGAAAAGCTTATCTGGTTTCTAGTACACAGGTATGGATCTACATTGCTACCGGATTCCACAAGACGTCGCTATCCTATCAAGCTATCAGGGACAATCGGTAGTCGCCGGCTGGCCCCGGGCGGCGTGGTGGCAGCGACATGACATCATCAGTGCCGCCGGCAGGCATGTGAGATCCGTAAAACACCAAGCCATCATCATCATGACCACAGATTTCAAGGTGCGTTGCAGAGAGGAGAGAGGATGACACTTGGCACACCCGGTGTGTTTCTCCCAAAAGAGATTCGTCGGTCTGTCCCGTACGCCTACCTTCGAACTGCAATATAAAGTAAGAAGTTTGGGAAGGGGTTCCTACGACTCGGGCATTGGCGCCAGGGGTCTCTGGAGCTTCGTAATGTGTCAATAACGTGACTACTTGCAAACCATCATAAGAATCGTCCAATCCTGCGTCTAACCGAGCTGCCCCCAGTTGCGTTTGAACAGCTTAAACGTCACATGTCGTCTATCATCGCCAGGTCGCTATGCAATGGTCCTGCGGTGGCGTAAATACCGAACCGCTAGACCGTCATTCCCGCTTCGGGTATCCTCGAATAAAGCACCCATGGTCTCATATCCCATGCCCAGCTCAACGTCGCCGAAACCCCCCCCCCCGCCCCCACAAGGGCAGCACTGTCCAGTGACTCCGACGGGGAGCCACGCAACACGACGCCCTAAAACCCCGGCACCTTCTCATATAGCCCATCATACAGCTTCCCCACCCACCCCATCGTCTCGCCGCCCCTCGCAACAATACCCAGCCCGCCCGCCGCCCACAGCGCCGTGGCAGCAGCGGCCACCCCATTAATCACCAACAGACGCCTCCTCCTCTTCTTCCTGCTCGCGCGGTCCACCACCGCATTCCCCGTGGGGCGCTCGGGCACCCAGCCCGCCGTCTGCGCGAGACCGACCCACTTGGCCCAGCCCCAGACCATGTGGCCACAGCCCGCGGGCAGCAGGACGGCGTAGGCGAGCCACGAGACGTAGCGGTGGCGGACGAAGCCGTGGGCGACGTAGGCGAGGCCGATGTTGGCGCTGTCGCCCTCGACGGCCAGCGGCAGGCCGCGGTTGACAACCATGTGCGCCGCCAGCACGCCCGCGAACACGTACCCCGACGCCGCCACGTAGCTGAACGCCGGCCACCCGAAGCAGTACCCCGGCGCCGTGGCGGCCGCGGCCGTGTGGGTGTCGGGTGGGGGGTGCTCGCCGTAGTAGCGCCGGCGGTTGTGGGAGCGCCGCAGCAGGCGGATGGCGGCGCCCGAGCCGACGTGGGCGAGGACCGGGAGGGCGACGAGGAGGGGTTCGGAGAGCGGGGTTTGGTAGATCTCGCGCGCGAGGAGGAGGTAGGACTCGGAGGCTGGGACGGATTGTGCGGCGAGCGGGATGATGGAGGTTGTTGCGAGGTGGAGGGCGCCGAAGAGAGTGAAGGTGTAGGAGGAGTAGCGCTGGATGCGGGTTACTACAGGGTGAGAGGGTGAGAGGTTAGTCTGGTTGTTTCGAATGGTGACCTGGGAGGTGGGGGAAAAGGGTGGAAGTACGGTAGTAGATTGGGCCATGACCACTGCCACTTAACCCAAGGCTAGTCGAGGTCGTAGGGGACTTGAGGGAGGTGGTCGAGTCCGAGAGTTTTCCGTCTTCCTGGCCTGGTAGCGGTGGGAGGTCCTTGTCGACGTTGGGGGAGTCCATAGGCGTAGGGTCGAGCTCTAAGAGGGACACTAGCGTGGCCGATGAGGCCTTTGAGCGTAGTGAATGGTTATCCATGGTTGCGGGAGAACCGCGACCGGTTTACTCCTCGATCCGCACTCGGGAGGTGTTGGTGTCTTTGTGCGTTTTGCTTGCATATCCAGCAGCCTATTATTTATTGAGCCGATGCTGTTGGCTGGCTGGCTCCATGGGCCGCTGGCGGCCGGAGACCCTGCGCCGTTAACCGAACCCCACAGCGCTCCCGCAGGGGTGTCTCTTGGCACACATCAGTGCCGTGCAGGACCCTTGTAGTTATTTCGATCCGAGAAGCATTTCGCCGACTCCGGGCTGCGCGAGTCTCATCAACTTCAAATCCGGGCATCGCGAAAAAAAGCCAGCTTTCACAACCACACATCAAGCGCCGTCTAATACCTTCTCCAACCCACAACCGCCAAAATGCCACCAGTAAGCCACCCCCCCACTCCCCACCCTACATACCGAGGTCCCTTCCATTACAAACTAACCCCCCCCTCCCACTTACAGCGGCACCAAACCCTGCCCCCCGCGCAGACCTCATCGGCACGCGAAGCCCTCCAATCCTTCTACTGCCAGCTCTGCCAGAAGGGGTACTCGCGCATGAACGACTACGAGGCGCACCTCAGCAGCTACGACCACAGCCACAAGCAGCGGCTCAAGGACATGAAGGCCATGGTGCGCGACCCGGCCGCGACGGCGCGCGCGCGCCGCCAGGAGCAGAAGGCCGAGGGCGTCATCAGCATCAAACTCGGGGAGGCGGCCGCCGCTGGAGGGGGTGGGATTGGTGGTGGTGGTGGTGGAGGTGCGGGTGGTGCGGCGGCTGGTGGTGGGGGGTTTAAGAAGGGTGGGTTTAAGAAGACGGGGTTTAAATCTGCCTTTGCGCCTGTCGGTGGTGCGGTGGCTGCGCCGAAGGAGGATGCGGGGTTGGGGAAGAAAGAGGAGGAGCCGAAGATGGGTTTGGCGGCGGCGGCGAAGAGCGAGCTTGTGGAGAGCGACACGGAGGATGAGGGGTACGAGGTGTACGATCCGCAGAGGCCGACCGACTGAGCGGGGAACAAGGACTATCGGGTCGAGGCGCGGTTGGGATCATCACGACGACAACATCGGCCCTCAGTTTCGATTTCGGTTACGGGCGGAACGAGGCCCATCATCCACTGCCTAGCGGTGGTAAGAGGAGTATTATTGGGGTCTTCCAAAAACCACATTCAAAAACACACTTTCGACCCCCCTACGCCAGACAAACGCCAACGCTGACAAGATCATGATCATACATCTTTCCCAATACAGGTACAGCCAGCGTACCCGCCTACTGTCCACCCATCGACGGCCACAAGCGCGGCTCAAACTCAGAGAGGTCCTCCTCCAACAGCCCCAGAATGTGGGTATTGCCCGAGAACCAGTTCCCTAGCTCGTTCGCTTGACCGGGAGCATTCGGCTGGCCGGGAGCAAACCCAGGCGGCGGCATCCCCCCGGCCCCAGCAAACTGCGCATCAGGCGGCTGCATTGGGGGCTGCCCGCCAAACTGCGGCATGAACCCCAGCTGGCTCAGGTACATGTCGATATTGTCGCCTACCATAGCCATGTCCTGGTCGCGCTGCTGCGGGTCCTGTCTGCGCTGGGCCTTGGCCCGGACGCACAGGCTCGCGACGTTGTGCAGGACCTGGCAGATGCGGTGGAGTTTAGCCACGGCCTCGGAGGCGGCGCACACGGGCACCAGCGACTCGACGAAGTCGGCCACGCGTTTTAGGTCCTCCTCGTCCGACGTCTCGACCACGTGACAGAAGAGGATGATGACGGGCGTGAAGGGGACGTAGATGACATTCCTTCAGATAGGTCTGCGTCAGTACCGTATGAGAGTGGGGGAGGAGAAGGAGAGGGATGGGGCCAAAGAAATACCATCGGATACACCCCGCCTTCACGGCCAGACTGTCGCCCGCCATGGTCATGTACTCTTGGTGGCACGCAAACGCCTGGCGTGCCGCGTGGATGCACTCGGGGTTGAAGGTGCTGGGCGAGCCAGGCGGGCTGGGGATGGCGCGGTAGATGAGCGTCAGCGCCGACCAGTGCATCAGCTCGTCGCCGACGATGGCCATGTCCATCGGGAAGGGACTATTTGCATCAAACTTGATGCCGCGCACTTTCTCGCGCGTTTGCTGCACCAGCGGCTCCTGCTCCTTGGCCAACTTGTCTGTCGTCCACGACTTTAGTCTGCCTGCTCTAAGGGGGGTTGAGACGGTGTGAAAGGGATGGGGACGCACTCATCGTCCGGACAAGCTGACGGGCGCTCTCGGCACGACGCTCCTGTGGTCGGGCCAGCGCGGCGGGGCTGTAGAGCTGCTCGTAGGCGCGGCCGAGGAAGTCGGCGTAGGCGATCCACTGGCTCAACACGACGCCCCACGAATCGTCGGGCAGCTCCATTCCATACTCCAGGCGCCGGGCCACGGTGATATCGTAGTCTTGGATCGTGGGAGCCCTCCCGGACCGGACCGACAGCGCCTTGTCGAGCAGGTAGGCCGACCAGAAGAGCACCGCCTTGGCCGTCGTTTCGACCCCGCCGCTCATGCGGTGATAGCCGAGCGTCTGGCAAAGCGTGGCTGCTACCGTGTTGAGATCGCGAGCGATGGAGAATTTGGAGATCTCGATGGCGTAGAAGGCCTGGGAATGCCGGTCAGTATGGAAAGGGTAGACACGGATGGAATTGGGAAAGACATGCCCCCAGCAGCAACACCTCGATGCTCTCCTTGCGCGCCGGCAGCAGCAGTGGCAGGTTGGTGAGGGCCGTCTCCAAGTTGTCGCGGCAGAGGGATTGGTACTCGAGCAGCTCTTCCCTCTGTGCGCCGCTGACCAGCGCGGCCTTTTCCTGCAGCAAAAAGTACAGGCCCGCGTTGACGACACCCCAAGACATGAGGCTGAAGTCGTCGGTAGCAAAGTAGACCTTGCTACACCGCTCGGAAAAGTTCTCAGCGGCGATAAAGGTGCAGATAGTTGCGAAGCTGGTGAGCCTGCCGTCTAGGGGGGATTGTCAGCGTCCGGTTGGCAGCATGTCGTCAGGGGCGAGGTGGTTGGCGAACCTTTGGACTCGCGTAAGGCGGTAACAACGACATGGGCCGGCGGCATGGGGAGTTCACGGAGGCCACCTTTTGGCAACGGCTTCGCATTCACGAAGCGCGATTCGTGGGCACTTGGGCGGTTTTGCATGCACACAATCTGTTGGAGCGAGGACAGGGCGGACCGCATATCTGGGTCCAGGTCGCGGGGCAGGGTTCGAGTGACGGTGTTTTCGAGGAACTCGCTAGCAAACACCGTCTGGGCGGATATGGAGGAGTCACCTTCGAAGGTGGAGATGGCATCATCGTCGTCGTCGCGTCCGTACACGATGTCAGTGCTCTCTCCAGCGGCCGGCGAAGAGCTCGTGGGGCCTGGGACGAGACCGGCAGACCCGCTCTCAGTTGAAGCTGACGGACTCCTGCTAGAGATGGAAACGGCCAGGTCCCGAAGCATGTTTTCGATATTTGCGAGCCGAGACTCGAAATGGTCTATCTTTCGCTCACTGCATCATTACATAATAAAGGAGGCATGTTGTCAGTATTGTCAATACGGGGGGCGCCTCTAAAGGCCCGAGAGCGACTCACTATTGGGCCGAGATGAGCACCCGCTGCCGGGCTTCCCTTGGCCGCTGGCCAGCACCGGTTGAACTGCATGGCCGGTTTGCTGTCCTGCAGTTTGCACACGGTGAATCCTTGTCGCAGCGTATCTAGAGGCAATCTCTCAGCGCGTGAACTTTGGCGCATGCAGGGCGTCCATGGAGGGGTTGCCGGGGAGGGTTACTTGCCTTTCGGAGGCGGCATTGATCACACTCCAGGGGTCGGTTAGCATACCAAGTAGTAGATAGCAGGCGTAGAAGCGGGACCGGCACTGCTGTGACCCGAGTCTTGTGTAACTTACAGCTCTCCTGGCCGCACTATCGTCGTGCAAATCGCCCTCCAGCATCTCTCCTAGCCGTCAACTAGCGTCAAGCGTCAAGCGTCAAGGGACACTAAGTGGACCGAGCTATGAGAGAACAATGGTAACTATCGAGTGTGGGGAGCTATTGTGTTGTCCAGTGTAGGCGGTCTGAACCTCGTCTGACCAGCAAATCGCCCCGGATGCGGGGTCCGCGGCGGCCGAGGAGAGAAGGTGAAGATCGGCCAAGGTTGATACTTTGAGTTAGACTGGGAATTGCTGGAAATGTGAGGGAAGAGGGGATGGTGGATGGTGATTTCTACTGTGTAAAGAGACCGTCAGGATGCATTGGTCTCATGAATAATCAATGGCCTTGAATTGTTGAGTCATGTTCAGAGGAAGGAAGGCACGCAAAAAGGTGGAAAACCACAAAGGATGGAAGTTACCAAGTACCAAGGTATGGACGTTGCCAGGGTTAGGGCAGTGAGATGTTCATCCTTCCCGCTCGGCATCCCCCGAGACGCCACTCACCACTCAGGGGCAGGCCCCCTGGAACCGGTAACCATATCAACAACCTAAACTCAGCTCGCTCGGTTACTTTATCTTGAAGCCGAGGGCTAACTATTGCCTGTTTCTCCTTTCATTCCCCCTTATCTACTTCGTACAACACTGCTTTCCCCCCTGTCCCTCCCCGTCCTCCACCAACACACTCATATTCCTCTCCTGCGTCGACGGGGCCACGTCGAGCGCCGGGTTTCTCTCAAAAAAGTTCACCGGCTTCAGCCCTACCACCATCTTCTCGACCGGCATGACGGGCCAGTCCTCAGCGCGGGGGTTGTGCGTGGAGCCAAAGGTATGCCAGACAACAATATCCCTATCCCTCACCCCCGACTCTCCATCTCCGTCTCCATCTCCGTCCCCATCTCCATCCCCATCTCCGCCTCCATCACCCCCCTCCCCCTTCTCCCCCCCACCAACCCTCCCGCGGCGCCGCCGCCGCCCCTCAATCCACGACGCAATCCCCTCCCCACCCTTCGACTGCATCGTAAACCTGCCCGCCGGAAACACCTCCCCGTCCGCATAGCGCGTCACCCACACCGCGTGCGCCGCAAACTCGGACCGCCGCGCGTGCAGGCTCGACGGGTGCGCCAGCAGCGGCTGGCTGTAGCACGGCAGCAGCTTGACACCCACTGGCGTGCCGGCGGCCCGGTGGCGCTTGGCCTCGTTGACGATCTTGAAGACGCGGTTGGCGCGGTGGTCGAGGTCGAGCCCCGTCTCGTGCGCGACGTAGGTCTGGTGGGTGGTGTAGCCGACGCCGTGCGGGTTGTGTATGGAAGGGTCGTTGATGGGGAGCGGGTGGGACTCCTCGACGACGAGGGAGTTGGCGTGCCCGTCGACGGCGGGGTCGATGCGCAGGCAGAAGAGGTGCTGGTGGAAGGGCGCCAGGACGCCCGGGGCGACGACGGTGCCGTATGGCGGGGGTGGGGTGGTGGTGAGGTTGATGGGGGCCGTGGAGAGGATGCCCGTGGCGCGGACTTCGTAGTGCAGGGAGGCGTCTTGGCTGAGGTAGAAGAGGAAGATGTATTCGTAGTTGCTCGCCGTGATGACGGTTTGGAGCACGAGCACGCGCGACCGTGTCACGGCGGCGCGGCCGGTGCGGAAGTTGGTGTGCTTCCAGAGGATGCCGTCGTCGATCTCGTGGCAGCAGATGACGTTGGGCATCTTGAGCGGGGTGCCCGAGCGCGTGCTCAGCCAGCCGTCGAAGTACTTGATGTGGCCGAGGCAGTCGCAGCCGAGCTGGAGGTTGTTGGCGCAGAGCCCGGCCCCGTCGTTGCCCAGGTCGAAGGCCGCCTTGCGCGGGTACGGCGTGCGCGGGTCGCCGTAGGGCACGAACATCTCAGCCAAGGACAGCCGGTAGAACAAGCTGCGGTTGTCGAAGCGGACGTCGTGCAGCGTCATGCCCTCGCGGTAGTTGAACCCGACCCGCATCGTCCACTTCTCCCAGCTGATCTTGTTGCCCTCGATGGAGAAGGACGGGCCCTCGGGCTGGGAGACGTGGTAGGGCTTGGTGGTGGTGCGGTGCTCCGTGTTGAGCGTCGGGTAGTACTCGCTCCCCTCGTGGATTTTCCCGCGGTCGAACTCCTGAGGTTTCCCTCCGGTCTTGATCCGGTCGTGCTCTCCGGAGGGAAGGTGAAAGATGTTGACGACCTCGAGCTCCTCTGACATCTCTACGCATAGATCAAGGGGGTACGCGTAGTAGTTTGCGTCCGGGTCATCGGAGAGGCGCATGTAGAACCAGCACTGAGCCACTGTTAGAGAACGCTCGACGCACATGGCGCTTACAAGTAATACATGCCATGGTCATCCGCTTAGACATGTCATTCATGCCGTCCGGTCCGTACGTCCACGGCTCCACCACCACCGTCGCACCCTCGGGGAGGTTGAGAGCGGCGACCTGCTCCTTAACGCCAGAGTCGGCCATACACGCCAGCTCAGCCTTGCGCGTGTAGTCAGGATCGATATGCGAGTGATGGCCATCCAGTGTTTCCTCCGAGATGACGCTCTGCCGGTCGAGATCAACCTTGAACTCAAAGAAGGTGTTGCCGACGTGAGCCTGGACCTTGGCAAGCCGGGGAGGGGGCGTCGGCGTCTCTTTTCCTTCATGTTCCATGTCGAGAAAGGGGATCATCTCGGCCTTAGGAGGCTCCCAAAGTGTGATGACCCGGAATATGACGGCATCCGTAGAACAATGGCGTATCAGGACATCGGCGGCCTGTCTGGTTGTTCAGTAGGTCGCTTTTCTGTATTTGCAGGCTGGAATCTTGATCTCACCAACTGAATCTCCTTCGCCTTAAGCGGGTCAAAGGGGTGAGGATGGAAGGCCATGGCTCGGGGCTGGCTTTCGGGTCTGCGATCGTATCTTGTTTGCTTGTCCGGAATGAGGCGAGGAGGCAACGAAGGCCAGAGTGAATAATAGGTGGGGATGAGAATCCAAAGGTAGCTAATATACCATGGGTAGCATGGAGATTCCGGACTCACTGATGCGGACCGAGAGCCGGTGTTGGCCGAGTCGGAGCGGGGCGCGAGCGCTAACGGTAGGTGCAGCCGGCCCGAGCGGGATCGGCCCCGGAGCCGGACCCGCAAAGGTTAAGTTGAGCCGAAGCCAAAGTATGTCCGCTAATGTAAGGAAGTCTCAACATCCCTAAGTAACGGACGAAAACTGCATCTTGTAACAATGATATCCTAAATATCCCATGGATGTACATCGTCCAGCTGTCAAACAAGTCACTGCACTTACCCCCCTCTTACAACCCGAGACCCAAAGCTAGTTGGAGCTCAGAGGCTTCTCTCTCCTACCAAATTTGCGGCCCGGCTCCTTAAGCAGTCTCTGCTGCCAGAAACACCTTTGCGCTGTCGACTACGCTCTGCTGAAACCCAGCCCAGTCCCTGCCGAGCAGCATGCCCGCCCTACTCGCATCAAACCTCCAAGTCATATCCGGATATGTCTCCCCAGGATGTCCCTCCCGGATTTTGTCTTGTCTCTCCGGAAAGCTAGCCCTCAGTACGTCGGCCATCCCCTGGGGCGATATGGGCAACTCTCCAACAAGCAGGTAGCGCTCTCGAGCACGCGGGGTCTGGGAGTCCCGTTCCACCGCTCTAAGAACCAGCTCGGCCGTATCACGTACGTCGATAAAGGTACTCCTGATAGGCGAGAACTCTGGTATCGGGCCACCATGTAGGATGTCGTAGATATCCTTGACGCGCATGCTGAGGCTGGAAATGGGATCTGGGAGGTACAGCGGTGGCCCGAGGACGGGACTTGGTATGGTCAGTGGCTCATATCGGCTTTCGAGGGTTCGGGGGCAACGTACGCCGGACATAGCGCCGTCATGGAAAACTCAGCCGCCGTTTCCTTCCCAAATTTCCAGAACGCCCTTTCGGCAGCGGTCTTGCTCGCCTGGTAGATGACGTACCCGGGCGTGTTTTTGCCCAACCTGCGCACTTCCTCCTCGGCGGCATCGTTCCAGTCGGCCTCGGTAAAGACGTGTCCTGCGGGTTTGGAAACCGAGAAGACGGCACTGACGGTGGACATGAACACGACTGATTTCAGCGTGTTCTGTCGAGGCTCTCTCTTGGATTCGGCCAGTGCCGAGGCGAGAAGGGAGGTGGTGCCTTGGACGGAGGCCCGCATCATGGGCTCTGGATCGGTCTCGGCCATAGAGACGGGGCTCGCGAGGTGTGCTACTGCCTGGACGCCTAGAATGCAAGCGGCCAGTGGTCAGTATCGCGTGTATCTTTGCGCCGCCGAACGAAGAATCGGAAGTTGGAACCTTCAACAACGCGGTCAAATGCCCCATTAGCGCTGATGTCTGGCACCTCGACTAGCTCCAGCCGGTTTCCATCATGGTATTTGTCAAGCGCGCGGACAAGCGACTCGACGTTAGGAGTCCTTGCGCGGACTGTTCCCCGAACGGTGTACCCGGCTTTGAGAAAGGTGGCCGCTGTATGCGCGGCGATGTAACCATTGATACCCGTGATGAGGACTCGGCGCTGGCTTGCCATATTTAGCGTTGTTGACTCCTAAGATTATTATGATGTTAGATTATGAAACAGAACCGTGGACTGACGAATTTACGCAAAGAAAGTTGTTGTGTTGACTCCGAGATCGCTGCCGAGAGGTTGTTATCAGTGCGCCCTTCTTTTGAAGGAGGAAAGCCGTGACAAGCCGCTGTTGCTGCTCTCTTTCCCCAATTGGTGTTACCATCCCCTTGTATTCCACATGTTTTTGTTTGTATCAGGAGAAGTCAACATTTGACGGATCGACTCTTGACTCTGTGTGGATTGATTTCTTTTGATTTAAAAGTACATTGAAATCCATACGCAGGAAGTTCTCGCTTCTTGATCTCCCAATCGTTCCTTTCTTTTCATCAACCAGCTCGAGGAATATTCACCCTCTTACTTAACCTCCGCTTGAATCTAGTTTCCAGAATCACCACACTTCCGGCACCGGGCTCTTCAAGAACCCCTTCAGCGGCGTCGTCCCGTTGTAGTCCAGCCCGATCGCCTGCACAAACGCCTGGGCCACGAGGTCGGCACCGGCAGGGCTGGTGTGCGTGTGGTCCTGGGGGAACAGCGCGTTGGTCTTGTCGCTGCCCAGCTTCAGAAACATGTTGGCCACGGCCTGGAAGTGGTCCGAGAAGCTCGCCCCGCTGCCGACGTTCTTGGCCGCGAGCGCCGCATACCCGACAAAGCGCGGCGCGCCGGGGATGAAGGAGCCGCCCTCGAACAGGTTGTTGGGCGTCTGGCTGCTGACGATGACCTTGGCGCCCTTGGCGATGTAGCTGCGCGCCGCCGCCTCGACGTAGTGGTTGAAGGTGTAGACCAGCTCGCCCGTCTTGCCGGACCGGCACACCTCGTCGCCCGTGCCGGGGCAGTCGCTGCGCCCGTTGTCGTTGGCCGAGTTGGGCGACCCGCCGTCGTTGTGCCCGAACTCGATCACCACGATGTCGTCGCGCTGCACTAGCCCCTCGATCTCCGTGAACCGCCCCTCGTTGGTGTAGCTGCGCGCCGACCGCCCCGACATGGCCTTGTTTACCACGGGTGCCGTGATGTACTTGGAGAGGTACTCGCCCCAGCCTGCTGCCGGTCAGGTCACGAGTTCATGTCAGGGGCCGGGGGGAGTGGCATAGAAAAATTGCCCAACTCACCCATAAGAGCACCGCCAGTCTTGGCCATGGTGCTGTCTCCGGCGAGGTAGACCGTCGCCTGAGCTCCCGAGGCGGCAAGCCCGGTGGCGAGGAAGGTTGACCAAGACAACATTGTGGTTCCAGTTGTAATGCTGCTCCTATGATTCTAGGGCTAGTTCGAAACCGCAGTGAGGTGAGCTGACGTTCGGGAGTTCAGAGTTTGAATTCAAAGTGGCTTTAGGGTGACTTTAAAAGATCAACACTTTATTCTCCCAAATCAAACCAGCTCAGATTCAGATCCCAGCCCAGGACATATTAATACTCGTAGTAACGGCCGCCTTTACTCCGCACTCCCTCCTGCTGCCATACATATTGCGGTGTTTCGCGGCTAAAGGTACCGAGCCCCAGTTACACGGTGGTTCATCGTCCGGGTTTTGGTTATAAGCTCACCTTCCCAGTCAGAAGCCCCCGAGACTGTGACGTTTCGGCATTGGAGGAAAAACAACAGCGTAGTAGCATCCAGTTTATAACTTCCCCACTATCGCAACAATCCAGGGGCCGAGGCACGGACGAGCGGACGGATCCAGCGTGATTCGACACCGAGACGAGTGGAAGCCCTCTCAAGGGGCGAGTCCGTTTGGGATGCGCACCAATCGGCCGTTATGCACTCCAGTTTCCGGCGAGTTGGTGGCCGAGTCAGGGTAGTTAGTTATTAGTTATTGATACTGTAGCTTCAACCATTTGTGATGCTCGCAGCTAGCAACAGCGAAAATATGCAGTCATGAACCAGCGCCCGTCTTGCCTCGCGCTGCCACCGGCCACAAATGGTCCACTGCAACCAGTTCCTTCAGATTCAGCTCAATGTAACAACACTACATGGCCATGACCGCGACTCCAGCCGCCCATTCCTCTTTTCTATTCGTCCCGCGCTCCCATCTGAGCCCCTTTCACACAACAACAGCCTGACGTGAGGACGGTCACAAAAAACCGACCCCCGGAATGGTATCAATCATCTTTGGCCAGTGCCGTCAACCCAGAACTAGGGTAGCGTGTCTTCCGCGGGATCTCCCCGTGCCCGTGATAGTCGGCTACGTGAGTTGAGCCTACTTGTGAAAAAGAAAAATGAGCCAGCCACCGGGGCGAGAGGCACTTCGTTTAAAAAAGATCCGTCGCGAGGACGGCAGCGGACAGCACAATTGTGGGTCCGCCCTAGGTAGTAGCCTCCCCCATGGTTGACGTCCGGTCCCAATCCTGCCGCAGGAGTGTCGCGTTACCCCTTCTCTAACAACCCACATCCTCTCCTCCCTTGGTATATATCTTGACCCCCCGCTCGCTCGCTCGCTCGCCCGCCCACCCAAAATCTAACAACCACCCCATCACTCGACCTGCTTGTCACACCCGATGCGACCGAGGAGCTCCTTGCGGTCGCTGTGCCCGGGCAGGCTGACGCCCGAGGTGGTGGGGGCCTGGCGCTTGACGCCGGACCGGCGCTCCCAGCTCTTGAGGTCGATCTCGTCGACGCCGACCTCCTCCTCGAGGGGCTGGGCCTCCTCGTAGACGAACTCGTCCTCGTCCTCGACCTCGCCCTCGCCCTCGACCTCGCCCTCGTCGTCGCTGCGCACGTCCTCGGCGGGCGCGCCCTTGATGACCTTGACGGCGACGCGCACGATCAGGAAGAACCACATGATGGTCAGGCACTGCAGGAACAGCAGCATCGACAGGAACGACCACTTGACCGTCTCGTTGTAGCAGAAGGTGCCCTCCGAGTCCCAGAGCGGCTCCAGCAGGTAGGTGAAGCCCTGGTCCTTGGGGGGGTCGAACGGTCCCACGAGGTTGTCGCGTGATCCCTTGAAGCAGCCCGTCGGCATGATGTTGGGCGTGTGCGCCCACACCGAGTAGCACACGGCCAGGTACAGGAAGTGGCGCGCCGCCAGCCACGAGACCATGAAGACGCCGAACATGACGTCGCAGATGGTGTGGTAGCCGAGGTATTTGAGGCACTTGGCAAGCTGTGGGACGGAAACGACGGGTGGTTAGCAAAAGAGATGGATGTGGTGAGGGGTTTGGTGGTATTGCACGTACCCCTAGGGCCAAGTCGGACACATCCATCAGGACCAAAATGAGGTTGCCAACGCGCGTGTGGCCGTACCGGTACGAGGTGTAGATGAGGATGCTAGTGACGATGTGGTGGGTAAACATCTGCCAGTGGTCCTTCCTGCGCTCCTCGATGTTGATGACGATCATCTGTTGCAGCCAAAAGCCCAGCTGCGCGAGCATGTAGCCTTTCATGAGCCCGGTCAACTCGCGGTCGGGCCAACCCGTCCACAGCTCTCGCAGGTTGAAGTAGGCGGGCGACTGGCAGTAGATGTACTGGGTGGCATTCTGTTAGTGACGCTCACCAAAGAGCAGCTAGGAGTAAGCCCGAACGTACCAAACCGAGGGGCCAGAAGAATGCGTAGTAGACCGACATCCACGCCTGTTCGCTAAACCGAGTAATGTCTTTCCTCTTGGAGATGCCCTGGGATTTGGCGAACGGCGCGAGAATGTACTCCATGGTCGCGGCGCGCAAGCCGGTAAGGAGGACGATGCAGAACAAGACGACATGGCCATCCGCCCAGCCCAGCCCGTAGTTCCCGGTGCCCGGGTTGTAGTATGAGAGGTTGAAGTATTTGGCCGTGTAGTCCCGCGCGCGGGGCATGCCGTGGGCAAGGAAGAGGAGGGCGAGGAGGTTGAAGGAGAAGCCTGGGAGAAAGGGAGGTCGAGGTTAGCTCCTGGGTCTGGGGCGAGGAAATAGGGGTCCCAACGCACCAATCTGGTTGTTGACAAACCAGCGGGTGAGCTGCTTCATGGGGCCTTCGTTCTTCCTCTTGACGCGGCGGACGAGGACGACGTTGCTGTTCGCTTGTTTATAGAGCGGCCCGTTCATGTGCTGGGGCTTCCCACTCCTCCTCGGCGCGCGAGCCGAGGGCTTCGCCGTGCCGTTGCCGTTGCTGCTGCCGTTGCCATGGCTCAGGGTTGGGGTCGTCGGGGAACTCATGGTCGCCTCGTCCAGAAACTGGCAACGCGCCAGTCGTCCGTACGTCGTGGGAGGTTCTCGTCGAAACAATGGACAGAGTTGGGCAACGAGGTCCCTCCAAGGTTAAGGCCCTTTCGAGGGGGCGGGTGGACTGGCCAGGGGGACGTGGAACGGGCTCTGCGTTGATGCGGCGAAGGCGACTGCAATTTGGCAGTCTTCCCGCTGTGATTTCTCAACGAAGGACCTTAAAAGCAAGATGCGCCTTGAGAATAGGTGCGCGCGGTGCCACAACGCCAGGCTTTCGTCAACTTCGATGGGACGGAGACGGAAAACGAGCGACAGGAGGTGGACAAGGGCAGCGGGTTCGGCTTCTCCACCCGCTTGGTTGGCAGTTTGCCCATTTGCCCAAACCAAAATGTTGAATTTGGAGGCTGGCCCCACTGAAGATCGAGGCGCACAACAAAGGCGGTGGGCAAGTCACACTGCAGCTTCCAGGTTCCTGACCTGATGGCGGCAGGGATTCGTCCCAATTGAAACGCGGGATTGGATGAACCAGGGATAGCACGGGCCCTGGACCAGACGGAGCAACTCGCCTTTCTCGAGCTTGTCACTGGCTAGGACTTTTCAAGCTTGTCCTGGCAGCGTTCAGACCATAAAAAATATTTGAGAGGACCTCATCGCGAGTCCAATGTTCTAAAAGTTGTCGGACGGGTTGAAGACGCGGCGGTGGTGAGCCATCCGACCCGACTCTCGAAGATCCGCACCAAATACGAGCTGCCGCTCTGGTAACGAGATGCAGAATGGCACCATCCGCCTTCCCGATTCCTTAGTGGGAGGAGACTGGAAGTGCTGGAGCGTGGAAGCGGAGAGAGGTGGACGGATCCGAGACCATCCCCGCCTTTTCCCTTTTTTGGCGTCGGCGGGGTCCCTGCTGAGACCCTCTGGAACAGGGCGACGCTGCATCTGATCAGCCTCCAAGCGGGCAGTCGGCTCTGCAGCTGCCAATGAGACACTGTTGTCGCCGCATGCTTTGTGTCCTGTGATGTTCAGTTGCAGCTCTTGAGGGGTAGAACGAAACCTCGTCTCGGTAACTACGTTACTCTGAAGTATCGTTGGGGTTGCGCAGAAGAGATCCGACATATTCAGCCCATGTCGAATCCATTTTTGGCGCTTGGATTCAGGGTCATCTGAATTTCCAGCTTCCAACAAGCATTCTTTGCACCAGCTGCCGATCATCATATCAAACCCTAACCCTCGGAATATTGCAACGGTTGAGCGGTTCTTCGATCGGCGTTCTTCTCGCAGCTGATTCTTGGCAGCCTTGCACATTCAAGGTTTCCATCTTCCATCCTTCCGTCCAGCCTTGCGGATTGGTTGGCACACACCGTCCACGTCTCCTTCACCCCTCCCTCCCCTCGCCACCAACTCACCCACCCGCGATGAACCAAATCCGCGCCATCCAGGCGCTCAACAAGCGCGAGATCGAAAATGGCGTGCCACCCGAGGCCTCGTGGCACACCGACTATCGCGACACTGCCTTCGTCTACTTCGGCGGCCTGCCGTACGAGCTGTCCGAGGGCGACGTCATCACCATCTTCAGCCAGTTCGGCGAGCCCGTGTTCCTCAAGCTGGCGCGCGACAAGGAGACGGGCAAGTCCAAGGGCTTCGGCTGGCTCAAGTACGAGGACCAGCGCAGCACCGACCTGGCCGTCGACAACCTGGGCGGCGCCGAGATCGGCGGCCGCCTGGTGCGCGTCGACCACGCGCGGTACAAGCTGCGCGACGACGAGGATCCGGAGGAGTGCAAGATCGGGTGGGAGGACATGCTGCGCCGCGAGCGCGCCGAGAAGGGCCTGCCGAGCGGGGACGAGGACGAGACGGACGAGGAGGCGGCGGGGCAGCAGACAAGGCCGATGCTCAAGGAGGAGCGGGAGCTGCAGCTGTTGATACAAAACCATGACGACGACGATCCCATGAAGGAGTTCCTTATCGACGAGAAAAAGCAAGAAATCGAGGAGGCGTTGCGGCGGGAGAAGAGGCGGTCCGAGAAGGAAAGCCGGAGAACTAGGGACAAGGACAGGCATAGGCACCGCTCGCACCGGTCAAGGAGGGGCGATAGCGACGACGAAGGTCATGGGAGGGACAGAGACAAATACAGGGACAGAGGTGAGCGTGAGTCCGATCGGAAGTCGAAGTCCAGGAGGGACGGGACTCCGGTTGAGGACGAGCGAAGAAAGCGCCGCCGGGATTCTCGCGATCGAAACCGTAGCCGAGAAGGCCGCGTTGAGAGGGACCGAGAGAGAAATGAAACCCGTCGGCATCGAGACGACCGAGATGAGGACCGTCACAGGAAAGACAGTGATAGGCATCCACGGCACGCTCGGGAGAGTTCGCATGGTCGTGACGAACGCCGACACCGAGCCCTAGAGGATAGGGGACGGCACCATAGGGAGAGAAGTCGGAGTCGCTCGCCGCGCCCATCTCGAGACTAAGGGTGCTGGGTGGATGGGAGATTTGGTTCTAATACAGCCTTGCTCTTGATTGCGCGCAGCAACATGGCCTGAGAATGCACGATACTTGTTGAGATACCCATTGACTAGAGGAATAATACTACATGAATAATTCAACCACTCGACGCGGAGGAATGCGTTCCCGACTTTGACCCAGTAATACTCCCGCTAAATATGCTTTGTCGCCCAAATCCTTCCGTCCCCAAAATACCAGACTCCATCGTTTCCTCCATGACTTAAAACGCCAAAGACTCCGGGTCAATATGCAAAGACAGGCGAGCTTACGCGCCAACAAGATAACGCTTCCACCCCTCCCTGACGCAGAACCGTTTCCCGTCCCCGGCTTCTTGTATTACGAACCTCTCCCAGCGCGCGTCCTTGCCCGCGCCCACGACCAGCAGCGTTTCCTCACCCACCCACCCAATCACTCCCTTGGGGGGCTTCGAGGTGCCCAGAGTCGTGGTCTCCGATACGGGCAGGCCACTGGTCATCCCCTCGTTGGTGGTTTCCTCATCGTCCACCTCGAACGGCGCCGATGCGAATGAATACACGTCCGAAAACATGCGCGGCATCAGGGGAATCTTGGAGAGAATGCCCCACTTTCCTCTGCCGTCGCCGCCATTGCTCTCTGACGTCGTACTGGTGCTGCTACCAGCGCCGGAGATGCCACCGTTTTGCTGATGCAGTTCTTGTTGCTGCTGCAACTGTTGCTGGCGAGAAACACGTTTTGGATGTGGGATGTCAAACACATGTAAAGTTGACTTGTCCGATGTGCAGGCGAGCATGGTGCCCGACGGGTTGAAGGCCAGGGAGAAGATGGTTGCCGGGTCGATTCCACGACGCAGCTCTACAAGACGGGCACAGTTGCTTGTGGCGAAAACGCGGATCAAGGTCCCCTATTAACAGTATGAGCGTTACTCGGGCGAGCCAGGGGAGTACTGTGAAGGACCTACCTTCTCACTGGCCGTAGCGAGCAGCTCGCCATCCGAGCTAAGCTGGACCGCCTTTATGGCAGATGAGTGTGCGGGAATGATGCTGACGTTCCCCGTTGCGATCTCGACGAGTTGCACATGTCCCACTGTCCTTCCGGGAAAGGCTATTTTCTTCGGGGAGAGGCAACACAACCCCCACGGGTTGTTGGCCGTCTCGAAGGCCGACTGCAGGTTGGGCGGCTTGGCGAATTTGTAGACGCGCACACTGTTCTGCAGTACGACTACAATATGCTCCTTTGACAGCTGAACCCCACGTACCGGAGTCAGGGCGCTGATCTCGAGGGCAGCCTTGCTTTTCAAGTCGTCCCAGACGATGAGCTAGTCCATGGAATTAATCTTGACAATTCAACACAGAAGTGGGATGGAGAGAGCTTGCCTTGTTTGCGGCGAACTTGGGCTGTCTCCCTCCGCCGACGAGGCCTATGTAATTAGCTTTGCCCATCATCTGGACCAGCCCTACACCGGCGTTGAAGTCTGTTGGCGAGTCAGCGGTTGGTCAGGTGGGTGCAGGGGGCTGTACCCGGCTTACCCCGTGTGGTGCGTAGAGTACATGTTTCGGCGTGGAAAACTGTTGTCGTGAGCTATTGTGATACGAGGAATAGAAAGCAAAGGGGCCCGGAGATCTGAGAAGCATCATGGTGGTGATTCGGCGCCTGTGTGGGGCATGGATCGGATATTGCGGGTGACTTACTGCAGAATCCCGTATTGAGGCCCACGGCAAAACAACTGCAATCGCCGTTGAAAGATATGGAGAGAACAACTGTTGAGCTGGGTGTCTCGAGAGGGGTTCGGGTGTTCATTTTGGCGGCCCGTGGCGATGGTTTTGTTTAGTTAACGAGTGTGGTTGGAACGATGGTGGTAGCCTTGCGTGGGCGTAACCACCAAACAGCCGGAACCCTGGGCAGTTATGGGAAGCCAGGTGCCTGCGGCTCTGGCGGTGATAGTTAAAGAGGTTTTCCGACTGGGTTGATTTTGATGGAAAGTGAAATCGATGCTACGAGTTCATTCTCAGAATCGCGCTGAAATGATTGATGGTATGGGGTTCTGGGCTGGGGTTGATGTCCGCGGTCGTTCGACGATGGCCCGCAACAAGGGACTGAATGAATGGTATCAATCAATGATGGATGGATCTAGCCAACGTGGCGAGAAGAAAGCAGCGCTCTGAGCGATTGCGTAGTGATTGCGCAGTGGAAAATATTATTTTAAAGAATGCTTCATAGCTCCTGAGCTTCAAAACACATTTAGTCGATCGGACTGCGTTGCAAGTGTTGGATTGAATCTGGACTTCCAGACCCAGGCCCGTGTTGTCACGAGTTGCCCGCCGAGCTGCAGCTCACACGGGCGGCGTTTTGGTGACAGGAAGCGCCGTGCTGGGAGTGAGCGCAAGAGCCGCAGCACAGGCCACTTCGGAAAGATGGTCAGTTGCGGGCAGCTGGCGGGAAAGTTATCGTGGTGGAGCTGCGTATCGACAGCCGTCTTGGGTGCTTGGGCCTGGGGGACTGGAGCACACCTTTCCGGTTTTGGCTCTAGCGCAGCCTGCACCGAGCAACCCCTGAATTGCGGGTTGGCCATTGCTGCTGCTCTGGGCGACAGCTCGAGGTGCTGCTCCTGCCGTCCAGTAGCACCGCAACATTTTGTGAAATTACCATTTTCCGACAACGCCCATTCCCGGCCTCTCTCCTTTTCCCAACCTGCAACTGCTGTCGCTCGAGCTCGACGACCGCAACCCGCAACCACCTTCTCGATCACCGACTTATTGGCCACTGGATAGAGCCATTTAGCTTTATCTTCCCTGCTGCTTCTCTCAAGCCGGCGCTAGTTTTGCCCGTGCCCCAAAAACGCGACTCGACTTCCCCCCACGACTCCACACCACCAATATCATGTCTTCTCCGGCCGTACGTCTGCCTTTCCCTGTCTTCCCAGCGTCGTCGTGATATTTGCCATCCCGACCTGTGTTCCCCGTTTCAATCCAACGATCCGCTCTCCGCGACCACATCTCGCACAAACGCGCCCGTCATCAGCGACCGATCTTCGTGCAACCCGAACAACCAACGGTGCTAACATGTTTACGGCACAGAAGATGATCCGGCGGAAGAAGAATGTCAAGAAGGGGATCCAGTTCTGCCTGATGGTCTGCGGTGCCTCGGGTACTGGTGAGTGGCTTTTTCAACCCTGCATCGACGCGCAGCCCGCACTAATCATTGATGAACCCCCGCAGGACGGACCACCTTCGTCAACACTCTTTGCGGCAAGCCCGTGCTCTCTCATAAGGAGTCCGACGACGCCGGCGCCGCTCACGTCGAGGAAGGGGTCAAGATCAAACCCGTGACGGTCGGTACGCAAATTACCCATATCGTTGAAAGAGTTGTGGTTCGATGGATGCCTAACCGCCCACAGAGCTTGAGTTGGACGAGGAGGGCACGCGTATCTCCCTGACCATTGTCGACACCCCTGGATTCGGTGACCAGATCGACAATGAGGCCAGGTACGAGTCAAAACAGCATAACCGATTTCGGGGATGGCTCGCTGACATATTGTGCCCGCAGCTTCTCGGAGATCGTTGGCTACCTCGAGAGGCAATACGATGACATTCTTGCCGAGGAATCGCGTATCAAGCGTAACCCCCGTTTTAGAGACAATCGTGTTCACGCCATGCTTTACTTCATCACTCCCACCGGCCATGGGTAATCGCCCTGTTTTTCCCTCGTATTACTCGAGATGCTGACGTGGTTGCAGTCTCCGCGAGCTCGACATTGAACTGATGAAGCGCCTCGCGCCTCGCGTCAACGTTATCCCCGTGATCGGTCGCGCCGACTCCCTCACCCCCTCTGAGCTTGCCGAGTCGAAGAAGCTGGTGATGGAGGATATCGAGCACTACCGGATCCCCGTCTACAACTTCCCTTACGACATCGAGGAGGACGACGAGGACACGGTCGAGGAGAATGCCGAGCTTAGGGGGCTGATGCCGTTTGCCATTGTGGGATCAGAGGATGTGGTCGAAATCGGCGGCCGCCAGGTGCGCGCCCGCCAGTACCCTTGGGGCGTCGTTGAGGTCGACAACCCGCGCCACTCGGACTTCTTGGCTATCCGGTCTGCCCTGCTGCACAGCCATCTTGCCGACCTGAAGGAGATCACCCACGACTTCCTCTACGAGAACTACCGTACCGAGAAGCTTAGCAAGAGCGTTGAGGGCGGCGCTGGAGTGTACGTTTTCCCCGGCCTCTTGAACTTTGGCCGGTTTCATCTTTGCTAACATGATTTCCAGCGATTCGTCCATGAACCCCGAGGATCTGGCCTCGCAGTCTGTTCGCCTCAAGGAGGAACAGCTTCGGCGCGAGGAGGAGAAGCTCCGCGAGATTGAGGTCAAGGTCCAGCGCGAGATCAACGAGAAGCGCCAAGAGCTGCTGGCTCGTGAGTCTCAGCTGCGCGAAATCGAGGCCCGGATGCAGCGCGAGGCGGCAGCGGCCGCGGCTCAACAGGGCGGGCCTGCCGACCACGGGGCCAACGGCGCGGAGTAGCTCTGAAGCGCTTCCCCCCCTCGGTTATCCGGCAGCAGCTCGATATCCCACCATTGCGACGCCCGCCGGATATGGCCGATGTTCGACCACTTCTAGGCGACCTTTCATGCGATCCGATCTTTCCGTGCAGGCGTTGGTTCCCCTGTTGTTTAGAGACAAAATATTCCCCCAATTTTTCCTGCGCTTTTCACGATATCCGCTGCTCAACCAACCTCGGGATGTGGGCAACACCCGGGGACGGCCGGCAGGGCGGTGTCGAGGTCCTAACCGGAGTGGTGTGTGTGCTGGTGGGCTGCTGAGAACGGGGCTCAGGGAAGGTCAACCGAGGTTTCCTGGGTCCGGGTCTGGTTATCGGGTGTGGGCGGCCGGGAACGGCGGTTCCCATCAAACACGGTCCCAGACCGCGACGATGAGCCGTGTTGCAAGGGACAGGGCTCAGCCTAAGCACGCTTTTCTTGTCCTCCATCGTCCACGCCATCTCGGTCACGACCCCGTCTACCCCCTTACCTTGACTGTCTGCTTTTTTCTCATTTCTACTATTGGACTTCTAATGCAGATATCACCTAAATTCAACTTTCCTACTCTGATGCTGCTCTCATGTCCACCACTTCTCTGCATTCCTTCGCTAGCGGGATGCCTTAGCCCGGGTCGATGTTGGTGTAATACGGATTTTAGCTGAACTCAAAAGTACGACACGAAAGGGAGAGAAAGCGGGAGGAAGAACTACCTGTGCACTTGAATTTATGATGTTATCCGAGCTTGTCTTCACTGCATCCCGTCTAGGCATAGATACAATACGACCATGAATGTCGATGCGTAAATGATCAATTCGGAACCCTTCCCAAAAGCACCTAGTAAACTAACGTGGACGCAGCTTCGCTCAAGAAATGCGAGCGAAGTGCGCCACGCAGCGGGCAAGCAGTAAATCGGAAAGCAGAAAACAGAAAAGCACAAAAACCAGTCCCCGCAAAACCCCTATTTCCGTCGTAGCACAAAACCGATGAACCCGTTCCCCCAAACCCAAGATACTGTACAGTCTCACAACACGACGAATGAACATTACCATGCCCGCGACCTCAAAACCCCTCCGGTCTTAGGCGGCTCCTAAACCACTCTCCCGACCCGCTCTCGCCTAGTTGTTGCTCTGGCTGTTGAGGATGCGGAGGATGGCGAGGAACAGGTTGATGATGTCGAGGTACAGGCTGATGGCGGCAGCGATCTCCTCCTCGACGTGGTGCTTGCGCAGCACGAGTTGGGTGTCGACCAGCACGTAGCCGCTGAAGACGAGGGCGGTGAGCAGGCCGTAGACGAGCTCGGTGGTGCTGGTGTGCGGGAGGAAGAAGGACATGAAGCCGAAGATGACCAGGCCCCACAGCGCGCCGAACAGGTAGGGCATCCAGCTCGTGAAGTCGTACTTGGTCTGGCAGGCGAAGGCCGTGAGGAAGAGGAAGATGCCGGCCGTCAGGAAGACGGCGTTGAGTACGATCGAGGCGCTGTAGAATGATACGATGACACTGATGGTGTAGGCTTCGAGGAGGGTGAAGGCCGAGAGGAAGAGAAGGTTCATTGGGTACGAGTGGCGTTTCCAGTAGGTGAGCATCATGCAGGCCATAGAACCAAAGAGCTGTAGCGAGACAGAGTTAGTTGATGCGGGCTCGAGGAGGTGAGCGAAGAGGGGAGTGGGGTCTGAGGGGACGTACCGAAACCCAAACGATGGCGGGATGCGACTGGATCCATGACTTGTAGCTTTCGCTCATGAAGCTGAGTGCGCTGACGGCGCCCGTGGCGATGAGCTGGACGGTCAGGATAGTGTAGACCTTGCGGATGAACTGATTGCGAATCTCGACTGTCGCTTCGGCGACGGAGCCTCCAAACTGCGCAAAGACAATCAGCGACACTGAACGGGGTGGTCGGCGGTATTATGGCGGGCGCATACCTTGAAGTCATCGGGGACGTTGTCCTCGCTGTTTCGCGGAGACCCAAACAGGCGCTCCTGGTCCTGGGCAGAGCTGCTCTCAGCCTGGTACGACGGGGGCGGCTGGGTGTAGTTGAGGTCCGGGTCCTCTTGGGGAGCGGGCGTGTACTTGACGTTGGCCGACATGGTTGCTGATGGTTTGCGAGCGTAGTCGCTGGAAAACGCGCGGGGTTGTGCCAGGCAAAGCGTTGTTGGTGATGAAATCTGGCGTGGGGTGCAAACGGAAGAAGGCGAAGGAAAGTGGCGGACGAGGCTGGCCTTTAATATGGAATTCGCAATGACGACCACTGGTGATTGAGGATGACCCGAACAAACGGACGGTGGGGATGCCTGCTCTTCACTGGTGGCGGAGCTGTGGCCACCTGCCTGTGGCCGGCACGTGGTTGGTTGGCTGGAAGCTGGAGATGCCTGGAAGCTGCAATGCCAAGCTTGGTTGACAGTCAGGCACGGTTTGTGTGGTTAACTCAGGGTTCGGGTTAGCTACTGTCTCTCAATCTGGACCCTGCCCCTGCCTCTCCCCCGGCTCTCCACTTATCGGCGGTGATTTGGAACACCAGTCGCGTCTCTCCGCCCACTTCACCAACGAATCGTGTTTCGGCGAAGTCACGGTCCACACCAGTCCGACCCAGCCCCAGAAACCGGAAGAGGAACGACTCCTGAACGGGCCATAGTCGGAGGCATGAGACCAACCAGACGACACGGCTAGAGATTAACTTTAGCCCCGATTCATACCCCCCGTTTGCGATTTCGTACGGACTCAACAAACCTCCAACCCAACACATTAAAAAATAAAGTACACAAATGCCCCCAACTGCAACTCACCCTTAAGCGAGCGCAGCCATGGCGGCAAACACGAACCGCTACTCGACCTACACCACAGCTTCGGTTGGCTCTGGTACCGACTCCAAGAATGGGGATAAGACCGAAAAGAAGGATCTATGGAACTCCATGCTCTCGTCCGTGGCAAGCGGGAGGCGGCTACCAGAGAAGAACATAATACTGCTGGGCGGCACTGTCGACTCGCAACGCGAGTTCTTTGAGACCCTCTCCAACAACGACCTCCGCCGCACTCTCGACCGGAACGCATCGCGGATGCCCCCTGTCGCAAACAGCTTCGCCCTTGGCTACACATACTACGATGTCCTCGACGCCGACCAGGAGGACACCCTCGCGCGCATCTCCCTTTACACTCTCACAAGCCCTTCCGCCGCATTTGCCTCCCTACTCCAGCCGCTCCTAACGCCCCAATCGATATCAAACACGCTGATAGTGGTGCTACTGGACTGGTCCCAGCCGTGGAAGTGGATGCGACAGTTGCGGGAATGGATTCTGCTTCTGAGGACAGTGCTGGTCTCTTTAAGCAACGAGTGCAAGGAGACCATGGAGGAGGTCATGCTGGCATGGCGAGATCGCGGGCGAGGCGGCGGGACAAACCTGGACGGTACGACGGCCGTGCCTACAGCAGATGGCGAGATGGACCTTCCCGTGGGACCAGGAGAGTGGGAAGACGCACTGGGCTTGCCCCTGTGCGTTGTGTGCCAGAATGTAGGCCTGCAACCTCGGCAGCGTGCTCTGACTCAGCAACTAACCAGATTTGCAGGCCGAGAAGATGGAGTATCTGGAGAAGACGCAGAGCTGGAAGGAGGAGGAGTTTGACGTTGTCCTGCAATTTCTGCGAACAACGCTGTTAAAACGTGGGTGTCCTACTAAAACTAGGGAGACATAAGCTGACTCGATATGTCGCAGACGGTGCCTCTTTAATCTACACCACGCCCTCGGTTCCCTCCCAGCTCCCCACGCTTATCCACTCTAGCTTGGGGATACACTCGCTCCTCAAGAAGCAACCACTCAAGCACAACGTAATCGATCGGGACAAGGTCGTCATCCCGCCAAACTGGGACTCGTGGGGCAAGATCCGGGTCCTCAGAGACGGCTTCGACGTCGACCTCGTGAGCAACGGTTGGTCGATTGACCTCGACCAGCCATTCCCGCGGCCCCTAGAAAACGGAACCGAAGACGAAAACGAAGAGGTAGACGAGGACAGCGAGCACGTGGCGGCCGACCCGGAAGGATCAACAGTCGCCCTATACGAAGAGTCCGTCCAAGACCCAAGCATGGACGCCCTCCAGTTGGCGGGCCGCGACACTCACTCGACCGCGCTCGAGGTCGAGACCATCGACACCCAGACCTTCCTCGGGCAACAGCTCAAGGTCCTGGACGCCTTCAAGCAGAAGAACGAGGAGGCGGCGCGGGAAGAGTCCCGGCAGAAGCCCCACAAGAAGATGGATGACGACCTCGTCATCGACCACGACCAAAAAGCAGACGCCAGGGTTCTCGAGCACATCGGCCCCGTGCAGTTTAACATGGGCGGCATTCAGGTCGACGCCGACGACATGGTACAGCGGCTTAAGGTGAGACTTTTCTCTCACAACCCCCCCAACCCAACTCCTCAAACTAACACTCTGTCACAGGAGCGCCAAGCGTTCGGCTCGTCCTCCCAGCCCGAGAGCCCAACGTCCGAGGAAGCCCTGGACTCGACCTCGCACATGGACACGGAGAACCTGCAGGCTTTCTTCCACGGGCTGATGAACAGGCGAGGAGCGCCTGCCAGATAGCACTCGACGTGGAGCCGAGACCACCTACAAATGGAGGTTAGCTCTTGATGAGCACATAGGCAACCCGCGCCGAGAATTCCCCTTTGTTATTGTGGTGGCCCCGAGTACATGGATGGTTGTGAACGAGGAGGTAGCGAGTGTATTGCCATGTTGGTCTTCCTGTTGTCGTCGGTGTTTGGCGAAGAGGCGAGAAAACACCGAGATTGTAGACTAGATACCCCCTTTGGAGAAATAATGAAAGATAAAAGAGTGTAAGAGTCGGCCCGATCGCGCGTTAAACACAACAATCTCATTCCTGCATGGAAATCAAGCGTGGTTGTGGAACTACATAAGTCTAGTACTCTGCATGTGATGCGGCATCCCCATTCTTCCCGCATGCAACCATCCCAACTATATGATAAGCACCGCCGATGCAGGTACTCTTAAGCCAACCGGTATCAATACCGTTCTAGCTCCATAGTACATACCCGGTCCTCAAAAAATGGACACCGACGCAAGCCTCAACAATGCACAACTCTCCCTATATAAATCCGCTCGATCACGAGCGCTCTCCAACCACCAACTCCTCCACTTTCTTCACCAGCCCTTCCGCAGTAGTCGTATCTTTCCCCTTGTCTCCAATAAGCACCAACGCAGCGGCTTCCGCCCTCGGCGTGGTATACCACTTCCGCAACGCGTCCGCATCCTCCTTGCGCACCTCCAACTTCCTCACCCCCAGCCGCGCCGTGACAACGCCCGTCAGCAGGCTGACGAACAGCCAGGGGTACTGGAGGATCTCGGCCTCGAACGCGTTGACCGTCTCGCGGGCCTGTAGCACATACGGTTCCGTGTCCAAGAGCGTGCCGAGCCGGAACAGGTTCGACGCCGACACAGCGTTGGTCGAGGGGTGCGCCTTGTCCATGCCGCTCTTCAGGCGGAGGATGGTCGGGCTGAGGGTTGCTGATTCGGTTGAGTAGAAGCCGCCGGAGTGGGCGTTCCGCGGGGAGTGTGTGGGGGTGGTGGTGATGGACGAAGATTTGGAGAGGGGTGCGTCGTAAAAAAGAGCGGTTTGGGTGTCTATCTTTGTTAGTAAGACTTCTTTCGGCAGGGGGATTAGGAGAATAATGCATACCCTGTAATTGTTTCGCCCAGTCCAGCCACTCCTGTTCAAAGGTCGCTGTGTAGAGATCCAGGAGGCCATCGATCAGGAAGGCGTAGTCATCTGCGAAGGCGAGTACTTGACTTGGACGTTCCCAGAAGAAGCGACGCAAGGGGTTGCCGGTCTTGGTCTTCGGCCCCGCCCATAGATTCTTCTTGATAAACGTAGCAGCGTCCCGAGCAGCTTGTAGGTATCTGTCCGCTCTCTCGGCATCAAGCCCGCGGATGGCGGCCGCGGTCCTCGCTAGCGCGGCGATAACGATGCCATTGGCACCAACCACGACTTTCTCGTCCCGTACCGGCCGCACCCTCTCCTTCTCCCGGTGCGCGCGCAGCTTTTCGCGCGCAGTCGAGACAAGGTGTTTGATTTCCGCCGGCGGGACACCGAACTGCTTGGACAGTTCAGTGGCATCCGCCTTGACTGATAGGATATTTTGGTTGATGAACTCATCGAAGGGGTCCTGATCCTGCGGCACGTTCCCATCCTCCTGCACATCCCAGTATGCCGCAGCGACCGTACTCGCGTGGTCGTCGCTGGACCCGCCGCCGACCACCTGGTCGAACTCCCTCCTTGTCCAGGTGTAGAATGCGCCCTCCCGCATGTGCCGGTCGCCCTTTCGGTAGAAGGAATCGGACGCCTCACTGGTCACAAACCCGCCATTCGCCGTGCGCAGCAGGGTGCTGGTGAGGTAGTCGGCCACCTCCAAAACAACATTCGCAAACTCGTCGTCAAGCGACAGTTCCTTCCCATCACCCCGCGAATATCCCAACCACGCATCAAGAAACACGCCTAGTAATAGCGCATTCTCCCCAACCATCTTCTCAAAATGCGGCATGCTCCAGTTGTTTGTCACACTGAACCGCATGAAGCCGCCCCCGACGTGGTCCCTCAAGGCACCATCGCGAATCCGCCTCAGCGTCCCGATTGCCATCCCTACCGCACGCTCGGCTTCCTCCTCTCCAATAACATCCCTCACCTCCTCCGGGAACTGCGCCAGCCTCAACAAGAACGACAGGCGCGCCGGGTTCGGAAACTTGGGCGTGCCGAACCCGTACTCGACTGGGTCAAACATCCGCGATATCCTCCCGAGCGCCTCGTCCAGCTGGTCGAGATCCAGATCGCCAGAGTCGGGGCTAACTGTCGGGGCAGCATTCGCCGCACCGGAAGCACCAGCAGCGGCCTCGATCGTCGCGCCGGCGCCGAAGGTCCCCTCCTGCGCGAAGTCCTGCAGCTTATGCAGCATCTCGAACGCCTCCCGTCGGCACCGCTCCTCCTGCTCAACCCAGAACTGGTGGATCTTTTTGGCAATGGCAAGGAAGTCATTGTACGACTCCTCCCCCTCCCCGGCGCCACTTATGCCCCCCGTCCCGCTACCCCCCGCGGCGGCGGCGGCGGCGCTGTGTTCTGTGCCCGGGCCCGGCCAGTATGTGCCGCCGAAGATGGGATAGAGGTCGGGCGTGAGGAAGAGGTTGAGCGGCCAGCCGCCGGTGGCGTTGACGGCCTCGCTGTAGTTTTGGTAGATGGTGTCGAGGTCTGGGCGCTCTTCGCGGTCGATGAGGATGGGAATGAATGAGGCATTGAGGAAGGATGCTACCGAGGGGTTCGAAAAGGAGTCCTGGGTTGTGAGGTGGCAAACTGGCGACCCGGGGAGGATCGGTTAGCGGGAGGTGGGGTGGGAGGCATACGAAAGGGGGGGCTGGACTCACGGTGGTCTGCCTGGAAGCCGATGTGCATGAATATCGGCTTGTTCTCAGCCGTGGCCCGGGTGAGTGTGTCTGCGTCAAGCATTTGCCATGCCACCGGAGTATCGGCGTGACAGCGCACGTAGGGGCTATCACTCTCGCTGGCGCGGTTCTGAAGCTCCGGGAAGGTGGAACTCCCGGTGCCGGTGGCACCGGGCTCGGGATGTTGCCGAGGCTGCCTCTGTTCGAGCTGTGCCCTCATCATCTTGTTGATGTCAAGGTATCTCTGAGTTGGTGGCCCGGGGTTGGAGTTACGTCGACTTTCGGGTGTCGCGATGTAACTCCCTGTGTACGCAGACTGGCAGGCACTGATTTGTGACAGGAATGCGGGTGGACTGCGGGGTAATTTTACAAGTCTGCCCGAACGGTTCTCAAAAGTACCCCCAAGGAATGGATTCCGGAACAAGGAGGTCTGTTTTGAGATGGAATGTTCGGCTGGTAGGTGTGATTGGACGTGCAGTCTCCCCGGTCGACTGGTTTATGGTGCTGGGCGGAGGGGAGAGATGTGGGCGGTCCCTTCGGGATGTTGAAGCTGCCAGGTTAAACGGGGAGTGACATCGTACAGGGATCCTGCCTGGAGGGAAACATCGGCCTTACGTTGACTGCCGCCCTGGGGAATGCGGCAGCGGATTCCTGGGCTTCAAACAAGGGTTAGGGAACGCCGTAACGACTGCCCAACTCCCACCAAGGTATCACGGCAAGGAAAGAGAAGAGAACAGGATGGCAAGTCTCCAATACGTGTCTACCGATGTCAACTTCTGCACTCGTATCACTTAGATTTATTTCTCTTTGCGCTTCGAGGAGAGCCCGCCCAGCCTATTTCACTCGCCGATATGTTCGACAAGCCGAAATCCTTGGATTTGTTTGTATGGTTGATTAGTTGAGAGTTTGGAGGATAACGTCTCTAGAAACATAAGAGGGAGGCAACACTGCCCGTCCTGAATGGAAAGGTCCCTTATAACCAACTCGCTGCTCCATCCGGCGCCAATACACAATCTCAAAAGAACGAATACTCCTTGTCCTGTTCCCATCCCAAACCTTCGAACCCAGAACCAACCCAGCCAGAGCCCAAACAAACGCCAATATCCATGACAGCAGAAGCCCGGTAGCCCTGCTTGGGGCCAGACAAGAGTGAAACCCGACCCAACGCCTAACCCGACAACATACAAGACACTTTAGACCGAGGCAACGGCGCGCTTATTGTGTCGCTTGATCATGGACTCCCAGGCGCAGGGGGGCTGATTCTTCGCCTTGCAGTCGCCGCAGAGCAACATGGCGACGCTGAGGGAAGTGTGTCAGTGGATATCCAACGCTGCTGTGCTCGGGAAGCGGGGGGTTCTTCTTGTTCGGGGACTGTACTATTCAAAGTGTGTGATGTCGGGCTTGCATCGCTTGTGTGTGATGGTGTAGACATCGCACCACCTCGAAGCGATGAACCGGAAGTGCCCGCAGCTGTATTCCCGTTGGATGAAGTTGCACATGGTGTTTTGAGGAAGCAGTGATAAGACGGCGGTGAGTTGGGCTCTTGACTTGACGAGTTAAGAGCAAGTGGGAGGTGGAGCACACGAACTGACGCGGTCACTCTTAACTGGCGGGGAGAAGACCCGCTGCTCTTGTATGTACCCGAGAGGAGATCCCAGGGATATCACCAGAGGTAACGGAGTCTCACCTCCTCGGGGAATTCTAGACCTGGAAGACCTCACGTCTTGCTTCAATTTCTGGTTCTGGCGACTTGCAGCAAGACTAGAGGGCGAAAGGGCGAACAAATGCCGACGAGTCGCACCGAATCTCGAGAGGTCTCAGATCGGGGAATCGAACGCGGTGCAGGAGATTCCAGCCATGGGCTTGGGAGATACCTCCGAGTGCCGCGGAGGCGGCCAGAAGGAGTCAGACATGGGCTTGCTCAGAGCGTCGTCCCACCAATCTTTTTCGCAGGGGGCGCGCCATGAGGCGGTCGTTGGCCCATGGGGAAGGGGTTCAGGGGGTTCAGGTGACCGTGGGGGACAGGCCCGTAATTTGAACCCTTCCAGCTGGTCGACCTTGGCTGCTTTGCTTTTTTTTGTTTGGTCTGGGCTGCCGGCATCCCGGGACCAAGGACTTGGGAGCGGCATTGGCCCGATGAGGGTGGCCAGGCGAACTTTTCCGAGGCGCGGGAGGCAACCTCCACAATTCAAGCTTCTGCTTCATCTCCGTGCAAGCGGCCCTGGGTTTGCCGTGCAACAACACGCTGAGAGAGTGACGGTGTGCTTCGGATGATCACCGTCCCAGGAGGGTGAAATGCAGTTCCACCACAGCCCACCTGACGCGCAGTGCACTGGAGCACATTCTTGCGCAGCGGTCCGCAGATGTGAGCACTCGCATTTTCAACAACCCAGGCGGGTAATGAGACCTTTCCTAGGAGGACCATGATCGTCGGACTGGCGGGCGAAACGAAACAAAAAGAAAGAGCAGTTTCGGATGACTCGCCAGTCGACAACGCAAGCTCAGGGAAGGAAGTCGCTCCCTTGCTTTCCCCTCAAATCCAAAGCCCAAAATGGAAGGAACGGCTCCCCTCTTTGGGGCTGGCCCCCACGAACGCCATGGCTTTCCCCCGCGGCCCAATTGCGTGTTGTCAAGGCTTCCCATTTCGAATCGATCGCCATCGCCAGAACATTGGACCCCTTGTTGGAATGCAGGAAGCGAGATCAAAGCGAGATCACGCGCCCAGCCGGTTCGCAGTCGCTGCAGTCGCTGCCGTCAAGGTGTCCGTCTCGAGCCAAGCTGAGAAGCAAGGCGAAAATGGCCCAACCGACAGTTCAGCTGAGAAATGCGTGTTTGTTTCGCAAGCTTTGTTTCGCAGTCTCGCTTGCGAAACACAATATGTGAGAAAATCCCCTGGAAGTCTCCACGGACCATCCGCCGTGCATCCGAAGCAAGGGTTCTCGGTCTCGGCCGAATCAACAGCTCCCATACAAGTCGACGTGTGAAGATATGATGAGGAAGCTCAAAAACAGGCCGGTTTTGGTCGGAGCGGAGACCGTTGAGCTCCAGCGAGCGTGGTAAAAATTACCTTTCATCATAGGAGCCAAGTCGGCAAGTACCTCGTCCACTCATTCAGCGTCAGCCAAACAACCATTGCCATCGCTCATTCAACACCCCGTTTCGCGCGTTTTGTGTCAAAGCGAAGCTGGCCACCGAACAACCAGATTCCAGCCGATCTCATTCGCTCGGGTGCCGGACCCGAGACAAGGATAACTGTTGCTGTTACACAACCACGACAACCTACCTGGAACAACATCCAGCTCCCAAACCACCAGTTATCGGTGGCGACAGAGACTAACTAACCAACCAATATGCATGCCACAGCAGCCGACATCGCAAGCGGATGACTTAATTGCCTCTCCGTCAACTCGTTGCTTGACTCGCCCACAAACCCCACCCAGCCGAACACCCCGTGTTTCTCCCTCTTTCGCCAGACAGCTCCCGTCCAAGCGGCGGTTTCTGTCCCTTTCGCCGCCTCCGCCCTACCCTAGATGGACACTGCTCGGGGCCGGCCTAAGCGGTCTTGGCTGGGACACATACCACCTTGGCCGCCGGCGCACACCGAGGTCGGCCTTCCTTGACCCTCACGACCCTCTCGATTTGGACCCGGGATTAGGGCCAACGTGCCACTTAAGACAATCGAGAATACCCGAAGCACCGACATACCTCAACCCTGCTGTTTTGGTTCATCCCGCACCATTCTAGCTCCCCAACTCCAGCCACGGCTATTTTTAGCCAACCTGCTCTGACTCCAGCGTCTAACTGGTCCGGCAGAATTCGATCTTGCATCATGCTCTGTGGACTTCATGGTAGGACGGTTTGTGATACCGAGGTTTAGCTGAACACACATGCTGACAAGCTCTTTCAGGCCGACCTCTCTGTTCCTGTTAAGTGGTTGGTGAGACGGATTGGGCGTGCGCCCGTACATACAGAGAGGCACGCACCGGCCCAGGAGCAGTCTGCAGACTCACTCCGGCCTGATAGCTCTGCTGAGCTTCGAGATTACCTGTCTTCTTGGTCGCGAATGGCGGCACCACCTCTGGCATAAATTGCCCGGGCCGCCGCCAAGCACCGGTTAGTTACTTCGTCGTCAGCCACTTCGCTGGGCAATGTCACCGCGCAGCCAAGAACGAGCGTCGTGTGTTAGGCTTGATTGACTTGTGCTATCGACAAAGATACTCGAGGTAAAAAATAGAAAAAAAGGGACGAAAAAATGAGAGAAAGAGAAGTGGACAGATCCGTTCACGGCCACCAAGCACCTCCCGCAGGCGATCAACCGTCCCGCCACCGTTCGGCCCCCGGCATCCCGCACCCCGGACCAAATCCAATTTTGGTTCCGCACCAGCCGCCTCCCAGAGAAGGAAACCAATGGACCGGCTGTCCCGAATTTCTGGTCCGATGCAGTCAGACTTGCGCAAGATGAGAGTATAACCACCTATCACCCCTTCTAGACCACCCGGAACCAGCTACCCGGAAAACCAAGTCCGCCAATAGCCGCTTAGCGGCACGAGCGCCAGGCGATGTTGACCTGCTGGGTGAAAGCGACGGTGGCATCGTCGTCGGTGATGAGGCCGCTGGCGGACGAGTTGCTGCTGGTGAGGGCGATGCGGTTGTTGATGTTGAGGATGCCGTTGGCGCCGCAGGGCGAGAAGATGTAGCTGGCCGTCGGGATCTGGTCGGCCTTGGTGTACACCTGGCCCTGCTCCCAGATGCCGCCGCCGGAGATGGAGGTCTGGGTTGTGGTCGTCGCCTGCGCGTCCTGGCTGAAGTAGTACGTGCTGTAGAAGTTGCCGGTGACGCCCTTCTCGAGCTGGGCGTAGCCGTGGTACGTGCTCTCGAGGACGGAGAACTGGAAGCCGCCGGGGTACTGTTTTGGGGGGGAAGTGTTATTATTCAACGTTGTGGTGAGCTCCGGTTCGGGGCGGGATGGCTGTTGCCGTACCTTCAGGCTCAAGTGGAGCTGGCAGTTCTTGCTCCTCTCAATGGGGCTGATGCCGGGTCCGATGTAGGTCTGGAACTTGTCGAAGCCGAAGGTGATGACCTGTCCAGACGGGTCAGTATCTATCGGGTAGGTGCAAGCTCGTTGCTGGGGACGAAGAGACTCACAGTCTTGTCGGGCGAGATGTTGGTGGAGACGGAGCCCTGGGGGCAGCCGTTGCCGGAGAAGGTGGCCGCGACGATCTGGATGTCTTGCGGGTCCGGGGCATCGGCCCAGCCATCGTTGCCAACGACCTGAGCGACGGGGCTAGCGGCGACGAGCGCGGGAAGGAGGAAAGCGACGGAACGCATTTTGGCTGATGGGGATCGAAGAAGACGATTTGAGACCTGAAGAAGTTGAGAGAGGCTGGATTGGCTCTGGGAGACTGGAAGGCTGGAAGGCTGTTGTGCTGGTGGTGAGGAAGGAGAGAAGAGGGTGTTGTCGATGGCGATGAACCGTCTTTATATCCCTTTCTCACGTCCCGGTCTTGGGCGTTCGGACTCTTCACGATCCCCTCATCACCCGCCTCATCCACCCCGCCTCCTCCCATACTGACACCCAGACGGGAGATTTTCCGGTTGCGGAGGCAATGTTTGCGACCAGCGAGATTCCTTGGCGCCCTCTAGTCTGGTGTCGTTAATTTGCATCTCCAGATTGATGCATCCGCCCTTCGGGACCCAGCGCCTTGCCCCCGTCTCTGCCTCCGCGCCCTGAGAGTCGCCAGGGTCTGTCTGCATCTGGGGCGTAAACAGTCACGTCGTGTCCGTTGGCTAGCTCGAGGCCGACGTCGTTCTCGCACGTTCTTCAGCTTTTCCTGGTTCAGTGGTTCGCGGCAGGCCAAATTTACGGATGAAGTGAGGATAAATGAAACACATATTAAGACGGGACGTACAGCTCTTATGGGCTCGCCCGACAAGGTACCATCGATCCGACCAAAACTGCGCCGAGACCCAAGTCGATTCGTTTTCGGGCTTCGCTCGCTGACAAAATCCATTTACTTCGAGAGGCTGATGCTTTTTATAGAAACCCGTCTCCAGCCTTTGCCATGTCGACATCCCCGTCAATCGAATCGAGGCCTGTATCTCGCACTATCGGGTTTGCCGGGGCAGTGAGCTGCATGTTGCATCGCACCTCGTTCCAGATCCAGTCGCCGGGGAGCCGAGTGTCGAGACGTCGTCGTCGGTCGGAGAGAGGCGAGTGAAGTGGCGATCTCCTCGCCCCCCCTGAGCCGCTCAGACCCGGCACAGCGGCAGAGGCGACGTCAAACACATCGACGGGGAAATTCTTGTGCTGATCCCGTCCCTCCTACCCGGACCTGACAGCCCGCCATGAACCGGTCCAGGCTCAATGCCACTATTCTACACTGGGTGCACGGCTCCGTCAAGGATGCTATTTTTGTGGCAGCTTCAGGGGTCGTTGATTAAGCTTAATTGAGGACCCACCGGGTGTTCCCTGGATCGCAACATGGCGGACCTGGATCGTGGCATGGTTGCATCTTGCTGCAGTCGGGGATAGCTGGGAATGCGAGTCAGCTGACCCAGCTTCACGGGGCCTCAAGGTCTTGCCCAGTCTACGTTCGCCTCGGATAGTCACAGCCACCGGGTTGGTGTCGTTATGACCAGGCATGGGGTGCATTGGGGGTTATGCCACCAATACTCGCAGCACTGTCTCGGACGTCGTCCACAAGGTCCATGCCGCTCACCCGTGCCGTGCCGGGACTTTACATCGGTGTTTGTTCGCCCTTGGCTATCAATCATTATTCCAGCCTACGGAGTGGGAACCAAAGGCCCAGGAAGTGCCAGCGGCCACGGACACCAAGCCGCATGCTTTAGGGGGCGAAATACTTCGTACCACTACCCAGTAAGCAGTATCCCGTCTTTCCGCCCTATGGCGCCAAAGTTTCTTTCCATGAGCCTTTGGCATCCTAGTGTAACACTTCCCTCCCGGTGGTGGAAGACCGAGTCCAAACCTTGGGACGGATCTGTACAAGACCCCTGGACCGTAGGAAACAGAAGCGGGTTCGATGCAACATGGCTCAACCCGGAGTAGTCCCTCGTCGCATGTAACAGAACTCGGACGAATACGTCCCGTTCGGTCACGATGGGAGGCTGACGAGGTGATGTCGATCCCGACCCCAGCCGTCGAGGTCCTTTGTCACTCCACGAGCAACACGACATCGCTTGGGCAGCGGACGCCATCCCGAGCTGTTCCTGGACAAGGAGAATAAGGTACCCCGCAGTCGTGCCAGCCAGGAAATCGGGTTCAGCCCCCAATATTTCCTTCATTTCCCATGGGAAGCCTTATTGCAGTTGCAGCTGCAGTCGTAGTGGTATCAGCCACCTGCACGGTGCCGCTCCTGCTGCTACATGCCCGGGGCTATCCGCACGCATTGTAAACAAGCCCGTTGTGACGTCTCGGTCCAACGTGCTCAAGGACCCCCGTGTGATGGCGGCCTGCGATATGTCACTGGTGCGCTTTCAGCACGGAGTTAATATGTCGTGCTCGTCTCCGCCGCGTCGCTGGTACTTCTGAGTCAACGTCACAAGACAAGAATAGCAACGCCGGATATGAAGGCGTGAGTTGACAGGGCAATGAACCGGGTTCGCTGAGGGGCAGAACCCTGGGATTTCCCGCAGCATCGCATGATGTGCGACCACTTACTGCTTCTTGCTGTCTGTTCTAGTGTAACGGTATGCAAGTCCATGTTCGGAAACCAAGCCAAGGGAGGCAAGTTAGGGACCCCGGGTGTGCCCAAACGAGAGAGCCTCACAGTCAGCCCTTGCTGCACAGAAACATCGGCATTGGCATTTGTCAACATGCTTCATTTTCGCCAGCCAAGTAAGCGAAAAACAAGAAGCGGCAACACCAATCCATCCTCTCGCTGTACCCTCACAACCCATATTAGCCCTAGGGGGAACTGTCTGTCGTTCACCACTTGAACAAATTCCGTTCCTGAATCCAGGAACGGCAACACGGAACTGACCCAAGCTCTCACACTCTCACCCGCCGCCGTGGGGAGAATGACAGGACGGGAACATGCCAGGGTGGGCGGAAGACCGGGAAAATAGAGATCCTCCTCCACCCGTACCAGAGTCGGGCTACCCGCCGTGCCGTGATAGAGGCATGTACGGTACACCCCAGACGTGCTGCGCCATGATCTGCCCGTTCTCCCGTCAACCCCAACTGATGTTAGCGCGCACCCAAAAGATTGGTACCGCGCGGCGCAGGAACTGGGTGGCCTTCCCCCCCCGGCGAGGGTGGTGTTCGGGAATGCGGAGAATGCGGAGAACCGAGGGTAGGGGATGGGGGAAAACAATATTTTTTGTTTCCGCTTTCCGGGTTCGCCGTCAGGCACGGGCAGCCTGTCGGTCGGCGGCTGTATGTACACTGTACACACGGGAGAGTAGTTGGATAGATCGAGGCCGACGTCTCTTGATGGCTGCTGTGCCCGCGTTCATGGGGGTTTCCTTCCCTTTCTCCACGCAACACGGCGCAACACACGACAAACGACACACAACCCATGAAAGAGGCATTGCCATGACGGCAAAGACATAAACAGCAAAACATTTACTTGTATTGCAGATTGAAATCATCCCACTTTACACGCTCGTTTGTACCCATCCCGTCATTATGCGCACCATAACTGAACGCCCCCTCACTGCTTCTCCACCTCTTTCAGGAGCCCCTCCAAGTTGATGCTCTTGGGCCTCTCGATCGGCAGCCCGAGGGCGCGATCCCACACGAGCTGAGCGAGCGGGCCGAGGCCGCGCGAGACGCCAAAGGTGGCGGTGTAATACAGGGTCTCGTGGAAGCCGTAGTGGTGGAAGAGCACGCCGGAACTGGAGTCGACGTTGGGGTAGGGGTTCTTGGTCTTGCCGTGCTTCTTGAGCACCTCGGGGGCGATCTGGCTGTTGGTGCGGACGAGCTGGAAGACGGGGTCGTTGGCGATCTCGGGGCGCGCCGCCGCGTAGTCCATCAGTGCCTCGAAGCGCGGGTCCGGCTTGCGCAGCACCGCGTGCCCGTACCCCGGCACCACGCGGCCCGAGTTGAGTGTCGTCCAGAGGTAGTCGTGCACGTCCTTCTCCGTGTACGAGGCCGGGATGGCGTCCTTCATCTGGATGATCCAGCGGAGGACTTCTTGGGCGGCGAGGCCGTGCAGCGGTCCGGCCAGGCCCTGCAGACCGGCGCTGTAACTGAGGAAAGGGTCGCTCAGGGCACTGCCCACGAGGTGGGTGGCGTGCGCCGAGACGTTGCCGCCCTCGTGGTCGCCGTGCAGGGCGAGGTACAGCCTCAGGAGATCCTGGAAGTTCTCGTTCTCGCGGCCACCCTTGCCGAGCATGGCAGCGAAGTTGTAGGACCAGTCCTGCTCGAGGTCGATTTCGGCAGGCAGGGCGCCACCGCCGCGGTAGGCGTTCTGGTAGATCTTGGCGGCGATGGTGGGCAGCTTTGCGAGCAGCGAGATGCAGTCGTCAAAGGTGGGCTCCCAGTAGTCGGCCTTGTTGAGGCCCTGTTCGTAGGCCTTGGCGAACTTGGACGTGTAGTTGAGGGCCGACACAGCCATGGCGAACTGGGTCATCGGGTGGAGGTCGCGCGGGAAGTCGTCTAGCATCTTGCTTACGAAGGCGGGAAGCTGGCCCTGCTCGGCGAGCTCGCGCGAGAACTGGCGGGTTTGGTTGACCGAGGGTACTTTGCCCGTCAGCAGAAGCCAGAACATGGCCTCGGGCAGCATCTCGGTGCCAGTCTTGCCCTTGGGCAGCTCCTTCTGGCAGTCCTTGATGGTACGGCCGTGGAAGCGGATGCCCTCGTTGGCGTCGAGCACAGAGCCCTCCCAGACCATGGCCTTGAGCCCGCGCATGCCGCCGAGGGTGTTCTCGACCTTGACCTCGCCGATAACCTTGGCGCCATGGGCCTTGACCTTCTTGAGCAGCTCGCGTTTGGCGGGGATGACCTCCTTGAGGGTCGTCTTGAGGTCTGGCTCGGCGGTGGCGTATGCCCGGCGCGTCGAAAGGCATGACGGGGATGTGGCAATCATGGGCTGCAGAAAAGCAGTCAATATTTCCATCCCAAGCGATGACCCGAACGAGTAGATACTAGAGGGAGTCGTCCTTTGTCCGACTTACACGAATGGCCCCGCTCAGGGCGAGCCGCCCCGTCCTCAATCTTAGTGCCATTGTGTGTGATTTGTCTGCTTTTCACTCCTTCCTGAATCACACTTCACGATTGCTTCTGAATTGCGAAAGAAAGCTGGCTTAGAAGGTTGAAGGTTATTTTCTCGGTTTTGTGTCTCAGCCGACGGATAACTTTGGGACTGGCAGGTATGACCGCTCGTGCGGGGGGGAACCGAGGATCCCTGTCGTTGTCTTCGATGTTGTCGTCGACACTGTTGTCGGCGATGATGACACAGTCAAAATATCAGAGCGTATCCTCTGTTCAATAACAAACTCCAATGTCGGGTTTCGGGAGCAACGGAGGTAAATTAGCACAATCTTGTTGGGATTTATTGTCTCAGCAAGTTGGGCGCTCTTGCATGTGTTCGTCACGTTCCCCAGCTCAGCCGAGGAAAGCCGTCAACACCCCGCATGGGGTTGCCGCCCCGGGCAAACGGTTCTGGGGGCACAGCCATTGACCAATGGGTTTGTGGCACTCTTCCTCGGTCACCTCAGAACTGCCCAGCAACCTTTCGTGCCTTCCCCCCTGCTCCCTTCTCCCATCGCTCGCGAGGTGGCCTAAGCCTCTTCTGAAGTTTCTGGAGATACTACCGTTGCGAGAAAGAAGAGGGGTTACGCTGCACTTTGTACTGCCTTAGCGACCGGACCTTTCACTCATGGATGAGGCAAGCTGGATCTACCGTTATCGGACGAAGTTGATCAGATGCAGAGCTCACCTAGCCTAGCCCAGCATAATCGGATGAGTACGAAGCACGGAAGAGCTCTGGTTGCTCGGGGCAGGGGTGGCACTGAAAAAGGTGGGCAGTGACCTCCCGCTAGAGGTGCGAACTGCATATAACTACCGGGTCCGTTCATCAACAACCCGGAAATCCGATTCCCTCCCTTCCGAGTCGGGTCGCTGCCCGTCACATGGAGGGGCTCGGGCTGAGCTAATAGGCCATTCCTCTCTGTCCAATTCCAGTCAGACTTCGTTGGGGAGGAAGGCGCATAACTGGTTACCGGGTTGTTGCCTTGAGATCTGTCGGGGGCTGCCGATGACGCACGTGTTCTTGATTGGTCAGTCTCGAGCAGCTGCTGTGCCCCTCTGAGCCCCTCCAGGGGCGTCCATCGCGGGATCTTGCTTCAAACCTGCCCTGCCTCTCTTTACGTTTCTGCCTCTGACGACATCAAATGGTATTCGATTAATATCCCGGATGTCACATTGCCGTGCTTGCTCTACGCTTCGATTCTAACTTGACAAAACTTAGCCGCTTTCTTCGCAAGCTGCTCGTCCCGAAGCCCGCGCGGTCCTACTTTCGGTCTCCCTCGACAATCACACTCGCCCGATCCCCTCACTGCGCGACTATCCGCCTGCATATTAGCCACGAGCCTTCTGTCCGTCTTTGATTTTCCGTCGCATTTAGGTCGCGATATAACAGCTCCCTTTCAACAATGGAGATCACGGCTAAAGACCTGCCGGCGTTGCTGGTCGATGACACCTCGGTCAAGCTCGCCGGTATCGACGTCGACGGCATGCTTCGTGGCAAGCTTGTCTCCAAGAAGAAGTTCATGTCTATAGCTGAGAGCGGTTTCGGCTTTTGCTCCGTCATCTTTGGCTGGGACATGCACGACAGAACATACATGCAGGAGCTGAAGGTCAGCAACAAGGAGAACGGATACAGGGACATCATCGCTATACCAGACCTCAGCAGCTTCCGGCGCATCCCCTGGGAGGACAACGTCCCGTTCTTCCTAGTCAGCTTCTTTGACCCCGATACCAGGGAGCCGGTTCCAGCATGCCCACGTGGTTTGCTGAAGACGCAGCTGGACAAATTTGCAACAAAGGGCTACGGGGCCATGGCGGGAGGTGAGTGATGGGATCACTCTACCACCCAGCAACGAGGCCAAGTAGCTGACGAATCCACGCAACAGCCGAGTACGAGTTCTACCAGTTTAAGACACCACCGTCCAACGGCGCCCAGTCGACCGCCGCGTACCTCGAACGGAACCCTCCCCACTCCCTCCCGTCCCTGACCGAGGGCATGTTCGGCTACAGCCTGACCCGGCCGGTTCAGAACCAAGACTATTACTACGATATTTTCAACACCTGCCAGACGTTCAAATGCGATATCGAGGGGTGGCACACCGAGAGCGGGCCTGGCGTCTACGAGGCTGCTCTCGAATTTGGCGAGCTGAGGCAGATGGCAGACCGCGCCACCCTGTTCAAGTACGTCGTCAAGTCTGTGGCAATCAAGCACGGCATCACACCATGCTTCATGGCGAAGCCTAAACAAGGGCTCCCGGGGAACAGCGGGCACATGCACGTCTCGCTGGTCGACGGGGACGGAAACAACCTCTTCTACCGCGGCGAAACTGACCCGAACCCGCCATACCCCGACGTGGCCGACCTATCCGATTTGGGCCGCCATTTTCTGGCCGGCATCCTCGACGGATTGCCCGACGTTATGCCGATGGTGGCGCCCACCATCAACAGCTACAAGCGCTTGGTTGAGAATTTCTGGGCACCAGTTACCGTCTCGTGGGGCCTGGAGCACCGCGCCGCCTCGATACGTCTGATTGCGCCTCCCACCGCGAAGCCGGGGGCCACCCGGTTCGAGGTCCGCGTCCCGGGCGCGGATGCGAACCCATACTACGTAATGGCGGCCATTCTGGCGCTGGGCTGGCGTGGCGTCGAGAAAAAGCTGGCCTTCCCCTGCCCTCCGCTTGGGAAAGGGGAGGATGTGGGAGGCAGTTCTGATACGGGTGCCCGCCTGGCCAAGACGCTGCGCGAGGCAAATGACAGGTTCACGCGCGAGGGTAGCATTGCGAGGGAGGTGTTTGGCGACGAGTTTGTGGAACACTTTGGCGGGACGAGGGCCCACGAGATACGGCTATGGGATGAGGCTGTGACGGATTGGTGAGTCCCGGTCATGCCGGCCTACTGTGTTCCCTTTCCCACCGCCCGTTTCAGCGAATCACCTAATGCGTTCCTGATATGCTAACTTCGTATAGGGAAATGAAGAGGTACATTGAAACTGTTTGAGCTTAGGCGTTGATGATTGGGTGTGTTTGAGGCGGTTAGCATTTCGATTCACGTCGGCTTTTGTGATACCCCTTACGAGACAATGACGAGGACTCTTCTACGACAAGTTCTTTCCCTTTTCGTCTCAATATGGGGTAAAATTCCCGGCCTCCCTCGTCGCTCCTGGCACTCCGCAGTAGAGGAGCAAGCGCCCCCGGTCTCGCATCAGCAAGCAGATGCTGTCAACTCTAACTCACCTTGCTACAATCTCGAGTGTGATACACGTGGCCGGGGAATACTCGCTGGATCTTGCCGCCGAGGAGAGTTGACGAAAAGGGGAACCCGGCGTCTCATCGATCGGGGACGTCGCCGATGTCGAGGGGTAAGCAGCATGTTATGAAGCTGACGACCAGTTGTTTCACTCGGTCGTCCCCGTCTCGTCTATCGCAGTGCAGGCGGATGTGACTTCCGGTCGTAGTCTTTGTTGTCCCAGGCCCCGGCGCCATGCATATTTCAATAGCGATCGTCTGACAGCTGGCTGTGCGCCATCTGCGCTTGAGCCGCAATGGGGCGCTCAGCGATCTGTCGTCGACTAACGTGCTCCAAGCAGTGGACGGGGGTTGGTTTCCCGCCGGTGTGGGTTCGCGGAGCGATACATTAAGAGGCGTCGCTAAGAGCAGGTGACAGGGGTCACCGGGGAGTCAGTCTGGCACTAGTTTGATGGGGCTAAATACTGCGCAATGGCGAGATGCAGAGGCAGCTGTGACCTTTCCCCATCTGGATTTCGGGAGGCTACCGCGGCTGCCGGGGCCGCCGCTGGTAGGTGACTTCCAGAGGGCGACAGCCCGCCACGTCAGATTCACCGCAGGTTCCCTATGCAGCCGGGGGGGAGAATGGCAGGCGTCCGAGACCAGACTGGCAATCCCATGGTCTGTGGCGGCGCCCGCCTGCGCGAACAAGCTGTTTGTTTCGGGAGTTGACTGCAGGTCGAGGAGGGCAGCAGCAGCAGCAGCAGGCAAGCATGTCGAGGCACAGATCTCACCTCAGATGGTCACCGCAGCGGAGATAGGAACGTCTTGCCCGGGTTGCATGCCACGCCCTTTCTTGAAATCGGCTAGCCGAGCTTGGTCGAGCTTGGTCGAGCATCTACCGAGTGACCAAGACGGCTGAAGCAGGTCGAGAAGATCAGCATGCACAAATCTCGTCGGACTGGATGGGTACTAAACCCGGGGAAAACATACAGGAGTTATGAACCGAACTCGGGAAGCCGGTCGTACATGTCGAGACAGGTGTGTAGCAGCCAGTCTTGGGACGCACCCATTTCGGGGACGGCGTCGCCGAGACAGCCCACCGCGCAGAGACGGGCCATCCCTGCGGTATCACGTTCATACACTTCGTTGGTGGCTTCCCAGCCGTAGACATGATTTTCATATCAAGCCGAATGTCCCATCAACAATGTCGGGTTGAGAAGCTCATCCCACCGCCAAGCTTCCCGTTCGTTCCCTCACCGCCAAACCTGCTCCCACCATCAAGACGCATCAAGCATTCCTTCTCGACACCAACCAGAACCATGGTCAGTCCCCCCCCCCCCTCCCCGCCGCCCCTCCCACACCTCCTGCAACCCCCCCTTTTTCAAACATCCCCCCCTCCCCTCCAAGAATCAAACAAGACCACCACCACCACCCCCACCCCTACCACCACACACTAACCCCCCACGCCAAACCAGGCCGCCGGCGGCATCTCCCTAGCCGACCCGCTCCCGACCATCCTCGCGCACGCGCTACACAGCCTAGCAGCGATCAAGCAGGCGCGCGACCTGAACGAGTCGCCGCCCGCAGCCGCACCACTAACCGCCATCGTGGGCGAGGCCGACGCCCTCGTCGCCGCCCTGCACCTCGTGCGCGACGTGCCCGAGCTGCAGACGCCCGACGTGAAAGCTGCTGTTTTGGGGTTGACGCATCTGGCCACCTCGCAGTCGTCGAGTCTGATGGTCATGGCGGCCGATAGCCTGCGCGTGCGCCCGCCGCCTGGGGTTGGCGGGGGTGCGGCCAGGCAGGCGGCGGTGCAGGCGGAGGTGGCGGCTTGTTTGGAGGCGGTGCTGGCGCGGCTGGCGGCGGCGAGGAGGGAGTTTGCGGTGCTGGTGGGGAGGGTGTATGTGGGTGTTACGGGGGATGTGAAGGAGGGGTTTTGGGTGTCGAGGAAGGAGGTGGTGGGCGTTGGGGAGAAGGTCAGGGGCGTGTTGGGCGTGGAGATGGTGTTGGCCGAGAGGCTGGGGGCGAGGTTGGGGGAGGGCAGTGGTGAGTTTCGTTTTGGGTTTCTTCTCGCTCGGTCTTGATTCTCTGGTCAGATGATATGTGGAAGGTCTTGTGCTAATGATGAGGGTGTATAGAGGATCTGATCAAGCTGAACGATACTGATGCTGCGCTGCTGGGGCTGCCGCCGACGACGAGCGTCAGGGTTGAGCAGTGGCGGGCGGGCGTGAGCGAGTGATGCGCGACAGCGGCGACACGAAAAGTAAGGTGGTTGTACGTCTCACGGGGTTTCATCCTCTGGGGTTTGATGGGTCATGGAGGGCGGCAGATTGATTTCGAGTTCTGGCATTGCGCGACGGCATCGGGAGGCTCTCTGATTTCAGTCGGGTTAGAGTGGCACGGTAATCAAAGGGGCGGCTCGCTTGTGTGTTTTCTGTCTTGCGTTTGCGATTGCTTGTCTTCTTTTGGGTTTGGCCTGCGGTGCGTAGCCAGCAACAGGTTGGTTATCGACACGGTGGTGGTTGTTCTCGAGCCTATTTGTTTCTCAAACTAATTTGTATGAAACCTGGTTTCGGCCACTCGGCCGGGACTAGATATCAAGTCGTTTGTTACACGAGTCGTTGTCCAAAGTCACACAACACGCGTCTCGTAATGATACCCGAAACCTGGAGTGCAAGCCTCCCGCGATGGAAGTGTTGTGGCATGCGTTGGCGAATTTCATCAAATTAATGATGGTGCAACCAGACTTGTTTGCAATGTTTGGCGACTGAAATTGATTCTCATGAAGGATCCTGCTCGTCAAAAGTCTTTTTGAAACTAAGTAGTGTTGCGTCTGCTCCTGTGTAGTTCATTGTTGGATGTTTTAACAGACAATGCCAAACCTCAACCGACTTCAATGGCAACTCCGAGTGACATTGATTTTAATTGGCCTGAGAATAGGCTCAGTCTCGAATCCTATCCGAGGCTCGACCAACAGTGGGAGGAATAACCAAAGCCCCAAGCTGGGCGGATCCACGGCCCCCATCATACCCCATCAGCGCTGCAGATCGAACTGCCGTCCCCTGTTCGGACGTCGAAGCGGGGTGGAGCCAGGGGAGCGTTGCAGAGGAGCAATTCCCGAACGAGTGAGCCGGGGCTCGGGCAATGGCAACCGACCGGTTGAAGCAATGTGAGCGCTACCCGATAATCTTTGTTAAATCGAACGGGACATCCTGGCGATTGATTGTCAGGGTGTTAGGAACAGATACGTCAACCCGCTGTTTGCGCATCATTGTTGAGAGTCGATTTGCTGGTTGCGCAGTGCAGAAAGCTCAGGTTACAGGTGCAATGGCACCCACAACAGCGGCAGTGGCCTATGCTGGGTCGCCGGCAGGCAACATGCCCGTCAAGAACTCGTTCGCATTCACCTTCAGCCAACCTTTCCGGACAGCCAGCGACTTTGTGCCCCGCGACCACGCCCTGCCACGCATCGAAGCAGAGAGGCCGATTTTTGTGGACAACAAGTCGGGTACGTGCAAATTACACTGGACACAAGTAACGTTTATGTATGGATGTGCCGATCAATTGGAGTTGATTGGATCTTTTGTGTCTTTTGTCACGGTTCGACAGCATGGAACTGAAACTGAGACTTGAACTGCCACTAACAAGACGGCCGTAACAGATCGCGCACTCACTTTTGGCCAAATCTCCAAAGATGCCCTCGCCGTTGCTGCCGGGCTGCTGCGCCTGGGCCTCGACCCGAACGACATCGTTAAGCTACCACCGACAGCGTCCTGCCCCGCCGGCCCCGAGATCGCCCCCGTCGTGCTGATCCAGCTGCCCAACTGCCTCCCCTTTGCCCCGATCTTCTTCGGTACTCTGGCATCAGGCTTGACGGCTACACTCGTCTCACCGGCACTGACCAGCGACGAGATCGCGTGGATCCTCCAGAATGCCCGGCCTCGCGCCATCATCACCGCCACCGCCTGCCTCACGGCGATGAAAGACGCCCTCTCCAAGCAGACCGACGCCTCGTTCTTCTCTACCATCCCCATCTTCACCGTCGACGCCGCAGCCAATGTATACCCCTCGGCGCAACCCACCCCACCTCCCTCCTCCGACTGGCGCGCACTCCTCTCTCCAAACACACCCCCGACAAAGCCGCCAGTAAACACCGCCAACGTTTTCCCGCCCTCCCACGCCCCCGCCCGTACCGCCGTCATCCTCTGGTCCTCGGGTACATCAGGCCGCTCCAAGGGCGTCCTCCTCTCGCACCACGCGCTCAACTTCTCCATCGCCTCCCTCTGGCACGATGCCGACTACTACGGCGCCAAGCCCCAGCGCCAGGTCTGGCTGGGCTACGTACCCTTCTACCACGTCTTCGGGCTGTGCAACGTCCTGCTGCTGGCCGTCGCCACGGGGAGCACCGTGTACACCATGCAGAGCTTCAACCTCGAGGTCGTCGTCAAGGCGATCCGGGACCGCGGCGTGACCTACATGCACATGGCGCCGCCCGTGGCCGTGATGCTGGCCAAGGCCGCCGTCGTGGAGCCATACGCGCAGAGCGGGGGGTTCAAGACCGTCGTGGCGGCCGTCACGGGCGGCGCGCCGCTCGGCCACGAGGTCGTCGAGGAGGTGTACAAACGGTGCGGGTTCCGCGTGCGGCTGGGTTACGGCCTGAGCGAGACGTGCAGCACCGCGCTGCAGCGGGGCTGTGGGGAGCGCGAGATGCGCGAGCACGCGGGGGATACGGGCCGGCCGCATTGGGGCGTCGAGGTCATGATCGCGAGCGGGGAGGGGTATGCGAAACGGGCTGGGGAGAAGACCCCTGCCGCGGCGGTGGATGTGGAAGGGGAGGTGCTGATCAGGGCCGCCGGGTTGTTGTCGGCGTACTTGCCGGTCGGAGTGTTCTCGGGGAATGCGCCAGACATGTCGGTCACTGAGGATGCGCTGACGGCTGACGGGTGGTTCCGGACGGGCGATGTGGGTGCGCTGAACGCCGATGGCAGGTTGCGCATCACCGATCGGTTGAAGGAGTTGATCAAGGTGCGCGCGTACCAGGTTGCGCCCGCCGAGCTGGAGGCTGTGCTGTGCAGCAGTGAAGCGGTCGCCGACGCGGGCGTCATCGGCATCTACGACAAGAGCGAGGCAACCGAGTGGCCGCGCGCCTTTGTGGTGCCCCGGGCGGGCAGGAAGGATATGTCAAGGGCGGACCTGGACCAGCTGGCCATCCAGCTTAAGGCACTGGTCGAGAAGCGTACGGCGAAGTACAAGTGGCTGATTGGGGGTATTGTGTTTGTTGACCAAATCCCCAAGAGCCCGAGCGGCAAGATCTTGAGGAGGGTGCTGAAGAACGGGGGCAAGGAAACCGAGGGCGTTGAGGTGCAGCTGTATGTGAAGAAGAAGCGCGACTCCAAGTTGTGAGGCGGTCGGTTGAAGCATATAGAATCGGAATGTACGTTTAGAATTACCAGTTATTTGTCTCCTGTTGCTTACAATGGCAAAGTCCAGTTCAAACGAAGCATCCGCCGCCCGCCTTCTTGCCCAACGCATATACTCCTACACGCCTGCGCCCAGCATTACAAATGCATGAACACATCTTCCGCAAACGACCACGCACACAAAGACCGAGACAAGCACGCAGACACAGACACGCACGCCCCCTCCGTCACCCACAAACACCGATACGCCTAAACTTCGCCTCCACCATATCCACCATGTCTCTGGTTGATACCGCGGCCACAGGAGACAAGCCATCAGCAAGCTCACCGTGAACAACATCTCCCCATAACCCTCCTTCCCCACCCCCTTCGCCCTCTCGGTACCCTGCATCCCACGGCCTGCCCCCGCTCCACACCATGGCAACCACAACTCCCACAGCCGCTGATCGAGCACCGCCCTCATCATCCGCCGACGCTCTTCCACCTCGCAGGCCGACCCGTCCCCCTAACCTGGTATCCACCAACAGCATCAACTCTCCGCTGGCCCCCCCGACCACCAGCGACTAGTACCGAGCGGCGCGTCAAAGCCACGGACGCCGCGTACAAGCACTCCCGGTCGAGGAGCGCCTTGGGGCGGCGGGTGGCCGGACCGATAAGGAGGAGGTTGTTGGTGAGGAGGCCCGGCAAGACGCGCTCGATTTGAGTCTGGATGTCCACAACCCCTTCCTAGAGAAATATATATCAGCGTACCTATCTATAGGTGCATCCTGTTCCTCTTCAGCTACTCTGCTCTTTTCTTTACGTTCGTTTACCAAGATCTCCTCGAGCCAGCACGATCTTTATTAAGAACAAACGAAAGTCCTATCCCCCATCCTCGCTGACCCTGCGCTTTTTGGGAACCTCGCTTCCGCCTTCTTTGTCGCCCCCGTCGTCCTTGGTCTTCATACCCACCTGCAAATTAATACCGGGCTAGGAATAAACTGCCGGCAGCTGGAGGGTCACTTGATGTTGAGCCCAATTCCCCCATTCTCGTGTGGACATCTCGGGTTGACGTTGGCTATCAAGCACACCGTAGATGCCGATACCGCAAGGTCTTTGCAAGACGCCCTTATGAAACCAGAAGAGTCGGCACATGTCTAAGTAATCATAAACGAGTTGGCTCGCTACACACAGATCGTACAATCGGCGCAAGAACATGCGGTTATGGCGGTAGAGCATGGCAGTCTGCTCCTCTAGTATCAGCCGACTTGGTGCCTTATGGGACCCTTGGAACATTTTCAGCTGCGATCTTGCCTGCAGCAGCAGTCAATTTACGTACCCGAATGACTCGTTTAGGTCAACATCACAACCTTTGCGATTGCCCGGCATGAGACACATCACGACGACATTCCAACAACCTAGCAATGCAACTAAGAAGTGGAAGCGGTTGATGGAATGGAACCGGAGCATTCGTCTCGATACTAACGCCTCCTTGAAACTTGAAGCGCTGGGAAGACGGCCTGCTGACTTAAGAGCTCTGGTCAAAAACAAAGGAATCACAGCAGTCTTGTCTCACAGCCGAACTGGTTAGGTATGTACATACCAAGTCCGAACCGAAGAGGCAAGATGAACCATTAGAGTCCACACCGAAATCACATTGTGCCTCACTTACCACCACCCGCGTCTGAGCACCTTTCGTGAAAACTCGCTAAGCAAGCTCAAAATCACTTTTCGCCCCAATAACACACCATGACGGTTGAGGAGAGCAGACCGACTGTCCAGGAGGTCAATGGGGGCGAGACCCTTCGCGAGATTATCCGCACGAAACGCCCGAATGGAAACTTGAAGGTCCTCCAGGGCACATGCAGTCAGAGACCATACCTCAAGAAGTACGAGGACCTGAAAGACAAGTCGGCCGGGTTCGAAGCCGAGGATGTGGTCGAGATGGCGAAGACTGGTCTCATAAGCGGCTACACCCACCAATCCCCCATCCTCAATATTGACAAGTCAATGGCATACCTCATGGCCATGGTGAATGCCAAGGGCACGATCCTGGAAACCCGAACTTTCAAAGACGAGAAGAAGCCGCATTTGGGTTTTGGGGGGGCAGCTGCTAAAGTATCATCGCGGAGATGCCATCGTGAACGCAACAGGTCTCGGTGCCGGAGAGTTGATGAAGGACCCCGACGTGTATCCTGTTTGCAGGGCAGTCCTAGTGGTCGACGACGCCCGCAAAGGTCAGTTTCGGCACCTCAACGACTCCTACCTGGTCCCCACTCAGGGAGATGCCAACGGCTTCCAAACCCAGACCATCCTGATCCTGCCTCGTAGCGACGATATTCCCTACATCGGCTCCGTTATCCAGCCCAACAACTACGACAAGAACTTGACCCCAGAGTCGCCTGAGGTTGAGCCCATGCGGGACCGCTCTGGCGACTTTATTCCACGCCTGCGCCATGCCGGCCTGGTGCCCGAATACCCCCCTCGCAGAGGGTCTCCGTCCCTCCACCAAGAAGAACGCCAAGGTTAGGGTCGACGAGAGAGCCAAGTTCCGCCTGGTGCACAACTTCGGTCACGGAGGATCCGGTTGGACGCCCGCTTTGCCGTTCTCCTGGTCGAGAAAATACTGGAGCAAGAATGTGGAGGAATTCAAAAACGTTGCCATACGAGCCAATGAGAGGTTATACGGCAAGCAGGAGTCGACAGCCACCATGAATGGAGTTGGGAAGCACGTTTGGGTCTGGGGTGGTTGACTGGGTAGGTGGAAAGGGGTACGCGAGAGTTGCAAACCGCATAAACTTTGGGTGTCAGGCCCGGAGTTTGGCTTTTTTTCTGCGTCATCTTCGATTCAATTCTTGTTCTTGTTCTTGTTCATCCTAACAGTGACTAAAATGAAATAATAACCACTTCGCTCTTCGGGCTCCAGAGCCTACCCACCATTGTTAGAGGCTTAGGGTGTTACTTACAGCAGGAGCAAAGGGAGACGTTGAGAAACGCAATGCAGTTTGTCGGGGGAGTCAAACTTTCCAGTCGGTGAAGGGGGTGGGTTTTCCAACTCCCTTTTTCGAAGCTGCAGGTGACCATGCAGCTTTCGGAGAGCAAAGGCTATTTATGGGTGTCGAAGTGAAAAATGTTTGCCGAAGTGAAGAATGTTTGTGGTGATGGTGGTTTTTCCACATGTTGTTCTCTCTTCTCTTTTCCCTTTCTCTTTCCCATTCCTTTGAATCCTTTCTCTCCCCGGTTCCATCTCCTCCACTTCCCGCAACCTCCCGCGAGCCATTGATAACTACTTCACGTCCGTTTCTACCTCCATCTCTCATGTCAAAAGCTGTAAGAGCCGCCACTCTGTTGTCTCAGATACCCGCAACCCGCGCATCTCGCCTATATTAGCTCGAAATATTGCCCAGTGATGTTGATGCGGTCCCGGCTGTGTGGAAGCGAAGAGGAAGCGAAGAGGAAGCGAGCGGAAAAGGTCCAATCGGAGGAATGGGGCTGCCACGAGGACCAGGGTGGGGGCTTGTTCGCGCCTGGCCAGGGGGGCGCGCTGGGGGTTGCCGGGCTCCGCCGGAGCCGCTCCGGGGCCAGCTCGCTTCGTGAACAAGCCTCGGTTAGCTCTGGGCCCGGACGATAAATGAGGGGAAAGAAAGAGAGCATGCTCGTTCATCCTTGCGTTCATAATCTGAACGCTTACCTTGTATATCTCACAAGGTAACCAACGTGCCGCTTCTGCATCAATAGCCGGCCCAGGATGGAGCGACGCCCGACAATGTTCGGAACCGCCGGTTCCAGGCCGTAAATGCCTGCAGAGCCGGATTTCGGGGTGGAGAAGGGGGTTTCCAAATGCCCTCTTTGAGGCCTTTCCATCTGCAAGCAAATTGCACTCATGGAACCATTTCCGGTCCTGCCCGCGTGTTGCTTGCCTCAGCCCCGCTGGATCCGCGCTACGAATCCGCTGTTCCAGGTTTGGAGATTGCTGTATATCACTTGCTACCTCATTCAAGGTCAGACACATGTAGGGATGAGGGGGACGGGAAGAAGCGACCCGCCCGTCCCATGGACACTGTCCCTTCGTTTGAGTTGCCAGCTTGCAGCCTATAGCAAAGGCAGAGGGGGCATCGGCGAAACGGGGAAAAGAAAGGCAATGCATGTCTGGCGGCCCGGCATCGGGTTGCACAAACAAACCGCTCGATGCTGTAAGAACTTCCATGCTTTCCGTCCCGCCTGCCACGCTAACCCCCACGAAACCCGGCTCCCCGTCGGATTTGGGAACTTTCCCCGCTTCGGTGGCATCCCCGAATCCACAACGGAACTCTCTTGCAGGGACTTCAGCCCGCCGGCAGGGGTAACGACCCACGATTTGTGCAAGGAGAACGAGGCCGCGCGAGGACGAGAGCCCCAACGGCATGGAGCCGAGCATGGAAGCCCCTGCGCCGCAGTAATCGAGCGATGCGCGTCCGCCAAATAGGAAGCGCGAGGGAGATGATGGGGTACACAGGATGGTGTATATAAACCCGAGTGACACACCGCGGTCACCGCTGAGTGGAAGCTGTCGTGGAAAGAAGGGGAGCCGCGGGATCACTCCGTTGTCGTAGAACCTGCCAGCCATTAGTAAAGAATTTATGAACGTCGTTACAACAACTTGAGACACAACAACCACTTACCAACCACAAACCAAACCACCAACACCATGCGCCACGACCTCGCCCTCCTGGGGCTCGCCCTTCCCGGCGCCTCTGCCCGCGCCGTAGCCGGCTGCTCGGCCGTATGCAGCGAAGTCTCCTTCGACGTCCCCGTCACCAGCGAAAACGTCCAATTCTCGTCCCCGCCGGACCCGACCAACACCACGGCCATCATGGACTTCATGCGCTCCGTCTGGCGCGGCACCCCGGCGGCCACCAACGGCACCCTCACCGTATCCGACACCTTCACCATCAAGGGCACCTACTGCACGCCCAAGGACACCACCACCGAACCCAAAGCCCTCCAGGTCCTCGTCCACGGCATCACCTACAACAAGACCATGTGGGCGGGCATGGGCTTCTCGCCCGCCGACTACAGCTGGCACACGGCAGCGACCTCCCGCGGCTACGCGACCCTCGCGCTCGACCGGCTCGGCCACGGCGCCAACCCACAACGCCCAGACCCGCTCTCCGTCGTCCAACCCCAAGTCCAAATCGACATCATGCACGAGATCTTCGCGGGCGCGCGCGACGCCGCCTCGCCGCTCAACAGCGTCCTGGGCCGGGCGTACGACAAGGTGGCATTCGTGGGCCACTCGTACGGGGCGTTCCTGGGCGCGGCGCTGGGCGCGCAGTACCCTGCTGATGCTGACGCGCTGGTGCTGGCCGGCTACAGCAGCTACTTTGACTTCTCGGATATGATTGAGGCGTCGTGGGCGAGCGCGGCGGACCACGACCCGGCGCGGTTCGGGGCGGATTTGGCGAAGGGGTATGTTGTCATGACAGACGAGACGCAAAGGACGGAGACGTTCTATGTGGGCGGGTATGATGCGGCGATTCCGCCGGTGGACTTTGCGTATGAGGATACGCTGACGGTGGGGGAGATTGGGGCGTTGGCGGCGATCCTGGGGCCGGCGGTTGGGTACACGGGCCCGGTGCTGGCTGTGACGTCGGTGGAGGATGCCTTCTTCTGCGAGACGCCCAAGGAGAAGTGCGAGGAGCACTTGATTGCGACGGCGGATGCGTTCCCGGATGCGGAGAGCTATGACTACTTTGCGCCTGAGAACACGGGGCACGACTTGACGCTGCATTACACGGCGGGGGAGACTTTTGAGAAGGTGCATGAGTGGTTGGATTCGAAGTTGTGATGAGTGGGTTGGGGAAGGGACAGATAAGAAACAGAAATGCATAAAAGTGCGAGCAGCGCAGCCTTCATCTTCATCAAGTTATGCGATTCCCGGGCCAAACTAAGCTGAAGATAACTGAAAGTGACTGTCAAAAACTCTTAAGACTCAGTATCCGGTCGGTCCAGTGGATTCAAAGCCAGGAGCGCCTTGTGTTTTGACTCCTCTAATTGCTTGACTTGGAAGGTACCTCCTACCTACCTACCCGACTTGGCTGAGGGGAACTGGGAAGAGCAAAGGGCCATAATGGAGTCGGAAGTCAAACTCGGACCAACACTCCAAGCATACCAATTCTTTTTGTTTGTGAGGTGGCTCTTGTTCAACCAAGCCACCTACGCAACTCTCGCCCGCGATAACCTCGCGTCTTTCATCTGAATTTCTTCTCCAGTCACTTGGATCGAAGGAAGGCTAGTCGGTGAGCTTTTTGAATTTCCCTCGAGTCTCACAACTCTCACACGGCAACCAACTCTTGTCATCAACACTCGTTAATATGTTGCCACTTATTTTCGACAAATGAGCCACTCATGTTTTGTTTCCATCGACACTCATGCACGCCGTCGATTTAGGCGCGCTTCTTTCGTCAATTATCTGAAAATGCAGCAGCCAAAAAATACCCGATTGGCAGACTTGTTGGTGCCCCACGCTGAGTCGAATCGAGTCCAACGAAGCTTGTACAACTGGCTTCGAGGATTCAATCTTCTTGGGCGCTTCGGCGTCTCCCCGCCAATCACATCAACCGGCATCACGCTTCTCGGTCTGTCGCATGCGGCCGTTGGGATTCGGGAACTGAGGCTGAGAAACAACGCTTGGGCTTTGCGTGTTGGTGTCGTCCGAGTCGTGTTGGCCCTCTTCGCCGACCAACAGCTGACCGCTATTAATAGCTTTTCCACCACGACTGCCGAGTCCCGATATACGAATCGAATTTGACAGTTTCCCTGCCACCGCCCCCAACTCGAGCCTTGGACAACACTGCGACCAGCACTGCGACCAGCAGTGCGAGTCTGCGATTGACGCAACAAGGCCACCCCTCCCCGCATCGGAGATCGGGTTTAGGTACCCTCCTGGGCTTGGGGCTACGAACGACTCCCGAGGGCTGATGTAGTGTCGTCAACCAATAGAGCTCGACCGCAGGGTCATAACCATAAGGCTGGGAAGGGAGGCGTGCACAGCCCGAGAGGCAAGACACCGGGACTGGTTTACGTAAGAAACGTGTCTCTTTCCATTGGGTAGAGTGAATATGCCAGCTCGTTCCCCAGATTCAGGATTGCATATGCATATGCTGGTGGTTGCAGACAACAGACCGTGGCTGATATCTTCGGACCAACAAGGTGAGACACAGCCAATACCAGGAGACAGGCAGGTCAACAGAGCAAGTAATAGTTCGAACAGCTCAGGCATTCTCTGCACTGCCTCACCGCCATCATGTTGGATCACTCGGGCATCACTCCTACCTTCTCTTACCTCCGATAGCAACAGCATGGCCTCGGTGATGGGGGTGGCAGCGCCCTGCATGCAATCTATTCTTCCATGAGAAGCTAGAGTCATCCCGATATTTGATCACACCTCATGATGGCAATGCCGTAATGCCGGTACAGCTCTGGCCCCCCCAGAGGAACCCAAATCGAAGCCAATCGGAGAATATTGTTTACTCTTCGCCCAACTACCACGTGCATGATGGCCATGAGCCACCACTAGTCCGGCAAAGACACCAGTGCACCGGTGTCTACCCACTGTGCCGATGCCATGCGGCTGCACTACGCCCCGCCCCGGCCGTTGTCTAGCTAGACGGGCTGAACTTCCGAGTGCCCGGATTGGCCTCGGGGACCGACTGTCGAATCCTACTGCTAGTGGCAGCATCACGATGTACAGCAAACAACTCAAGCTCCGAACCGAAGCCATTCATGACAAGCCACATCAGCCGTCGAGCTGAACATTGAACTCCGAAGCTCGAGTTATTCTTGGATGGGGACGGGAACGCATGGCAGCCTTCGTGTCGGTGTGTCGCGAACCATCCGAGAGCAAGACTCCGGTGATCGAATATGTCTATAAATCTTTGAGTCCGGACGTGAGTTCCAGGAGTTTGTTTCACCATCCTCATCGCATCATCACCAATCTCTACTCCTTCTGGCATCAGCCTTTCTCACCTCATCTCATCTTACATCGGGGTAGAACACTTCTGAGCACACATCATGCTCTACAGCACCCTTTTCCTCGCCCTCCTCGTCGGAGGAGCGGTGGCTTCTCCTACATCTCCCACCGACTGCCCTAATGGCGTCTGCGGAGGCGTCTGCGGCGATGGGTAAGTGAAGCAGGCATCCACTCCAACATCTTCGGCCAGTATCACTAACACAGCACAGCATCGTCCAAGCCCCCCATGAGCAGTGCGATCTCGGCGCCAAGCTCAACGGCGCCGCCAACAGCGGGTGCAGCACCGACTGCAAGATCGTCGCCGTCTGCGGCAACGGCAAGGTCGACGAGGGCGAGGAGTGCGATGCCGGCCACGACAACGGCAAGCCCAACTCGGGCTGCTCCGCCGACTGCAAGTGCCTCCCCGTGTGCGGCAACGGCAAGGTCGAGGCCCCCGAGGAGTGTGACGCCGGCCACGACAACGGCAAGCCCGGCTCCGCGTGCTCCGCCGAGTGTAAGAAGGTGTCTGTCTGTGGCAACGGCCACGTGGAAGCGGGCGAGGAGTGTGATCTCGGTAAGGAAAACGGCAAGCCTAACTCCGGCTGCACCGCCGAGTGCAAGAAGGCACCCGTCTGTGGCAACGGCCAGGTTGAGCACGGCGAAGAATGCGATGCCGGCCACGACAACGGCAAGCCCGGCTCTGGATGCACCAAGGACTGCAAGAAGTGCGCGGTTTGTGGCAACGGCAAGGTCGAGGCTCCCGAAGAGTGCGATTTGGGCCACGACAACGGCAAGTGGAACTCGGGCTGCTCTGCTGAGTGCAAGAAGACGCCTGTCTGCGGCAACGGCCACGCCGAGCACGGAGAGGAGTGCGACGAGGGCGATAACAACGGCAAGCCGGGCTCCACCTGCTCCAAGGAATGCAAGAAGGTTGCTGAGTGCGGCAATGGCAAGGTTGAGCCTGGTGAGGAGTGCGACCTGGGCCATGACAATGGCCAGCCGAACACTGGATGCACCAAGGACTGCAAGAAGTGCGCGGTTTGCGGCAACGGACAGGTCGAAGCTGGCGAGGAGTGTGACCTAGGCCATGAGAACGGCAAGCACAACTCTGGGTGCTCCAAGGAGTGCAAGACCGTCGCAGTCTGCGGAAACGGAAAGGTTGAGCATGGCGAGGAGTGCGATGCGGGCGAGAACAACGGCAAGCCCGATTCCGGCTGCTCCAAGGAGTGCAAGAAGGCTCCCATCTGCGTCTGCGGAAACGGCAAGGTCGAAGAGGGTGAGGAGTGCGACCTCGGCGACGCCAACGGCAAGCCCAACTCCGGATGCTCCAAGGAATGCAAGGCGACCCCTATCTGCGGCAACGGCAAGGTCGAGCACGGCGAGGAATGCGACGCCGGCCCGCACAACGGCGCCTACAACAGCGGCTGCGCGACCGACTGCACCATCTGCGGCTACTGCGGCGACGGCATCGTCGACAAACCCCAGGAGGAGTGCGACCTCGGCTGGCAGCTCAACGGCGCCCCCGGCGCGGACTGCTCGGCCAACTGCACCACCAACACCACCCCCTGCGGCGAGTGCGGCGACGGCATCGTCCAGCCCGGCGAGCAGTGCGACGACGGCGCCGACAAGAACGGCAAGCCCGACTGGCGCTGCGGCAAGGACTGCCAGTGGGCATCCGGCGGCCCCGTCTGCGGCAACGGCATCTCGGAGTGGCCCGAGGAGTGCGACGACGGCACCGAGCTCAACGGCACGCCCGCCAGCCGCTGCACCAGCACCTGCACGCTCAAGGAGCCCTGCGGCCCGCCCCGCCCGCCCGTCTGCGGCAACGGCGTGGTCGAGTACCCCGACGAGGAGTGCGACGACGGCTACATGAACGGCCTCGCCGGCAGCAACTGCACAACAGCCTGCACGCTCCGCACCTGCCACAGCGGCTGCGACAACAACAACACCCCGGATCCGCGCTGCGGCGACGGCAAAGTGGACGCCGGCGAGGAGTGCGACGACGGCGCGGACAACAACGGGCACGAGTGGTCGTCGTGCGACTCGCACTGCAAGAACAAGCCGACCACCTCGCCCGGCCACTGCGAGACGTGCAACCCCAACCCCTTCTTCAACAAGTGCACCATCACGACGTCGTGCATCGTCGCCCCCGGCGAGCGCAACTACTGCGCCTGCCGCGCGGGTTACCGCGCCAACGGCCTGCTGCCCACCGACCAGCGCCAGTTCCGCCTGCGCTTCGAGGGCCAGGATTATCGCGTCTTTGTCGCGCCCGGTGTCGAGTGTGATACCCTCTGCTCGAGCCCGCATCCGGGACCGGACTCGTGCCAGGAGGTGCCCGTGAGGGAGGATTGCTAGAGGGATGCTTTTGGGGTGGATGGGGAAGTGGCTTAGGGGGGTTGACTGGGAAGGGTGTTGATGGGAGGACTCAGGGGTAGGGAGAGAGGGGTGCTGATGAAAATGGGTGAGGTGAGAGGTTGGAATGGGTTTCTCGGGTTGTTTTTTTTTTTCTCTTCTTGGTTATTTCTTGCTTCTTACTCTCCTTAACAGCCTCTGCGGCGACCTCTTTTTTGTTACCATTTGGTATTATTCTTTTATTTGCTCTTGTTGGGTTTTTGGGTTAGAGTTCACGGTTCCCTTGGCCCTGAGGCCCTTTACTATCCTTTGATACCTCGAATAGCCTGCTTAGTGGTAATAGACTTGATCTCCTTAGACCTCGATAGCCTGTTTGTTGAGAACAGGTCGACTTACTCTGGTGAAACGAAACCTCGAAGAACCTCCCTGATGACACTAGATTTCATCCCGTTGAACTGTCTCCCAACCCCCAACCCACAGGATGTCATACCATACTCCAAGAGGGTGATATCGACCTGATCAAATCGCCTTTTATTCCCCAAACGCCGGCCGAATGCACGTCTTCCACAACCCCATTTCTATCTAACCACCCCCCAACACACATGCATCGCTCGCCCAGGTATATACCGACCACCCTTATTCTACGCCTCAAAAACCAACACAACCCCATCATCCCCCGCCGTCACAACCCTCTCCCCCGTCTCCCCCTGCACAAACCCCAGCACACCACCCCCGTCCCCACCACCGCGGTGGCCTTTCCACTCCTTCACCAGCCCCGACGACGCAGCCCCCGCCACAGCCGCCTGACTGGCCGTAGCACCCCTGAGGTCCCAACGGCGCACCACACCGTCCAGTCCACACGAGGTCAGCAGCCAGCCGGCTGCGGCGGCCGCCGGCGCGGCGCGCACAAAGTCGACGCGCACGACCGACTCGCCGTCGTGGGCGCCCTTGAGGTGGCGGCGCAGGGCAAAGGAGCGGGACGGGTCAAAGACGGCGATGCTGCCGTCGACCGAACCCGCCGCGAGCAGCGGGGTGGCCGGGTTGGGGGAGAAGGCCAGCGATTCCACGCCGTCCTGCTGCGCGGCTAGGGCTGCGAGGATCGTGCCCGCTTGGTTTTCGGTGTTTCGCTGCGGTTGGGCGGGGCCCTGCTGCTGGGAGGAGAGGCGCGGGAGGCTGACGATGCGGATGGCGCCGGCGGCGCCGCCTGCGGCGAGGAGCCCGCCTGACGGGGAGATGGCGACGGAGTAGAGGCCGCCTTCGACGGCGAAGCGCTGGTCGGCGTCGGTGAGGGAGACGACGGTCTGGCCGTTGTCGGTGACGAGGGACTTGGCGGTGGCGGCGCCCCAGACGTCGAAGACGTGCAGAGAGGCGTCCTCGCTGACTGTCGCCAGGAGAAGGCCATCGGGCGTCCATGCGCCGGCAGTGCAGGGCCCGGTGTGTAGGAAGTAGGATTGGACGATCTGGATCGGGTTGGACGGGTCCGAGGCGTCGAGGGTCAGAACCCAGACGGAGCCGTCGGAGGCGCCGAGGGCGATGGTGTTTGGGTAGTCGGCCGACGGGCACGGTAGGAGCCAGTTGATCTCTTCGGTTTCTTGGGACTCGGCGAGGAACTTGAACTGGGCGGAGCTCTGGGAGACGGAGGTTGCGTAGACGCGCAAACGGCCGTCCATGCCGCCGCTAACGAGGAATTCACCGCGCGGCAGAGTAAAGGTCAGCGCGTTGATGCTGTCGGTGTGGCCATCGATAGCGAAGAGCGGCTGCAGCTCGGTCGTTTGTGGGGCATCGGGGTCGGAGTTGTAGCTCGGTGGGAGGACCGGACGAGAGGCGGCGGCCGAGGTGTCGATCACGTAGCCCTTTCCTGGGGCATCATCGGCGTCGCCCTCGGAGCCGCCTGTGGCGATCACGTTCGGATAGAGCGGATGTTGGGCGATGGCAAAGACCGAGTCTTTGTGGCCGTCGAAGTAGGCAATGCTGTCATTTTGCAGGAGTATCTCCTCTCCCTCCTCGTCGGAGCCCATGGCCATATCACCGTCGTCATCGGCATCCTCAACCATCTCGTGGACGTCGTCCTCGGCGAGCATCTCGATCTCGGCATCGTCCTCGGGTTCGTCGCGGTGGGGGTTTGAGGACGACATTGTGGCGTTGGCAGGAGCTGGTATATGCCCGGATTGGGAGAAAATTAGAAAATTAGGGTAGGGTACAGGGAGAAGTATATATTGTCTTGCGTCGCAATCCCCAAGCACCAAGCAGTTCCGCAGCGGAGAGGTACCGTGATAAAGTCAAAGTCAAGAAAGTGGGATGATGGCGGGGTCGTGATTTTTAATCCTTGCAATCTGCCCTCCTGCTTGATAAGCAACCCCAACCCTCCGCCACTGCTTCCAAGGGGTTCAGGGGGTTTCCAAGATCCAGATCCTGGACATGAGGTACCTCGTCTTCGATCGCGCAACTTCTTCGTGGGACTTTGAAACTTATGGGTACACTAAACGTGGATTAGAAATCGGCTTCGTGCCTGAACTAACGCGATCCTCTATGCCTCTACCCGTGTTGAACTCCGTCCGCTAACCGGTCCAGATCCCTCTCCATCCGTTATCATGTCATGTGTGTTGAAAAGCAAGTATGCTAACGCTTCCGTTTTCCTTGGTTGAAAGTCCCCGTTGAAGTCCCCGTTGAAGCCCCCCGTCCTGGTTGAAGTCCGTTTCCAATGCTCGACGCATGCTGGTTGGGTATATGGGTGGTTGAACCTTGAAGTGTTGAAGAAAGCCGATTTGCCCCCGCTGCGTAAATGATGAATTCCCAAATGCGCCTGATTTTTGCTTGTTGTAGTCCCTTGGTGTGTGTTAATACCTGCACCTAGGACTGGTCCTCGCCGGTGGTGTCCTCGACAGGCGGGCAGGTGCAGAACAGGTTGAGGTCACCATATGCTACCGAGTTGTCAGCAACCACATCTAACACCGACGGGATAAAGAGAACTCACTGTCATCAACCCGCGCCACGCTCGGCCAGAACTTCTTCTCCTTCAACCACGCCGCAGGGTAGGCCGCCCTCTCCCGCGTATACGGCCTGTCCCACTTGGCCCCAGCCTCACCATCCCCGGAGATGATATCCGCCATGGGATGCGGCGCCATCTTGAGCACATTGCCCTGTCTCGGCGCCTTGCCCTCCTCGACCTCGCGGATTTCTTGCCGAATATTGACCAGCGCCTCGACAAACCGGTCCAACTCCTCCTTGGACTCGGACTCGGTCGGCTCAATCATGAGCGTGTTGGCGACCGGCCAGCTCATGGTGGGCGCGTGGAAGCCGTAATCCTGCAGACGCTTGGCAATGTCGATGGCCTCGACGCCCGCGCTGTCCTGGAACGGGCGCACGTCGAGGATGAATTCGTGCGCGCACCGGCCGTGGTTGTTGGTGTATAGGATAGGGTAGTGCGGCTTAAGCTTGCTGAGGAGGTAGTTCGCGTTCAGGAGCGTGATGGTGGTTGCTTTCTTGAGCCCTTCTCCGCCTGGATTACAAAATGTCAGTCACTCACTGCTTGGGGAACACATAAGGGGGTCGCTTACCCATCATCGCGTTGTACGCCCAGCTGATGGGCAGAATGCTAGAGCTACCGTATGGCGCGCTGCTGACCGGGTGGTTCGGGTCCTCGACATTCTTCACGTCCTTGGTCGGGAGGTGGTCAATCAGATGCTTCTTGACGCAAATGGGCCCAACTCCGGGGCCTCCGCCGCCGTGGGGAATACAGAAAGTCTTGTGCAAGTTCAAGTGGCACACGTCAGCGCCGATTTCACCTGGCGAGCACAACCCAATCTGGGCGTTCAGGTTCGCGCCGTCCATGTACACCTGCCCGCCGTGGGCGTGCACAATCTCGCACACCTTCTTGATCTGTGGTTCAAACACTCCAAAGGTGCTCGGGTACGTGATCATCATGGCGCCGATCTGACTCGAGTGCTGCGCGCACTTGGCCTCAAGGTCGGCCAAGTCCAGGTTGCCCGTTTTGGTGTCGCACTTGACCGGCAGGACGCGCATGCCCGCCATAGCCGCCGACGCCGGGTTCGTGCCGTGGGCCGAGACGGGGATGAGGCAAAGGTCACGCTTGAGCTCGCCCCGGCTCTCGTGGTATTTGCGGATGGCGCGGAGACCGGCGAATTCACCCTGAGCGCCCGAGTTCGGCTGCAGAGACACGCCGTCCATGGCGGTGATCTCCTTGAGCTGATCTTCCAGTGCGTTAATGATGTCGCGATATCCCTTGGTCTCCTCGGCGGGGGCCGCCGGGTGGACATTGGAAAAGCCGGGAAGCGTGATGAGAGCCATCTCGGTGCTGGCGTTGAGCTTCATGGTGCACGACCCGAGGGGGATCATCGAGTGAACGAGAGACAAATCCTTGGATTGTAGGTGGTGGATGTATCGGAGAAGCTCGGTTTCGGAGTGATGCGTATTGAAAACGGGATGCGTGAGGTAGGCAGACTGTCGGCGCAGAGGTTCGGGAATGTGCCCGAGGGCGGTGGCAGACTGAGAGGCTTCGAGAAACTGTTCGAGAAGCGGGGCGTATTCTGCGAGTGACCCCGTGCCGTTGCTACCGCCAGTCTGGGCGAACACCTTGATCAAAGCGAGAAGGTCGCGCTCCTCGACAGTCTCGTCAATGCTGATGATGACACTATCAGAACCATCCTGCCGGATGTTGATGCCCTCATCCCTGGCGAGGTTCTTGATCTCTTGGGCCTTGCCAGGGCAGGAAATAACAACAGTATCAAAAGCCACCGCGTCCGATCCGGAGTCAAGCCCGAAATGACGAGCAGCATACTGGACAACTCTTGCGCCCAGGCTGCATCTTTCGGCGATCTTCTTTAAACCCCCAGGGCCGTGGTACACAGCGTAAAAGGCGCTGATGTTGGCCAGCAGCGCTTGCGCCGTGCAGACGTTGCTCGTAGCCTTCTCTCTCCTGATGTGCTGCTCTCTGGTCTGTAGAGACAGTCTGAGAGCCCGATCCCCGAGGCGATCCTTCGAGACACCGATCAGACGACCAGGCATCTTCCTCTTGTGCTTGTCTGTAATAGCGAAGAAGGCGGCATGGGGACCGCCGAATCCCAAGGGAACACCGAACCGCTGGGAATTGCCAAACGCGATATCTGCACCCCACTCCCCGGGCGGTGTCAGCACCGTGAGGGCCAACAGGTCGGTAGCGGCGCTGAGAAGCGCGCCCTGCTTGTGTACGGCGTCGGCAAGCCCCTTGAAGCCGCGCACTTGGCCGTAGGTGTTTGGGTACTGAACCAGCGCACCAACCAAATCATCCCCTACGCTCTCCAACTCGGAGAAATCGGAGGTCGACAGGTCCATCACCCGAACGTTGATGCCAAACCCTTCAGCACGGCTGCGCAATACGTTCAGCGTCTGGAGGTGGACGTTCTTGTCGACGACGTAGGTCTTGCCGGGGCGCTTAGCCCTGGACGTGGGGAGGGCATTCATCGACACCGTCATGGCCTCGGCGGCGGCAGTGCCCTCGTCTAGGAGACTGGCGTTCGACATGGGGAGGCCGGTCAAGTCCGAGACCAGAGTTTGGAAATTCAGTAGCGACTCGAGGCGACCTTGGCTGATCTCGGGTTGATAGGGGGTGTAGCTGGTGTACCAGGCGGGGCTTTCGAGCACGTTGCGCTTGATCACCTCGGGGGTGATGGTGCCGTAGTAGCCGGCACCGATGAAGTTCTTCCTGCTAGACTCGTTGCTCTCGGCAGCAGCCCGCCCAAGGGCCAGCACCTCCCATTCCTGGTGGCCTTCCTTGGTGGCCCGGCTGGCGGCCGAGTCGAACGAGTCTCGGCGGCGCGGGAAGAGCTCACGGGACGAGAGGATATCGGCGGGGATGACCTGCTGGATAAACTTGTCCATGGACTCGACCGGTGGGGAGAGCGCCTTGAGCATCTGATGGGAGCTGTCGTCGTCGGGGCCGATGTGACGGCCCGCGAAGTTCTCGTGAGTCGGGAAGAGTTCCGGTAGCCTGACGAAGGGGCGTGCCCGGGTTGTGTCAGTGGCCGAGCTCGTCCACCTGATAGCAGTGCTCCGTGAGCAAGATGCGTAGGTCCATGGCCGTCCCACAGGTGCAGCGGCTCGAGATGCGAGCACGGAAGCACCCAGGGACCGGCCAAGACGGCCAATTTGCCGTGATGCAGTCATTGTTGCTCGTTGTAAGTGGGCGGGAAGCCGAGAAATTGAGAAGCCCCAATTTCAAAAACTGGAACTGTCAGTCGGGACATCCTAAGGAAAAAAAAAAGAAAAAAAAGTAGGAAACAATGTATCACCTACTTCTTGACTGTTTCCTCCCTTGAAACACCGCCTACCGCCACTCCGCAAGTCGGGACCCGAGTCGGGAAGATGGAAGAAAAGATGGCGAATGTCAGAATGCCAAGACCAGGAACAGCCGGTTGCAATTGACGTCAGAAATTCAAAAAGCTGCCCCTCATGAATCTCCAATTGACCCCGGATCTGCCGCTTCTCGCCCAGGGGAATGGGAAAGATGGGACGGCGACTGTTAATGAAGTGGCAGAGGGTCGGTAAGGTCCCGGTCGGACAACGCTTCACCAGGGAGTCAGCAGATCGCACAAAATCCACCGCTATCGGTCGTCGCCTCCTCGGCTCTGGTTCGGCCCCTGGTAGCATCTTTTCGAGGAACTGATAAGGTAACCGATTCGGGTATTCTCGGGCCGCCGGTGTTCAGGGAGCCCTGTCGTGATTGTTGCGCTGCAGTTCGCCAACGTGGGAACGGTTGGGGAACAAAACGGTCTGTGCCAAGCCCCTGCGTGGCCCGGTAGGGACGGGGGAGAGGAGACCCGCCTTTCCCGGCATGGCGTCACTGACCCCGGAAGCAACACCCAAAAAAATCTGGATTTTGGGCTGTTTCCGACGTGCAGCGCATTCAGACTCCGACCTCCATCCACACCCACCAAACCAACCCCAAATCATCCATCCATACCACCTTAGAAAATGTTCGGCGGCTGTAAGTGACGACCCCGCCAGTAACGATCAATGTTGTTTCGAGTTGCCTTTCTAACTTAAACCTTCGCAGTCCAACCCCCCCAAGCGTCGCCCGAGGAGCTCCTCGCCGCTGAGGCGGAAGCCACCTTCACCCTCCAGCGTGTCCTCGCCGCTGCCGCTGCGCTCTACTTCTGTATGCCATCCACCGTCTTACCCACAGCCTCCCCGCCAGACGCTAACATGGCACACAGCCCCCTTCGTCGTCGACGCCGTCTCCAAGATGTTTTAGACACCACATCGACCGAGGCTCAACCATCCCGGCACCGCTTCGTGACACATCAAGACTTCGCCTCCCGTTTTACGACATGATATAGAGTCCAGCAGCGTGGGCGTGGCTTACGATATGGCTTGAGCATGGGGAAAGAACTGCCCGCAAGGGAAGGAAGGGGGCCGCGAATCGCTTTGTCCACCAAACCCAACGCCATTCCGCCCCGCAGCAGGGTGGAAACATAGTTGGCGGGGCTGACAGGGCATCGTTTTCTTCCCCTCTCCTGGTGTACGATATTGTCGGAGCATGAGCATGAGCATCAGCATGAGCATTACCCGCGGCTGGGTATGATGCGGGTGGCGTAACTTCACTCCTAGAGACTCGCGATCATCGGGGTTACCACCCCCCTGGCGGCATTATGTACAAATAACATGAACATATAACATATCTAAACACACGATCACGCCAACCAATGCAACCGTGATTGATACCGACACCAACAGAACTTTCTACCCGCCCTTGCGAGGTGCTACAAAACCTCAACTAACATTACAGCGCAAATCCTCCTGGGTATCATTCCTGAAGCCAGACCCCGCCCTATTGCGTTGCCTTCTTAGCCGGTGCCGGCGTCGGGTTATGTTGGGTCTCCCACGCGTCAAAGTCCTTCTTGGCCTCCTCGACCTGCGTCTTGAGATGCTGCAGCTGCTTGTCGTAATCCTCGAGAATCTATCCCCCATGTTAGCTGCTTGTCCCATAGTCCTAGTCCCAAATAACTCGATGCAGATAAAGCAATAACATACCTTCTTCGCCTTGGCCTCAATCTCCTCACCCAGCCCGTCACCGTCCCCAAACCCGGGCTTGTTGATCTCATCCTTGAGATTGTCCGCATACCCCCTGAGGATGATCAAGCGGCTCCACAGCTCCTCCATGCGCGCGCTCAGGGCCGGGTCCTGGATGCTCTTGTCGATCTTGGCGAGCTTCTGCTTGAGCTCGTCCTCGTCGCCGCTGAGGGCGTAGCCGCGGTTGCGCAGCACCTGGACGCGCGACGCGAGCACCAGGCAGCGGCGGCTCAGCTCGGCGTGGCGGCGGCGCGCGTTGAAGGCCCGCACCGTGTGCTCGAGGTCGTGCCGCGACAGGATCGCGTCCAGGCTCGCGTTGATGGCGTGCAGCTTGTTGTTGAACTCGACAATCACCCGCCGCTGCAGCGTCACCCGCGCGATGATGGACGGGAACCCCGCGCACAGCACGGGGATGTAGTTGGGCGCCGGCTTGTGCTGCAGCGCCTCCTCCCACTCCTTCGGGTCCTCGTTGGGGCCCGGCCCGTACAGCGGCACCGTGTGCTCGTCCACCTTGTTGTAGAGGTAGGCCTTGAAGGCGCAGTTGGGGTTGCTAGGGTCCCATTTTTCGGTGATGAGCTTCATCTGTTCGGGGATCGGCTTCTGATCTAGTTTCGATGCCAGGAGGCGCATGTTAGCATTCTGTATGGTTGCGGGAGGCGAGGGAGTTCGGCCGAGGAATTCGGTGGAGGAATGCGGTCCAAAAACGTACAGCTTGTGTGGCTGTTGGGTTGCCATAACGAACCGCCCGGTTGTGGGTTGGGATTGAGCTGCTGCTGTTGCTGCTGTTGTTGCTGCAGTTGTTGTTGTTGCTGCTGTTGCTGCTGTTGCTGCTGCTGAAGCTGTTGTTGTTGTTGCTGTGGGTTCTAGGTATACATCAGCGACCTATTCCCCCTGCTGTAGGCGGAAGAGCTTACGGTCGAGGTGCCGAGCGCTGGTCCAAACAGGCTAGTCGAACTAGGTCCAAAGACCGACTGGCCCGCAGGCCGATTCGTTGACGAGAACATAACAGTGCTCAAAGTGTCGAATGTCGGCGTCGCGTGGGGATTCGATGCTTGTCGCAAGGTCAAGAAAAACAGTCGGCAGAAGAGAGTCGCAGGGAGCTATAGAAGGCGCTCAGACTCTCTACCAACAATAACGGGGGCCGAATTGTAGATTAGCAAAAGTCTGGCAAAACAACAACAAATTCAGGCACTGGTGTTGGCGATTTTGCCCTTTGTTGTCGTCAGTCGGGGAGAGCTTTGAGTTTGGCAGCTTTTTGGCTGGAGAAGCGCACTCCACTGCCAGGCTGCTTGCTTCCAGCGCGCGTCGCCAAGCAGCGACGAAGGGTCCGAGCGTCTTCAAAGCACAGCCAATTACTGCCGAGTCGAGTGGGCCCCACACATCGGGAAGCCGAACCTCACAGGGCGAAAGCATCACCAGCTCCAAACAACGCACAGCTTTCGAATCGCAGGACGGGCCTGCCCACACAGTCAACATGGCAGCGCGGAAGCCGCTGTACGTATACCCAAGGCTGCACAAACCGACAGAGTCGCCAATTGAGCCGGTTGGAGGGAATCAGCCCGGGTTTCGCTAACGGAATGCAGCTTCAACCAGCAGGTCCTCTACGACACCACCCCGCTACCAGACTCGATCCCCAAGGTCAAGGAGATCGGCGCCAGCTCTGCCCCCCTTCTTTCGGCCTCATTCTTCATTGGCGCACGGTGCAAGGACTACAATGACGACTACATGCAATGCAAGACCGAGAACCCGGGCAGGGGCGAGTTCGAATGCATGAAGGAAGGCCGCCGTGTCACTAGATGCGCCCGGAGCGTGTATGTGCCCCTTCGCTTAGGATATTGAGTTGGAGAGCTGGGGGTGGCGATGAGCTATCAAGTTGGATTTGCCTGTGGGTGTCCGCATGCTGACACCCTGGTCTCTAGGCTCGAGGACATTAACAAGTCCTGTCTCGAGCAATTCCGCACTCACTGGCAATGCTTGGAGAACAACAACCAGCAGCTCTGGCAATGCCGGCCGGACGAGTGGAAGTTGAACAAGTGTGTCTTTGAGAATCTAGTGCGTCGGCTGCCCCTCCTTCCTCGAGCAACATGCGTTAACCGAATCCTCCTCTTCGACAGAATCTCGAGAAGGTTATCCCCGATCAGCCCAAGCAATCGACTCCCGTACATCTCAGACAGAAGCAAGTTTTCGCCCATAAATGGATCCAGCGGTGGGAAAAGCCGTTTGTCCCGGGACAATCTGAGGCGTCAGAGTCGTCGTCGTCTTGAGTGGGCGGGGTGGTGGTTCTTCTCGTGGCCCAGCAGATGCGTTTCTTCACGCAGCCCGGAAGTGGCGGTTGGTTCTGGGCCCGGACCTGTACATACATACCAAGAGTTAGACAGGCTCATCCGGTTATATCTTGTGAAGTTCTCTTTTTTGGATGTCTATATTCTGTCTGGCCGTCTCCCTGTTGGTCCGCGTTTATGCCCAGCCACCGATATCTAGACTTTAACCACCTAGCAAAAAAGGGGACAAGGAAACAGCTTGCCTGAGCCCCTTCAACCGACAATCAAGGTTAGAAGTAAAGCAGCCTCTGGTACGTATGGTCAGATCGGATCATGCGAAGCAAATAACGATATTGACAACTAGCAGTATCAGACTAACACAGAGGGTTAAGTGCATAGAACGGTCAACGGCAACGAGCATCCATGGGTACGGAAGCCCCTTTAAAGCACCTAGATCAAGCGACTCGTTAGTGACGCGCCAACGGTATCGTCCCCTAATATCGATAAAAGCACATGAACCCGAGAGACAGAACCCATTATCATAATCCACACGTTTTGCGACAGCTTTGTGTTCCTCAATAATAGCAGAATAGCAGCCAATCGCCAACTGCTGAACCGGGTTCACAAGAAGATGGCACAACAGTGGAAATCGATGAGGAACCTTTACCATGCCGAAATCACGAAACCCCTGCGGCAAACCGACACAGCAAGGCTGGGGGCATGATACCTGGATCTCACTTTGCTGCCGTCCACCACAATTCTGCAAGAGAATGTTCTGATGGTTAGTGCCATGACCAGTGTCCGAGTCACACGAGACATATGCAGGCGACCTTGTCAAACAAGATGAGTGTTCCCTTGTTTCTCCCCGTCGCCTTCTTTTGTAGCAAACTGGTGGGTGTTGTGGTGATACAGACTACTGGGTGCCCTGTCATGGTTGGTTTATCTACGGCCGGCTCGAGGTGAGAAAAAATAAATGCGTCTACCTGGCTGTTTGCTCCGCTTCAAGGCACCACCCGGAAACCACAATCTAACCGCGACTGATTCTCCCGAATACCTCCTTAGTCCTGCCCATATGCAGCAAGTTTGTAAGACCTACATACCACTACGAACGATCAGGTTGTCCCGTGATATTGTCTCGGGTGCACGCGGATTCGAGCCGTCCGTTGTGCTCCATGCACGTGGTGGGCACAACAACCATCCAAATCCGGCACAAGAATGATGGGAAAGAAGGCCGGCCCTCGCGTCGCCAAAGCTACTATATAATCAAAACGTGTCAAGCAGCATCCCGAAACAGGCCCTCCTGCCACACTACGCTAAATTAACGTCTTTGACGCGCGTCTTCGTGACACGTCGGCGATAGACCAGGCTGCAACGAAAGGGTTTTCCAGTGAGCGGCGTGACAAAGCAGTTGGCCGGTGCCCGGCGTTGGCCAGCCCTGGACTCAACGGCCGTCACGACTTGACGCACACGCTGACAAGCACACGACTCATTATACGCCCACGAGATCGCACCTCGGCTCCAAATCCGAGAAATGTGCCCTGCGTCCACAGACCCGCCACAGACCCGCTACAGACCGCGTACCGTACCCAAGCTGCCGGTGTAAGGGTGTGGGTGAGTCCGGCACATCCGGCACATCCTTCCCGTGAGGCCGTCAATTTCCTCAAGACTTGTTTCCCCCCTCCATTCCCAAGGCCCGCACGCGAGGGTTACACGGTAAACAACAAAATATCAGACGGACTGTTATGGGTTGTTTGAAGCCGAGTGTTCCCGACCCACCCCGACCAATCCCCGCGACCCGGGTTCGGAATTTTCGATCGGTGCCTGGGTCCCGGGCCGGAACTTTATGAGCCTCGCATTTGGGTCCCTCGCAGCTGCGATTCGCGATCCACGAACGGCAATATGTTTCGCATGGAGGTGGTCGACGCAAGCCTAGGCGCGGTTGTACGTACACAGTACGGACTGCACCAGAGTGAGGAGAACACAGGCACAGCGTCGGAACCACACCAGCGGGGGGTTGGGGTTGGCGGCCGCGCTATGAGGCCCGTATGTTGTCCCCTGTTGTGAGACGTCAATTTCAATCCCCGGAGCAGAGTTGTGGGCATGTCTGAGCATCGCGGGGTGTCCGAAACATGATATTTTTCGTTTAGAAGGAAATGATCTCAGCGGCGTCACGCGGAATGCCGTGGCTTGCAGGGTGTTGGGCGTTGGAGTGGAGGTCGCCTTAAGGTTTTGTGGAGATGCGCCCCGAGAAAAGCTCGGACTCGAGGATCGGGATAAGATCTTCTGCTGATCAAGGAATCGGACGCTAACTTCAGCCTGACTTGTTCGTTTCCGGGCCTGCCGCAAAACACACGACAGTCGTTTTGTTTGGACATGTTTACTGACAACGTCCGTTTGTTTCAGATCCCTCACTTTCGGAGGGGTGTTGCTTTCTGTTCGTTCTCTCCATTTCACATTTGAGATTCCATGCTGCCCCCCTAAATCTCTCATTTCCACCCCGTCTTCCAAAACGGTGGGAACTCAGCAACCGAAAACAAGGCGCACCATAGACCCAAAGGTCAAGAGCGTGGCGGCGGATATTCATCGACGGGAAGGTGGCCGGATGTGGTGCTGGATACCGTTAGTTAACAGATGCCAGCATTTGCGCACTCTCGTGCCGATGGGATGGTCGAGTTTCCCAAGAGGAGGGCCGGGGGCGCTGCGAAAGGCATCCCCAGGTAATTGGTCCAAGACTCTGGCACCTCCTCGCGCCTATCCAATTTCTCTTTTTGTGTTGTTGCTCCATACTTGGTATATATGCACATGTATACTTCTGGCACGGGTGGGCTTGGAACTTGGCATTTGAGGCACCTCCCCGGAATGCGACATTCATGCTCACCGTGGGGTCCAGAATCTAAGCTTAAGCTTGATGCGTGACATGGCGCGGGCATCGTTGCCAGACACCCAGACCGAGGGTGCATTGTTGACGAGATTGATTTCGATCCCTTTTCCAAAAGTTCGGTGCATGACGAACCCAGCTGCACGCCAAGTGCGGCCGTTTGGTGGAGAAGAAATTGACCCGATAATAGCGCGTTTCAGGACGGCGTCGTCTGCTCTCATTGGGTAACACTTCCGCTTTCAAACAGAACAGCAAGTTCATGAAAACCGTCCGGCGAATGAGCAATCCAAACAGCCCTAAACAGGGAATCATCCCCAAGAAACATACCGAGAACCGGCAGAGATAATTCTGATCGCCCGAGAAAGAAACATCGCACGAACGGTGCAGTGAGTGTCGATTGATATGCTCAAACAGAGCAGCTAAAGAGCCAAAGGTCAGCCGATTCCCAATCGCATCAATACCAAGCAACAGTCGTGAAGTCATGAGTTTGGTCCTCAATATCGGGGCGCTGCCTGAAAACAGAAACCGCCCAGCTCAATAGGTCTTCTGCAACCCCGTCGTGGTTCTGCAAGGCACAGCTCTCCAATTGGTTGCTGCAGATGTCAGGGGCGGCAGAAGGTGCAAGCCAAGTGGGGACGGAATTTGACGCCGCACCTCTTGGGGTCCATCTCCCTCCTTCCCCAGCACTTGCCCAGCTGCCCAGTTCCTTGATCAAGTGAGGCGCGTGGCAGCGAATTGGACTTCTTGGATGGCGGTCGTGGAGGCGGCCCGTTCAGAAACATTAGATGGACGGTTTCCTGCGCCCGGGAGCCAATGGCCTTGTTACTGTTGCACCCCATCTGAGGTGGCCCGGAGACCCCGACCAGGGCAACAAAAGGCCCCAGGCACAACCACTGGGCAGAAGATCTCGCCCGCAGACGATCCGTGACGATGCACCCGTGCGCAACCCATCGGTCGTGGATCGTGGCCGCCAGCGAACTCGAACGTTGGGAAGTCCGAGGAGTTATATGTAGAACCGGGCCTCGCACCGCCACCTTGAACCGGCCAGCTGTTTCCCCCCCGAGGCTCGCTCTCGTCGCAACCTCAGCTGATGAATCCGCACCCACCCCCAAGTCCCTGCCGTTTGACGTCTCTTGGCTAATTTGGCCGTCACCCCCGCAATTGAGTTTGGCCAAAATTGAAGGGGCTCCAAAACCGGGACCCAGCTTTTCTGGGATTTGCTGGGGATTTGGAGACCCCCTCAAGGTTTCCGTCCGGTCTGCACAGGGTCCGCGTGGATCAGGTTGGGCCCCACCTGCTCCCGCCTGCTAAGAACACCCATTCCTGCTTCCTTCAACCGCACCTTCTGCCTTTTATTCACCACGCGACCGCCGAGTTTGACCTTCAACTCGCACCTCGCTCCCTTCTTTCCCCCCCTCTCCCTTTTTGAAGTCTTATACTTCGGTCCACTCCTTTCACAAACATCACCGCACCCACCAACTTACCGACCTAGAAGTCGGCCTCCCTTCCTTTTGCGCGCTATTTCGGCCTTTCCGCTCCTTTTTTAAAACAACTAGCAAGCAGTACTCTTTCTTGCATTCTCGACGGTTGTCCTACCCTGCGACTACCTTCGAGCATAAGATCCCATCACATCCTTGACGGATCCCGAGCGACAGCAGTGCTGCCTCTCCAGCTGGCTCTGAGTACACAAAACTTGACTACTTGCCTCAAAGGAAACGAATCCATTTAGGTACGTTCCATTGTTGGCTTTATTCGGCCCCAATCACCTCCAACGGACAAACCTTGAAAGCTATTGTGCGCGTCCCGAGTAACGCCCTTTGTTGTGTTCTCCGAGGGTGACTTATCTGCCCATTTGGACTCGTCGACCCATGACAGCATCTGGAGGTTACTTGAGGGCCCGTCAACCCCGGGAGAGACGTTCAGACTCGCCTGAACACACCCCTAAGCCTCAATATCACGACGACCCATCAACCCATGCTTCAACTCCCCACAACATACAGAATATAAGCCTCTCATTGAACACACAGAGTTCACGCTAACCACCATAATAGCACAACAACCATCACGATGAAGTCCTCGGTCTTCCTCGCCGCTTGCGGCGCCATCTTGGCCGTCGCCAGCCCCATCCTCCAGGGCCGCAAGCTTTACGTCAAGACAGATGTCGTTACTGAATGGGTCACCGTCACGGTGACTGACGGCGATACTTCCACCACCTTCCGCCGCCCTAGCCCCAGGCCTCCCAAGCCCACTACGACCACAACCCCTGCGGAACCTTCTACCACTGCCGCGCCTCCTCCCCCTCCCCCGCCTCCTGCTTCGACCCCCGAACCCGTCGTCGAAGCCGCTTCCAAGCCCACCCCTTCGCCCGAACCTAAGCCGTCCCCCAAGCCTTCTCCCAAGCCTTCTCCGGTCGTCGAAAAGCCCAAGCCCGCTGAGCCCTCGCCGGACCCTAAGCCCGCGCCCGCCCCTTCGCCTACCAAGGATGAGACCACAAAACCCTCCGACTACTCTAGCACCGCCGTCTACCACCACAACGTTCACCGCTTCAACCATTCCGCCAGCGCCCTCGAGTGGAGCGATGAGATTGCTGGTTACGCCAAGACCCTGGCCGAGAGATGCGTCTTTGAGCACGACACGTAAGTTTCAACATTGGTATTGCTGTGTTGAGCGAACGTTGGCTAACACTGTATCCAGCGATATTGGCGGCGGCGGCTACGGTCAAAACCTTGCCATGTGGGGCTCGAGCGAGGATCCCGAAGCCTTTGGCGCCACCGCGTCCGTCGCTCGCGCGACCAGCAACGGCTGGTACAACGGCGAGCTGAATCTCTTCCCCGCCGGCGACTATGGCAAGGACAGCCCCAACATGGCGAACTTCAAGAAGTGGGGTCACTTCTCGCAGCTCGTCTGGAGGGAGACTAAGAAGGTTGGCTGCCACAGCCACTTCTGCCCCCCTGGCACCATGTCGGGACTGGGCTCCTGGTACACTGTCTGCAACTACTCCCCTGCCGGTACGTTCTTTTTATCATGTCTAGTGTCCATTTACGTTCGCTAATTCTCGTCCTCAGGCAACATGGGTGGTGCGTACGCCGACAACGTCAAGCCCCCCCAGGGTCAATCCATTTATGCGGCTGAATAAGCGGGAATTCCCGCCGTCATTTACCAAGACGCCATCGTCTTATCTACAAAGCCCGACAAACAGCGGCGGCCGTTTAGTTTTCGCTTCATGTAGTGTATCTATTTGTACACATATCTTCTGCTTGACCAGATCAAGCGCCTCCATGGTTTTCTCCGCATTCTTGACGCGAGCAGCGCCTCTTGATGACACAATCGAGGACGCCAGGTTACATATTCAGCCACATACGACGACAAGTTATCTCGCGACGACGACACGAGGTCTTGGGATTCACGACAGGTGCTTCGGGGACATTAACGAAGGACTTTTGGGAATGGTTGACTCGCTTTCTCTTCGTTGGTACGGCCATCCGCTTGGCTCTGGCCGCAACCCGTTTGTTTTTTGAGCATTTTGTTTTGTATCGAGTTTTGTTGACTCCTTCACTTCTTTTTACCCTCTGGCAAGTATCGAGGGGATTAACACGTCTAGCCGCCGCTGCTCTTGATCCACGCTTGCATTGTCTTTGTTCATAAACACGCATAGCCACGGAGTTTGTGTGTCCGTGGTTCTCTTACCGAAAAGCATCGGGGCTATGCCTCTTGTGTTCCTTGTGATCTTGTGGTAAATCCGAACCGTGCAAAACCATGGTTCACAAAACTTGGTCGCTCCGACGGGCCGCTGCAGAGGCCTGGAACCATACGCAACAGGGGACACGGCTTTGTGTTACGTGACCCCGGGCGGGCGTGAAACAAGGCCGCCGAAGGAAGTGTTCTAGCATGGGCGAGAGAGATCGAATGGATGCAGGCAACACGAAAGGCGGGGGGCGAGCCTTGTTGTCTCGAGTCCCTCATCATCTTGTCCCTACGGGCATCAGCTCGTGCTACATGCTATGGTGACACAGCTGACTTGTTTGTGTCGTCCAAGCATATAGTGCTGACGAAATGGGGCGGGAGGAAGAGGCGTGGCACGGCTGACTGGTTGCACCACCCGTTTTCAGGGGAAAGGGGGGAGGAGGTTAAGGTTAAATTAGAAAGTCATCCTTCTAAAAGTTTCTCAAAAAGGGTGCAGGCGTCCGAATGCACCAGTCCACGACTGCAGGCAGGCAGCAGTCCGGCCCCTTCGCTTCAGGCCTGGGCGGCTCCTGCTGTTTCGCGCCCGCAGGGCAAATCTCAGCTAGTTGACGGCCGGCAGCGCTTCCCTGAGCAAATAACTCTTCTTGTCTTGGACGCAGAGTTTTGGCCCGTTATGAAGCTGTGTTCGGGCACCGCAAACTCATCCCTCGGCACGCTGCGATGTGACTCTGCGAGCGTCCAAGATTCTGGTATAATGGAACATCCCTACTGATTGATATGTCGGAGATGGAAAAGTCATGGCTTTCAACAGGAACGAATCACCTACCGCATGGAAGTATTGTAGGGGTATATCCAACCAACGTGGCAGCAGGTGATCCCAAGTTTGGCCTCAGAAATACCCGGCATATACATACACCAGGTTGATACATGCCATGCGCAGTACTTTACAATTCACGAGGCTCAAATAACCCGGGTCTGTCGATCCAATGCCCCATATTTCCAGCCTTCTCTTTGGCTGATTGATTTTGGCATGATACGATACTGCCCCTGACCACACGGCCCGTAGGGCGTAGGCGTGATTGAATGAAACAGAAAGCGGCCTTCCGTTCTCAATCTATAACCGGTCCTCCTTCTCATCAGGATAGGTACCCTGCCGGCAGAAGCAGCAGCACTGAACTCCGACTTGGACATGGCACCGGTCCAGGTTTGACATGATGCATCATTAGACCCAAGGCCAGCTTTAAGTTGTTGGTCGAAAGATCTTCACTAGAGTATCAGGAATTTGAACTGGGCTAAATGCTATTGGGGCTAGTCGAGCAAGTGGTTTTGGTAGTTTGTAGCCAGGAAGGCGGACAAGTGTCTTTTATATTGTTCTTTGGTCCCGGAGCTTTCTATTTCGGAAAGTTGGTTCCGTGTAGGTTATTGATGGCCTCAGGTATCGCTCTAAAGGGAAGCTAGTCTAGAGAGTATTTCACCTTTTCCAAACTCTTCATGTTCCTCCGGGAGTAGCCTCGCGGGCAGCGGTTCCATGAACTGCGACTAGAAGGCCAAAGTGGACTTCAACGACACCGCACCACGGTAGGGTTTCTGAATCGACATTGAGCCACGACATTCAACCCCCCCAACCTTTTATAGCAACACGACCCACCTTATCCTGGTGAGCTGCAAGGTTTGGAGTTTCTCAGATGCACCCACAACCCGCCTACGCGATCCGGAGGCCGTCAACCATGTCACCTTTTGTGACCGTCGAGGTTACCCTAGGCCGCAAGATTAGCTGGAACGAGGCGGCCTAGTCACACCCGCTACCGAGTCTCTTTCGAACAAATCGCGAAGCGGGGTTTTGAGATGCCGTTGAGCTTGACGCTCTACGCAGGTATCCGTCTCCACGACTCCTACACAGTTGGCGGAAGGGGGTGGGGGTGGAGGAGTCGATAAGGGGTAGGGAATAGGTGAATAGGTAGAAGGTATCTATCTATCGTAGGGGACTTTCTACTTTCACACATAAAACACTCTGCCCTCTGCTGGTTGTCGGCGATTGACCTTCACCATTTGCTGGAACTATTTGCCGCTTGACTATAACTACATTATGTATCTGATTTGCAGTTCTGGGTTAGTATTTCCTGTCTCCAGGGCATTGCCCTTGAACCATCTAACCAGCTCTTCTCTCCAACCAGAGTTAAGAAATGGCCGCACTGTCGATTTTGGACTAATCCTATATGATTCTTTCAGGGTGACTAGGAAAGTGGATGAGCATGGGGATCCTTTACACCGTGTGTATTCCCTGTCTTCAGCAGAGTAGCATAACCAAGGGTAGACAGTAGTGGGCATTCGCAATGGTGAAACAAAGGAGGAAGCAGTAAATGTCCTTCTCAAATTAAGGGAGCATGCCAAAAAGTCGTTGAAAAAAAGCCAAAAGAAAGTTCGAAAAAAATAAGTGTGAGTCCCCTCGACCGGAATCGAGCCGGTGACCTTTCGGTATCGATAATTTCCATTACAGCCGAACGTGATAGCCAACTACACCACAAGGGGATTTGATTCGTTGAGAGTCAGGAACGGGAAAACTGAGTTTTGTGCATGCCCCACTCACACGAGTCGACGGTGTTTGTAGAAGGAGGTTGCTCATCGAAACACCAAGCTTGAGTTCGACTTTTCTTATCTATTGGATTTCGGCCGACGGCGGGGCCTGTCCTTTTTCTCCAGTGTTTTACTTCCGGTTCTTTTTTCCTTTCTGAAAAAGAGAGAGATCGGAGACATGGACCTGGGTTGCGTACCTACCCCGACAGCGGCACTGATGGAGAGACTGCCTGGTTAATTATCTTCTGGTATCGTGGGGTTCTCAAAGTGGGAAGGATCCTAATCGAGATCGGTCGGCTTTGTGGCAAAAGGAGACAGAAGCAACTGCCAAGTAATTCATGATTGTATGTTTGTCCGCGCTCCCGTCCGCTCGGATAAGTTGCGCGGAAGTCGGAGTGTCCGTAAACATCGAAACACGGGATGTGGCTCATGTACATAATCTGTATGCGCCTCGCAATATTCGGGGCCGACGGGCGCGGTTGGGACCCCCACGGATGAAAACCATTAGTTATCAGCCTCAACCAAGAACAAAAATTGTTCTGAGACTCTCAATCTCGGCCGGAGCCGATTCCTCGTGGCCGTGGTCTTACCGTGGCCGTTTCGTGCCGTGATCGGTTGCGCGCGCTTGACGATCGGGATCAGCACGGGCAACCAGGGTTTGGGGTGTTTGCAGCCCTATCGTGATGAGCAATGTTACTTGTACATGGGAGCCCGCCTGTCCCCGAACAAACATCCGAGGTCCTTCGTGTGGGACGCCGGCAGTGACGACTGACAAACGCCGAAGCAGCTCATTGCTTCGAGCTCTCTGCCGGACAACTTTCAGGGGTTTCCTGGTCATCCGATCTCTTTCATCGGCGCAAGCCGAAAATGGTCCACAAATGTATGCGGCTGAACGCTGTCACATCTTGAGACCGGGATTCCCATTTCTCCTTGGGCGGCATCATTGACATTGACGGCGTCGGCGCCAGAAACGGAAAGCACTATCGACCTGGTCGAGACATGGAATGCTGAGTGGAGATGACCAGCGGGCAGATGGCAGGGGAGCAACCGAGCACAGGCGTGACAGGCGCTCAATGTCGTGTAAAATATTTCGCGGCTAGCCCAATCAGGGCGGGTTGACCGCTGTGGACTGCAGGTACGCGATCTAACGCCGCCAAGACCGTAATCGGGAGCTCTTGCTGCTTTTCGCTCAGGGTGTTGGGCTGCAAGAATGGGGGAGCTGAAAAATACAGACGCCCTCCAAGGGCCCCGGCAAGCCAGGCCCTTCGGATTCGGGAGCAACGGCAGCTGGGATCCAGCGTACCGCTGCGTATCGCTCCACCCACCGCAGCCAGCCAACCGAGAGCCCATGCGCTTCATGCATCGCTTTCACAGCATCGCCAAGCCTGGGCCCCGGCACGACGGCGGCGGCGACAAGATTCTGGAGCTCGCCCGTTCCGAGCGAGCCCAGCTTTGAGGTTGGGAGTCCTCCACATCAGCTGTCACCCTGTGGCGTGTGGACCAGTCCTTCTGTCGTCCAGGGTGTTGTTGCGCCGACCACTTCCCACTCACCACCAAAACCCAGAGTTGATGGTGTTTGTTTGCTTGTCGGCTTGGGAGCGTCTCTCGTTTTGATCAGTGCGGATTGTTGACTTGCCGAGCTCACCACCGCCTAATTCCCCGCCATTCGTTTAGCGGACGAGCATCGCCAGATAGGTACCCTTCCGGGCAAGGTCTACAGACGACGACATTCGCTTGTTTGGGAACCCTCCACGGCTCAACTCCCTTGAAGCGACTGGTGATTTGTTTTCGCCGTCACCACAAGGCCCGTCACCGCTGGGTTTGAGAAAGGAGCCCAGCCGAGCAGATCAAGCATCCGCTCCTAATCACAACGGTCGACCCGGTCTGTCTCTCTGATGGATAACGGCGACTACTTCGGCCGTCCGGCCGCCAACATGCCCTCTATGGCCTCCACTGCCGCGCCAACCCC